GTGGGTGCACAAAAAGATCCCTTTTTGCCACCTTCCAGATGGCAAAAGTGTTTGTCTCAATGAATGCAAAATTACGATCCGTGTCTCAGAAGCTCGACTTTTGATTGCCCGGATTGAAGGTCCCTTGGACTTCCATGTTGTCGTTGCCCATGCGCCGTGTGTATCCCAAGATAGGCCACTTGACCTTGTGCAGACATGGTGGACTGATTTGTCAGATAAGTTGTCAAACAATGGTTGCAGGAGTGTTTTGGTTTTGATTGATGCTAATGCTCCACTGGCAGATCGAGACACGAAGTTCTTTGGAATGATTGATGCAGAAGAAATGAATCTACAGGGCAAGGTTTTTCAAGACTTCCTTGTCGCAAATGGACTGTATGTTCCATCCACTTTTTCAGTGCACCAGGGTAGGTCTGCTACCTGGAATCATCCCAGAGGCCATCAACTGCGTAGGGATTATGTGTTGATTTCGGAAGATTTCTTTACAATTTGCACAAAATCCAGCGTGATCACTGACTTTGACGGAGGGTTTGGACATGTCGATCATTGCCCTGCGGTTTGTCAGCTTGAAGGCCTTTGGCACGTCTGCTGCCCAGAAAGCAAGTTGAAATGGGACATGGTTCGAGTCCGAGACCCAACTGCTCAAAAAGCATTTCAAGAAGCACTGTGCTACCTTCCTTTGCCTTCTTGGTCAATTGCAATTGATGATCACTCTGCCATTGTTGAAACCAACATCTTGCAGATTGCACAGCAGCATTTTGGTACGGCTCAGAAGACCAAGAATAGACCGCTTCTACAGGAAGCGACCCTAAATGCCATTCAACTGAAAAGACAGGCCCTTGATATGGCGCGAACACAGACCTTCAGTGACCCTTTGCTGCAATCAGAGCTCAAGACACTGGAGAAAATTGTGAGACCCTTGGTTCTGCAAGATCAGCAAAAGTGGTATGCAGAGTGGTTACATGATATTGATGAAGCAGGAGGACGGCATGACACAGCACAGGTGTACAAGAAATTTCTACGACTGGGTCGAAGACGAAAGGACCTGAACAAAGGCCCTCGACCGCTACCATGTCTGAGGAAGAAGGATGGCACGCATGCAAGTTCCTTTCGGGAGTGTCAGACGATATGGCAGCAGCAGTTTGCCACCATTGAGGCTGGAGTTGAAGTTTCAAGGACCCAATTGGCACAACTGCATGTCTCGAGCAAAGCAGTTGCTGCCAGGGAGATCGAAAATGTTCCTGATCCTTGTGACTTATTGGCAATCATTCGCAGGTTTAAGAATGGCAAGGTCCCAGGGCCAGGGCAATTGCCTGTCGACATCCTCAAGGGTGGAGGAATTGCCATTGCGAAGGTGCTCACTCCTCTGCTTACAAAAGCGATCTGGCATATGCATGAGCCCCTTACCTGGAAGGGTGGACTGCTTGTGCCTTTGTTTAAAGGTAAAGGGGCACCAAGTGATGCTGGGGCCTACAGATCGATTTTCATCTCAGACATTTGTGCAAAAGTGCATCATGCGCATATGCGCCAGCGGTTAGCAGAGGTCTGGCAACAAGAGGAAGTGCTTATCCAGTTAGGGGGAAAGAAGAAATGCTCCACTGACATTGCACATCATCTACTTCATGCACATTTGTCGTGGGCAAGACATGCGACCAGATCATGTGCCATTCTTTTCGTTGACTTGCAGTCTGCGTTTTATTCCATTTTGAGGTCTTCACTGTTTGAGGGTGATTTTGGGGATGAGGCCATTTGCTATGCCATGAAGCATCTTGGTATCACACCACAAGAATGGCAAGAAATCAGATCGGTCGTCATTAGTGATTATGCAATTTCTGGTATCGACGCTCATCATGAAGGCATCCTCAAGGATATGTTTTCAGGTACTCACTTTTCCATGCAGGGACTCAAAGAGCAGACTGCAACAATGCGCGGTACGAGACCAGGTGATCCAGTAGCAGATATACTTTTCAACATGGCTTTCAAACTGGTCGTTACTGATGCGCGACAAAGAATTCTGCTCTCCTCTGATTTGCAATGGTTTGGGTCACCACAGCCTTCAGATGATGTAACTACTGCTGTCCCAATTCCAGACAAGGGCTTTGCAGAGATTACGTTTGTTGACGACATTGCCTATGCTGTCCATTCCACATCTGCCGACTCAGTTTTATCCTCTCTACAAACTGTAGCCTCATGTTTGCATGATGCAGCAGCGGCGAGAGGGCTCTCTATTAATTACCAAGCAGGCAAAACAGAGGCCATCGTTAAGCTTGCGGGCCATGGATCCAAGAAAACCAAACACAGAATCTGGCATGAACAGTTTGGCAAAGTACCAATACTCACAGAGCACGGTTGCCAGTTCCTTAAGCTTGTTCATTCCTACAAGCATTTGGGCTCATTTGTGCAGGATCACGCAGTGATTCAAATGGATCTGAGGTATCGCAATGCTCAGGCCAGAAAGGCATATGGTCAGCTCAGTCGTCAATTTTATTGCAAAAGAAACGTCAGCGATGCCACGAAGATTCCGGTTTTCTCAGCACTGGTCATGTCACGACATGCCTACAATGTCCACACGCGGGCATGGGCAACCAAAGGTGACATTGAACAATGGCAAAATGGAATTCGCAATCAGGTAGCTGCGTTAGCAAAAAATAGGGTGAGGCCGATACCGCCCTTTCAGTTTACGACAGCAGAGCTCTGTGCCTTAGTTGGTGTTCACAGCCCAGAAGACATGCTACATGCCAGCAGATTGAGGTATGTCAAGCGTGCAATTCAGGTTGCTCCGAGGTGTTTGTGGTCGCTGCTGTACCACAATACCCATACCAACTCATGGATTTCCCATTTCCAAGAGTCCTGCAATTGGTTGTGGGAACATGCTCCTGGTGGTAGAACACAGTTTTTTGATGATGCAACCCAAGCGATTTCTTTTATTGCCTTGGATGTGAAATGGATGGGGAGAGTTCGCTCGGCACTGAAATCATGTTTGCAGTTTCGCGCGGCGCATGCCGAGGGCAAGCTGTGGACGCTGCGTATGCAACATCATTTGTCCAAATACGATGTGCTTCCCAAATTTCATGTTGCACAAAAGAATCATACGTGGACGTGTAGTCTCTGTGCTGCCAGCTTCGACACCAAACAAGCCTTGGCAGTTCATGCCAGGCACAAGCATGAATACAAAACTATTTTGAAATACTACGTCCTTGGCGATCATTGTTTGGCATGTGGTAGGATGTTTTTCTGCCGAACCCGACTTCTGTCTCATGTGAGCAATTCTCAAGCTTGCAAAGCCACTTATTTTGCTTGTTTTGTTCCAGCATCGGAGGATGCAGTTGAGCAGATAGAACATGAGGAAAGAGAGCAAAATCGCATGCTGAAATCGCAAGGATGGCTTCCGTCGAAGGCTTTTCTCCCAGTTACTGTTGTGCAAGGACCCCTTTTGCCTCCGCATGGCACATGTGGGGCCCGAGATATGCGTGCTAAGTGGCATATCCGGACGCAGGTTCCTGGTCGAGCTTTTGAAGGTCTAGATGGATTTTGCGAACATCACGAAGGTGCCCCGACAGAACAAACAGAGGTCTTGCCCTTCCTTATGCAAACCAATGGTGGACATTTGCAAGGCCACGCTGGGGATTTCCAGCACTATGGACTCGCTGCAGAAGCGGCCAGGTTGCACATTACTTGCCTGGTCTTTATCCACTTTTTTAGTGGATTTAGAAGAAGCGGCGATCTGCAACATTGCATTGAACATCAAGCTCTTCAGGAAGGACGACACATTTTCTGTATATCGGTGGACATCTGTTTGGCCAAGCAACATTCAGACTTGACTGATTCGAGGACGAAACGGTTCTGGATCAACAGGATTCAGAGTGGACAAATCCTCGGAATCGGCAGAGGGCCCAGCTGCGAGACGTGGTCAGCGGCGCGTCATGGCCCTGGAGGGCCGCCTCCTGTGGTTGCGGAGGCTGTCAATGAGACAATGGCAGCAGGTGCGAACAGGAACGAAGCTGGTCCAATTTCTGGTCGAGTTGCTGTGCTACGCTGCGCATGCAGGATTGTGTGGGTTTTTGGAACATCCACAGTTCGCAGTTTGGCTGATGAAACAAAGGCCCTCGTCCATTTGGACGTTGGATGTGATGCGTCTCCTTGCACGCTTAGAATGTGTGCAGATTTGCTCATTCGATCAGTGCATTTATGGATTGGACGCTACGAAGCCAACTACTCTCCTGCTGTTGCGGTTAGAGACTTTCAAAGATGTCACCGTTACAAAGGGCCACCGAGGACGATGCTCGCACAAAAACGGCCACCGGCCTTTGCAAGGAATTGAAGACGGGGGTAATTTTGCTACGGCCCGGGCAAAGGTATACCCGAAGGCCATGAACGCTGCGCTCGCACTTGCAGTGTCTAGGTTTTTGGCTACTCGTCAAGTCGAAGGGACTTGCCAACAGCTGCCTGAAGACCTGCAAGAATTAGTTAGCAACGATTTTGTAGATATTTCCACTGTGCAGCCGGATTTCTACCGATAGCACTTGCAAGAGCCAAGCATGAACTTATGCAGTAATCGCAAAGTGGACAAAAAAAATGTGTTTTACCCACAGTAAGAGTATTGAAAGTCAAAACCAGAGGTGTTCTGAGTTCTGGGCAAAAAATTGTTCACCTAGTCAAAGAAACAATGAAATCAATGAATAAGTTTGAATGTCTGCAAACAAAATCTATTGAGCAACCTTGGGGTTCCACCAACGATCAAGCAAAGACCAAGGGGTCATAGCCCAGGTAGCGATGGGATGATAATATGACATGATATGATCCCCAATATCATCAAACATCATCAAACATCACCCCCCAAGTCCAGACTTATTATTACTAAACTAAAGCAATCTAAACCACCTAATACTGAACTGAATCGAGTTAGGAAAAACGTGGAAAACCACAACTCACCATGCCTGCAGTAAACAAAAGTGTCCTTTTTCGCGGCCGGGCCCAAAGCCCAGCATCCAACCCACAGGCGCCTACTTTGGCACAGGCGCAAATGGCGGAACTGAAACAAACCACATTGGGCGTCACGCTCTCTTCGCTCATGCGTTGCAAGAGCTTCGTGGCGCGCGCCTCAGTGGCACGTTTGGAGCTGAATGAGCTGAATGCAGCATGGCGAACTAAGGCACTGGAAGGGCTTGAGGAAAGTCATAAGCCACCAAGGCGGTAACCCGATGTCAGCTGGTTCTTATTCGTTTAAGCAACTTTTGAAAGAGTTCATGGAAAATCTGAGCCCCTGACTTCACCTGTTTGGAGTACCATGTTCTCAACGGCATATTCTCAATGAGTGGCAAATTTTGGGGCGTACTGTAAGCACCTATTTTTTGATATCCAAGCCGTTTTGTACAATCTATACATACTCTACATGCCATCGTCCACTATGATCACTATGTTTGGAGCACGTTGATCCAACATGCTCTTAAATATCCACAATGGTTTCAATGCAGCCCCATAGTTGTCACGACACAGCGCAAAGATGTGCAAAGCGTCAGGTGGTGAGTACGCGACACGGACCAAATCCGGCTGAAGAGTTTTAGTCGATGTATCTGCCTATCTGCCAGCCGCCCTTGTATTGAAATTGGCACCTCACCAATATTCCCGGAAAAAAACACACAAAAACTGCTATGAAACGCCAAGGAACAGCATCACGGCTGCGGTTGCAGGCGTGGATGGCGGCACCATAGACATGTTGGTTGGGCACCAGGCGTCGCTGTGCCATGGCACTGAGAACTTCGGAAGCCTTCACTGCATCACCTCATGGGAAAACACAAATTGAGGTGTGGAGATCTCTGTGTGTGCAATATATATTCAGTATATATATATATAAAATAAGAAATATAACATATGATATATTACATGGATATTATATACTACATATTTTCATATTTTATATATTATATATATTATACATATTATATTATATGTTGTATATTTTATATTATACATATATATTATATATTATATATATTATATATTATATAATATATTATAAATTATATATTATATTATATATATACTATATTATATATTATATATTATATATTATATTATATATATATTATGTTATATTATACATTAGATATTATATATTATATTTTATATATTATATACTGTATATTATATGTTGTGTATATATATATTTATTATATTGTATATATATTTTATATATTGTGTATATTGTATTAAATTACATATTGTATACATTACATTATATATTACATATTGTATATATATATTATATGTTTGAAGTCATATTATTATATATTATATATATACATTATATATTACATATTGTAAGTCATTTATTATATGTTTTAAATTACTTATTCTATGTTATAAATTTGATGTATTATATTATATTAGATATTCTATCTATAGTATATATTGCGCATTATGTTATATATTATATGTTTTTAAATTATATTTTTTACATTATATATATATATGTGTGTTGTTATCTATGTTTGAACTATATGTGATATAAATATAGTATAATATAAATATAATATAATATAATACAAATTAAATTTATATAATATAATATAATATCAAAAAATGTAATATATTATAATGTATTATACTACAATATAATAAAATATAATATAATATAATATAATATAATATACTATAATATACTATAATATAATATAATATAATAATATTTACTTGTTATATATCCGCATGTATCTATGTAAGTATCTGTATCTATTGTGCATGGACAAACAGCTTCCGAGTGCAGAAGTTATTTATACGATCGAGTGATGGCATGGATTAACACCTGGACCTAGTTTCCAATAGACAAAAACTGGCGCTGTGACGGGTTGGTTCTCTTCAATCTCAACACAACATCTGCCTCTCTCTCTCTCTATAATATATATATATATGATTATAATATGTCTATAAAGTTATTATTAAGGCACCCCATGCATTCCAAACTACTGGGCGCCAAAGCACTACAAGGTGGTGCCGCAGTGCGTTGGCTAAGTTGGCTTCTGGGTTTCGGCCATGAGCTAAGTCGGGGGCACCACATTGAATCCTTGATCGATTCTGGTGTCCTGATGCCTTGCGTTGTCTTGCTAGTTGGAGGATCGTTCTAGGATCTGGTTTATCACCTTTAGTTTTAGCTGAAAACCCATCAATTTACAAGATAACCCTGCAAGATAACCCTCAGACTGCAGTATCCCGTCTCCTGCTGTCACTTCCCACCTTTCTTGGCCCATGCGGAAGATAGGGCTGAATAACTGAAAACATCAGGGCTCACTTGGCACTGCAGCATCTCATCAAGCACACTCTCCGCCAACCTGGAGCGAAGCTTGGCCACTTAGAAATCTGATAATCAAATTACCCGAATTGGATTAGTATAATCGATAATCCAATTATATACTATATTATAAACATCTATAGAAATCTGAATACTATACATCTGAATACTGAATTAGTCCTACACTGGATGTACAATCTCACGCAACGGGAATCGCAAATGAGTCGTTGTTTCCATTACATACTGTGGATGCTTGCGAAATCCTGCACCAGTTGATAGCTGGTTAATCCATGTCCTCTTGGTGGCGAAGGATTTCGCAAGCATCCACCGTACTGGAGGGACATTGGCGTCCAACATTGGTCCAATCCGAGACACTCTTTGGATCTAAGGAGGGAGACTCCACTTGTATCAGGTAGATGTAGCCAAAATATGATATGATTACGGGGTTATATCATATATATATATATAATTCATATTAATATTATATATATATTATAATAATTATAGTATAGATATCGCAACTTATGCACATTGTAAGACCATGGTCTTACCCATCAACAGCCTCGCACCCCCAAGCTGGGTGTAGCTCCATTGATTTTCAGTATATAAATCACTGCCCAAGCCCAATGGACTGCAGGGAACAGGACTGCAGTTCTTGGGAACCCTCAAAGAGGTAGAAAAGTACAATTCAACTAAGTTAGTGGATGTTAGTGGATGTTAGTAACCAACGGTTCCATTGTTTGGGATTGTTTGAGGGTTGCTATTCCACAAAAACAATGTGTTGCAACCAAAGGTCTGAGGGTTGCCTGCCTTGGCACATGCATCCATGGTGGAGTTAAAATTCACCACAGTTGGGGACAAACTTCGCTCTCTCATCTGAGTCCTGAAACGAGGCTTGGCTCGCTTAGGTCTTCATGCCATGTCCGAGATGAAAGCAGTGATGTCACAATTCATGGCTTCCAATGGATCTACATTTGCAAAATCATCATCATGTGCAGTGCCTGAGCTGGGACCCCATGCCCCAAGTGCCTAGCCCACGGGAATCTAACAGTTTGCTATCGAAAATGGCCTGGAAAAATCATAGGCTCTCTCTCCCCATCGCCTTCTCTTGGATACCGCATTGTAACAAATCACCAAAAAGTGTTATGTTCCCAATATCTCTTCAGTTAAATCACTATTTGATGTCTTAATCATGGTTAATCCCATGGTTGGTTTGTTTCAGCCCAGCGTCAAGATTTCTTTGGCTTTCTCAGGGGCCTGCTGCTTCGCATGGATTCGGATGATCTCATTGAAGCAAATCTCATCGGGCAGAACCCTCGAAATCTGCATCTCTTGAAACATCCTCACTCGCCGGCGAACATGGGCCAAATCCACCAAAAGAGAGTTTTATTGGAGAAACATGGGGAAGCGAAAGCAGTGTGAAACCCACATCTAGATCATTTACCAGGTTGCGCAGCCAAACTGCTCTGAAATTTGCCTTCCAAAACATCAATGGGCATCATCCCAAACTCTCGGAAACCAGCAACATCCGCAACCAGATTCGATGACATTGAGAACATGCAACAATTCTTGGCATCGAATCATCTAATGTTGATATTGAAACCATTGCCAACAACATATTTTCGTCAACATGTTGAAAACCTCAATTGTTGTTTCAACCAAGAATCATTAGATCTAATGTTGAAACCTAAAATCACTGGCAACCATTACCAACATCTAATGTTAACACCTCAATGTTGAAACCTAAAGTTGTTGGCATCAACATCTCTGGTTGGTGGTTTCAACCCCTCTGAAAATATGAAAGTAAGTTGGGATGATTATTCCCATATCTTATGGAAAATAAAAAATGTTTGAAACCACCAACCAGTGATTGATTACTATATAAATCACAATCTTCCCATGGTTTTCCCATGTTCCAAACCACCAACATCTCTTTTTTTGTGGTAAAACAACTATCCAACCAGGGCGCCGTTCGGCACCAGAGACGTTGCCGGCTGCACCACAGGCTTTGATACAGGTGCTGTAGCCTCGGGGACAGGGTTGGAATGATCAACAAATGGTTACATATGTCATGTATGTGTTATTAGAAATTATTATTATTATCATTATTATTCTTATTATTCTTATTATGATTACTAGTAGTATTGTTACTATTAGTATTATTACGGCCAGGACGGATGTGCTGCCCGGGAAAGTGCGTTTTGACTTACTATTATTAATGTATATTATAATTATTATATTATATTATGTCATGTCATGTTATGTCAAATTATTCATAAATATATATCTAATTTCTATGTATATTTATATTATATTAAATCTATATATGCCTAGTAATTTGGGTGATTGAAAATGAACACTGGTGATTGTACCAATAACAGTTGGGATGTTAAGTAGTGAAAATGGACATTTAACTAGGAAAACATTGGATTTGACCAACGGGGAATGGATTTAATTTGGTGCAGACTTGGGAAAAAAACGAAACTTACCATCAGAAGTGACAGCACTTTGATTTTTCAGGATTTAATGCTGATGTAACCACAATACCCGGGATCATTTTTTTGTATAGAATCAACCAACTATTTTTGACAGCTGAAATGTGGGTTGTTGGGATCCATAATGAAACGAACCTGGACCCGTATGGAGGGTGTCCTCACTATGTTGCTATGCCACTTTAAACCGGAAAAAAAAAAACACACACAGCAACCAGCGGCCGCAGAGCAAATTTGCTGTCTTTCCATGAAGAAATTCTGACATGGCTTGCATAAGGACAGAATTGTGGCTGCGCATGACACTTCAAGGATTGCTATCGCCAACAAAAAAGGACTTCTGGTGGGACGGATTTCCCTTTATCAACCTATTATGAAGCAAGGCTTATCCGGAACGGCACCCAAATCCAGAGATCAACGACGGGTTGAGTTGCTGTGTATAGCATACATAGTATGAGAATCATGTGTTTGCCTTCCAATAAACTAATATAGCTATGGAATTCCCTTGGTTTTCCTAGGAACTTACCTTGAAATTAAAATGGTGATTTTCTTGTTATGTTAGTTTCATGCGGGGTGGACGGTCCTCGGTCGAGATCGGGCAATATGCCCATCATCCCCAGATCCAGCAGATCCCTGCCGAGGGTCACAGCACATCTGGGGCATAACGATCAGATTGCATCTGGTGGAGCCATTTCACGGCGTCGCCCTTGGATTGCCTTGGTCACTTGTGGATAATGCACGTGACCAAGGAATACTAAAGACAGGGCATGCCAATAGTTGTGAATAGTACCAAGTTTCACTGGTTGGACACTTTTATGCAATGTATGTGAAAGATGAATCAAAAGAAACAAACAGGACATTTTACTGTCTTTTTTCACACCGAAACATCACTGTTGACTGTTTAATTGTACATGTTAACCGTGCATTCATTGGACTTCGGTATCAGGGCTGACCTTGTAACTTCAGCCAACAACGGTATATGTAGGTTTATGGCACAAGTATATTGATGTATTTAATGCATGTACATTGTATTGAACTTCCCGTGTTTGGCAAGTCAAGCCACAACGTTTCCGGTAAGTTTGAGTTTTTTGGGTATGAAATTGGGGTTACACAATTAATATCAATTAATATCAATTAATTATTGCCATATCAATAGCCACCACTGCTTTTTGCTTCAGCATTGACTTGTGAAACTTAAACGAATCGAGATTTTACCACCACTTTCCCCGCAAGGCACTGCCATGCCCCCCAGGCATAAGTTGGTCCTGGAAACCCCCAGCGGGGTATCAATCATCGGCCAGAAACCCCAGAATAAAACAATTGAAGTGTCATAATTCACCGTGAAATCGAAAAATCCAGAAGTGCTTACATCCAATCGCCATATTTCAATCATGTTCTGGTTGGTGTTTTTTCGCCACCCCCCTGAAAAATATGAAAGTATCATCCCAACTATAGGGGAAAATAAAATTAATGTTCCAAACCGCCATCCTAACATAACTATGGAAAATCAACATTTCTAATGGCTAAATCCACTATTTCTGCATGTTTAGCAGAGGGTAAAAACCACCGAATCGCCATGGGCCAAGTGGCTGAATCATCCAGGTATAGGGCCCGACCCCCACCGCGCAGCCGTCATGGCGCATGCGTTGTAGCCACTGCTGCGCTTTGGCCAGGGGGCCATGCTGGTGGGCATGCCAAACCTGGGCAATTTGGAGGTGAGTTTGTTGGGATTTTGAAGATTTAGATGCCTTTTTGAATCTGTGGGCCTATAAAATTTAATGAAGACTTGAATGAGATTTAGTGATAGAAATACAGCGGGGATTGAGCCTAAAAAATGGAGGCTTAACAACGTTAAACTAGACAACAGTTGGGGGTTAAAGAGAAAAAAAAACATGGTGGATGATATTGGACTTGGATGGTACGCCCCAAGACTGGTGGGTTGGGCCAAAAGTGGAAGATACCCTCCCGTAATTCGTACATGGCTGGCTACAAAACTAGAAAAGTTAAAAAATAAACGGAAGACTATGAGATAATCATCCAACTAAATGGGTCACTCTCTAAGTCAACTTACTAAATGGAGCTGTTGATACTGTCGATGATGATGCTGATTGCATTCTAAGATATGTTCTACATATAAAACGTGTATATATATATATATATATATACATATATATATATACATATATATATACATATGCATATATATATATATAAACTATATCATGATGATTATTCTATACTTTATAAAGCCTAAATGACATCATGTTTCTGGGGCCAGGTGCCAAGGTACCACTTTGTAGCTGACACTGTTGGGCTGCAGCCCTCGTCTCACCATGTCCTCGAAGGCTCGCAGCGCGCCCTCCGTATCCTGCCTCTGCGCGTAGCCCGAGACCAGGGCGTTGAAGCTGGTGACGTTGGGAGCGAAACGCGCCTCCAGCCGCCTCATCCATTCCTTAAGGAAGATGGGCAAATACCCTCCGGTAAACAAACAAATAACTATGGAAAATCACCGTTTTTAATGGGACATCTCACTATAAATGGGCCATTTTCAATAGCTATGTTAAATTACCAGAGGGTATATGGAAAAATGGGATGGGATACATATGATATGATAGGAAACATCTAGAAAATGGTGGAAAAATGAAATAGGATGAAGAATGGATTTGGACACAGTATGTCTGAAAACACTCTTATATATGGCAAATGACAAATGGGGAACATGATGAGAAAACAGTGGAATTGGGAGTTAGCCCGGATGGATTTTCCAGGAACATGGAAAGAGGAAACAAAGGAACCTATGTTTTCCTACAAACAATTCTCGGATGTTGTTGTTTTTTTCTCTCTTATAGACATCCGTATCATCCGTAGACCAGATTGACGAACCCGTGAGCTTTCACGCAGCCAACAAAAATAGGGGTAGCATGTGCAAAAGATGCGGGGACTGAAACAATGAACCCGGAATTACCAATCAAAAACTGCAAACTGAAGCATCAAAGACGGGAACGCGAAGCCAACAAACCCAAAACAGTTTACCGGAAAGCTTACCGCTCATCTAATCTCACCAGAATTGGTTTAATGGAGAAGTCGCAGAACCATGGACCATGCTAGTTTTGCATCACCCCTGTTGATAGATTGCTAAAGATGTCCCATATGGTGATCCCATAAGCTCCAATCCAACGATAATCCAGCTCTTGAGGATTGATAACAATCCCCTTTACTGTACCATCTGGTTGAAAATACAGTAGATGATTTATCTATATGTATCTATTAAGACATGAAGAAAAATGTGATTTCCCAAAGCTATGTTAAACTACTAGAGGGTACATTCCAATTTATGCCCGTTATCCCATTATCATCCCATTAAGTATATCAAACACTATACTCTAATAAAACTATATATAAGCCCTACCATTAACCCATGGGTTGCAGTAGAGCAGGTTGCAGATTATGTACATGTGCTCCATGTTACCGTTGCTTCCTGGTGCGTCAATGATCCCGTCACCCAGCCCGTTGAGCATCCACAGCAGGCTCCATGCTTTGGCTCGACACAGCATTGGCGATGGCGCACAAAATCGTGTTGTAACCTCGACTGATCAAACGTAAAAGGGATGACTAACCCTCCATGAGAAACTAACTACCCGGCCTGGAAAACATACAAAAAGCTATTGAACATTGCCATAGAAATAGTTGATTTACCCATTAAACATGGTGATTTTCCATAGTTGTTAGGATGGTGGTTTGGAACATGAATTCCCCATGTTAGTTTACCAGAGGGTAGCTTTGGATGGAAGAAATCCTGCACCAAAGGGATGGTGGAACCCTATAAACAGTGGGATGTTTACCACCGTTTTCCACTGATGCTTCGGATTTCGCAACCATCCACCGTAGCTGTGGAAAAATGGTCCAAACTAACATAGCTTGATATAGGTGACATAGAAAATGGTCGATGAAACTAAGCGAACTGGAAGCCATGGCCCATTTGTAGATGATTTACTCATTAAACATGGTGATGTTCCATTGCTATGCTAAATTACCAAAGGGTATGAAGGTTGAATATTGGAAACTGTCAAAAAAACAGTTCTGGATGGTCCATGATCGGTCCGATGCTCCGAATCCGCTGGGAATATCGTGGTGCATCGGTATCATGGAAAGCTGTGCTCGTATTCAGAAGCCCACCTTCATCATGAAATAAAACGAACAGATATGAACAACTTCTTTCACTTACAGTATATACTTTACAGATCTATACAGCATCTTGATTCTCAGGGAGTTCCAATACACATCATGATGTATTGCTCAACCAACAGAAAACCTGGCGGCTCCCCGCCGAGCAGCTTGGGAGATCAGGCTCACCTGGAGATCCATCCAGGGGGCTACTCCAGAGAATCAGTGGGCATAAGCGGAATAGACCACACACACACATTATACCTGTTGTTAAAATTACTTTACTTCGTGTGATCCCCACCATGACATTTATACATTTTCTTACTGGCAAATCTTCTGGCATTCTATCTGACATATCTTCTGACATTCTATTTGACATTCTATCTGGCATATCTTCTGGCATATGATCTGGCGTATCTTCTGGCATATCTTCTGGCAAATCTTCTGGCTATCTCATATCTTCTGGCATTCTATCTGACATATCTTCTGGCATCTGGCATATCTGACATATCTTCTGGCATTCTATCTGGCATATATTCTGACATATCTTCTGGCATTCTATCTGGCATTCTATCTGGCATATCTTCTGGCATATCTTCTGGCATTCTTCAAATCTTCTGACATTCTTCTAACTTTCTTCTGCACATTCTTTGTCCCATATCTTCCTACATGAGGTCCGGCAGGGAACACTTGGCGTGGATACTCGCGGTTGAGGTCCGGCAGGGAACACTGGGCGTGGATGGTCGTGGTTGAGGTCCGGCAGGGAACACTGGGCGAGGATGGTCGTGGTTGAGGTCCGGCAGGGAACACTGGGCGTGGATGGTCGTGGTTGAGGTCCGGCAGGGTGGATGGTCGTGGTTGAGGTCCGGCAGGGAACACTGGGCGTGGATGGTCGTGGTTGAGGTCCGGCAGAGAACACTGTGGATCGCGGGTCGCAGTTGAGCAAGGACGACGAGGACGACGAGGACGACGAGGACGACGAGGAGGACGAGGAGGAGGAGGAGAGGAGGCGGAGGAGGAGGAGAAGGAGGAGGAGGAGGAGAAGGAGGAGGAGGCAACTGACATAAAATCTAACAACCCTCACCTGGCAGGTGGGGAAAAAAAGATATTGTTGCTGAACCCAAAGCTGGAAGAACGAATCCTTTGGAATGATCGTTGTAGAACTCCTTTTTGATTGGACGTAAAAATATATATATATATAATATATAATAAATATACATATATATTGCAAAAGATGCAAGGGTCAAACCCCAAGTGCCTTGCTGATGTTGGTGTTGACCCATTATCCAAGTGATTTGGTTCGAAAATAGAGTACTTACCTCAACACATCCATCAAAATCCGATGGTTCTTCATGCATGTCATCATCGAAATCCAATGAATTCACTGCTGAAATCCCAATTCTTCAAGGTTAAACTCACCATTTATCCTATGGCATCGAGTTATTTTACTGGGTGAACATTCCATTCCCGGGATCACATTCCATATATAAACTGTAACCCCTATGGCATCCCAATTATATAGTAGTCCTGGGTTACCCTCTGGTAATTAAACAGGCAGGACTGAGTGTTCGCCGGAATGGATTGGTTTTTACTAGAAATGCATCATTTTTCATAGCTACGTTTGTTTACCAAAGGGTAATTGTTGAGTGGTTAAATCCTTTTTTTTGGATGGTCAAGCCATATCCAGCCCTATAAAACAATATTAAACCATATTAAAGCCACCATAAGCCAGTTTCGTTCAACGTCCCAACTCGGGCGCCTGTTGCCTCAAGGCGTTCAAACCAACTCTTAGCCGCCGCGAAGTCGCCAGACATGGCAGCGCACCTCACAGCAGTTGGTGATACAGTCGCAGCCGCTGCGGGAAGATTTGGGGTATACGGTGGATGCACAAGCTATCCTTCAGTTGCTAACTATTCGTAACTATCAAATACGGTAAATAATGGGATTAGACTGGTATAAACCATCTTTGAGCACAAACTGGTGCAGGATTTTTTCTATCCACAGTATCGTGGGGGTCGGAATTAAACATGACAACTACTGGGGATATCATCCCCAACAAATACTTGAAGGATCTTGAAGGTGATGCTCAAAATCATGAGAAAACATGGAAAAAAATGTCATTTATCCACTCAATGAATCTCGATGATGGATTTCCCCTCTGGTATTTTGACACAGCTGTGAAAGCTATGACCAGTTTAGTTCGATAATTATGTGCATATATATATAATATAATATAACGTAGAAATGGTGATTTCCATGGCCATGTTTAAGTTACCAGAGGGCCATGGGGATAGTTGTTGCGGATTTTCCCTGACAATCTGAGGGTGAACAAGTTTAACTGACCAATAAATGTACTTGCTGTAACCATCAAAATATTATGTATATTAAAAAAAATAGTTTAACCAATGAACAATGGATACGGGTGTCTGAAAATTGAGAATTTGGCACCCCAAACGACGCCAAGGGGCAATCCAATATGGCAAATGATTGTTCGCCCATGGGTTTTAGGATGATTTAGGGGTATCCTATTTTCAGACAAAACCCATATGATAATTATGATACATATGTTTGGAATATTTGAAGGTTATACACACATATATATATATATATATATATGGTAACTGGTTTTGATGATGAGAAGTGTCGCGATGATCTCATCGCATTCAAGTCATTCAAGTCACCATCACCAGGATCAACATTGCAGTCTTGTTTGCGTGGGAATTTGATTAGCGTTCAATCATTCTAAAGAAATTGTGGGATCATCCTCTATCATGATAAATTCACTGAGAAAATGGGTTGGGCAGACAGACTCTAACCCAACAAATATATGCCAACAACTCAAAACATCTCATACATTCATACAATATATGAGAATAATGAATAAACTTAATCAGCCAACCTGGGGCTTCATCGTTTGAAGTTCCATTCGACTGTTAGTTTTCCATTGGAGGATTTCAGAACCTTGCAAGGATTTGAAAGGGCACAGCAGGTTGCAAGTGCGGCCCGGAATTAAGCAACATGACTAATGACATTTTAATTGATGATATCATCTGGAAGATATCGAATCTAATTGATCATAATTGATCCAAAATACTGATTCAGAAGCCATCAACGTGGCAGCGTTGTCAATCATGAACCATCAAATGTGGGGCAACTGGTCGTTTGAGGTTGCTATGAATTATCAAACTCATCCTAGTTTGAATACTGTGGTAAGTCCGGCCAAAATTGTTAAGGCTTTATGAGGAGAAAAACATGTTCCTAAAGTTGCAATAATTTATATGTATATATATATATATATATCTATATGTGTGTGTATCTATATATATATATATATATATGTCTATATATTTTGCTGGATTTTTTGTTCAATGCTAATAAGACTTTATCACGCCAATTTGGACCTCAAGCTGCCCAACTTTGAATCCCCATTTTTGGCACCAGGCGCAGCTCACCATGCTGACGCTGCCAAAAAAGGTGACTGCTTTGCAGCCCCATGGCCCGGGCCAGGACGGTGTCCTTGCTCTTTTTGTATCTCCAGCGCGACTTTCTGGGCATCCAACTCTTGAATTGGCAGCTCCACTTGTTGCAGTGCTCCAAGCAGTAAACGGCGTCCATTTCACCCAGTGGAAGCTCCAAGACGTGGAGAACACCAGCCAGAAGCTCTCCTGGCTCGATATGAGGAGTCCAAGGTAAAGATCCTTGCAGCATGAGCTCCCACCGGAGCCAATAAGCAGGGGCCATAGATCGTGGCACAATGGCGTGCCAGTCGTTCAAGCAAAATTTATTGGGATGTGGGTCCCCTGCGCCCAGTAGAGGTGACACCCAAATGCGCTGGTCCAGCAATGACAGGGGCGGGTGGGCGGCGGCCCAGATTAAATCTAAGCGAGAGTGGATGAGCCATTTAAACCTGTCAGCACACAGGCAACAAAAAAATCTGTCAACTGATCATAGTCCCACTGCATGATGGAAACTGAGGCCACCAAGATGTGAAGCATAAATATCTTCGTTTAGAATCAACACACACACACCGGATATATATATATATATAGATAGATAGATAGATAGATAAATAGATAGATAGATAGATAGATAGATATATATATATATATCTTATATATACATATATAGAAATATAATATATCATATATGCATCAACACATATCAAAATCAATTAATTAGCACACTTGCCGGCCAGAAACTGGTAACCACGTCTCTTCTCATAGCCTTTCACGAGATCAAATACCATCTTAAGCTTTCGCAGAGAATGGAGATTAAAGCCACCAGGCATGCCCCTCAAAGGGCTCAGAGCACCTGACCCCAACACCTCATACAGTCGCAACGCTTGGGGCGGGATGAAGCTCCGCAGTTCCTCTGTGCTGAAATCTTGCACCCAAGCAAAACCTGGGTGCTGGGTGCTGCTTGAGCCAACCCCTGAATCACTTGGGGGTCACCAGTTATTTCTAGGGCATGGACGTTGGATAAAGGAATCAAACAAAAACAAACAAACATTTTTCCCACCAGCATGCAGCATCCAGACACCTTTAAGACTGGGAAGCAGCTGTCCCAACTTCCTCCGCGCTTCCAGTCGTCTGGCCCCACTGCTGACTGCAAAGGCCAGTGCCTTCAGGGGCCGCAGCAGGTGGCGCTGGATCCCCGCAGCCGTTCGCTCCGAAAAGCGCCAGGCCCCGGCGAAGAGCACAGCCACGCCGCGACGATAAGTCATGGGAGTAGGGTCCAGGAAGGAGGGGCCCGGAACGCGCAGCTCCAAAGTGGTGTAAACCAAAGGGCGGCCTTCAGAAATCACCTGGTTGGCGTTGCAATGACAACCTTCCAGCTGCCTAAAACAACTTTTATACACGGAAACCCAGGTTAGAAATTCCGATTTCTGAAAGCAGCTGAGCCCAGTTACAAAGGACACCCCAAAATCTGGGGCACCACTGGCTCTGATGTAGTCCTGCAAGCCTTGATCCAGCTCAGCGGGCAGCCCCAGGCGTGGTGGCAACATGACGTTGCCAGCGCCTGCGCAGGAGCTCTGCTCCTCCTGTGGCAGCACGCTTGGTGCCAGCAAGGCGGCTGAGAGCCACCAGCTGGTGACATCTTCGTCGCAGGCCCGTGGCACGCAAAGGAGGAACGCCTGGAAACAGGGGCTCATCTGAGACCAAGGTAGTTGAAAATGGATGAAAATGAATGAAAAGTCAAATGGTCAATGGTCAGGGCCTTTGATTTCCAACCCACCATTGCGTTTCTTTCTGGGGGTATACGGTATACAGGCCTGAATATATCTGCATTGGATCCATTAATCATTAATTATTATCGTTACATAGATTTAACATTATAATTATAGTCAATAGTGTGATATTGTGGGCGCAGCCAGTTTGAATCCCAGCCTTCTTCACCTGCTCGATCCGCATAGCGGGCGCCACCCCCCTCAGCTCCAGGGTATAGAAGAGGCGCCTGTGGCGTTTCCGGCAGCGCGCCATGAGGGCGACCAAGTTACGTCGCACGTGAGAGCCCTGGAAGTTCACCAGGGCCTCTTCTGCGTTCATCATTTCCAGCCCTGGACCCACCCGCGTCGCTTGCAGGCAGCGGACATATGGATGGCGCCGCGGCACCACGGCATGGTCAAAGGGTCCCTGGCAAAGGCACTCGCGGCTTAGGAGTGTTGAAGGCGGAAGAGCCTGTGAAGCATTGAGAACCAGCTGCGGCAAGGGGCATGCCATGCTCTCAAGCCATGGTCTCTGATTGTTGCGATGTTTTTCAGGGTGATAAAGCTAAGCTGAGGGGAACGACTATTTTCAGCAACAGTTGGTGCGTTGGTTGGTTTCATCTCCAAATTTTGCGAACGATCCCTAGCTGGATTTCTATCTTGTGGGCTGGTTAATCTTTTTGTCGCACAAGACCCAGACAGCTGCAACGGCGCTGGTGCACTTCTACTGAATCTGGATGTCAGTTTCAGTGGAGCTGGGCTGGTTGTACCCCTAGAACTTGCTGGTTCTTATCCCCAAAGAACTTAATTTTAATCAATCCTATGATTTGCTGCTGGGTCAGCCCATTCCGTGTTGCTTGCGATCCGCTTACAACAAACAAACTGGTCAAGGTGAAGTGAACTCCACCTTCTGAAGGAAGCAGCCTTCGCCTTGATCCATCTGCACAATGATCATCCATATTAATGATCAATAATGGTTCACTTTTGCACACAGACCTTATCATACCAACACAGCCACAAGCCACCAAAGGTCCCCTGGAATTTCTGCTATTTACCATCATTCATGGAGGTTACAAATGACGTAGGACAATCAATAACTAAGAATTAAAATGAAGTAACCATAATTGACCAATTGATTCTTGCACCCATGGCTTGCCTTGATGGTTTCCATTGAGACAAGCATGTCATCGGGGCTCGAAACTCGAGGTTGCTGGTGTCTACAGTCATTTCTGGTGTTGTCTGGTCATCCGATAGATGGTAAAAAAAAAATAAAAAGGGGTAGAATCCCAGGGTTTTTGCTGGTCTGAATTTTTGGGCATACCAAAATCGAATGGTTCAACACCTCAGACTTCCAGTCTGAAGACATGAAACCGGCTTTGCGGTGCAAGTTTTCACCTCCTGGACTAGCTTGTGAAGCGTGTGAAAGCCCATCATATTCCCCCATTTCTTGCAACCAAACAATCCATTTGTTCCTATTTCAATCCCGAGTCTTCATGATAGAAAGCTACACACTCCATTTATTCCATTGTTGCACTGCACCAATATCAAACATGACCTAAATCTATATACCCTCCGGTGTCATGATGACACTGCCGGAAAATCCGCTAAAATTCGGGGGATTTCCCGGCCATGGAGCTGATTCCCAAAGGTAATTTGATGTAAATTGGACATCATTATTTATATATGTGTGACATTATTTTCCAGACCCATAAATAATCATTCATCACCATTCATCATCAGTATTCATGGTTGTGGCGGTTATGGCTATCCATCATCCCATTATCCATGATTATCCCATTGTAAAATGTAATTACCCTCTGGTTATTTAACATAGCCATGGGAAATCACAATTTTTAAGAACGGTAAACCATCTATTTCTATGGGTTAGTCATAACCAGATGGTAACTACTCTTAATAGTCCGATCCTGCAGCCAAAGGGCTTCATCATGATGCTGTAGGTCGTCATGGTGGGATCCAGCTGCTGTTGGCACATCTCCTGGAAAATCCGCATGCAGCAAATCTCGTCCCCGTTCCCCGCGTAGGCGTTCATCACGCCTCGATGTTAAAAAGCGGTGTGGCGCTGCTACAAATGGTGGAAACATATGGCAAAACATGGGCTTTAGGCTTGGATACATTGGTTTTAGGCAATGACATATGGGTTTCTAGACCATGATTCGAACCATGAAATGGTGATATGACCTATGCAACTGCAAGACTAGACAATGTGACTGACAAGATTTGGGGGACACTTGGATGACAATCCCAGGAATCGGGGTTGTGGTCAGCATCCACCTAGGCGAAAACAAGCAGATCAAGCAGTTGGAGTATGCTCGAAATGGATCGAAATGGCCCATGTGTCACGCTTTGGTCATTTTCATATGCCTTTCATGTCATTTACCCTCTGGTAATTTAACATAGCTATTGAAAATTGCCATTTAGAGTGAATTTTCCCATAAAAAATGGTGGATCTTTCCATAGCAAACTGTAAACGTTTACCAGGCCGGGTAGTGTGAGGTTTTGTCAAAATGCCATAGTCATCCATGGTCACCAGACAACCCCACAGAATCCTCATAGGAAAATCCGGGTACATTCGGGTACCCTCTCGTAATTCTTATATGTATTGAAAATGGTCCATTACTTATAATTGACTTTCCTATTGAAAATGGTGACGCTACATAGCAACCTGTTATTTGACGAGAGGGTATACAACTTGTCATTTCCCAAAGCAAAAATAGATTCCTGGAATCGAACCGCCTGTTGAACAATGGTTGCCATCACGTAACCGACTCTCACAGGAGATTGCTTCAACTTCAGGTGATCCCAACTCATGGATGATCATCCCCATATACAACTGGGTACCCTCTGGTAAACTAACATAGCAATGGAAAATCACCATTTTTAATGGGAAAATCCACTATAAATGGCCATTTTCAATAGCTATGTTAGTTCACGAGAGGGTATCTCAACCATGGATTCTATCTCAACAATGGATTCTATATGATAGGCCCCTATGATTTTGCTGGTTTTTCATGGTATAAATCCCATCGAATCCTCAGCCCCTCAAGCCCGTCTCGACAGTCGAATCTCAAGGCACAGGAATAACTGACCTCTGTAGGAGATACATCTTCTCCTTATGGCCACGGTGCATCAACCTCTTGTGGAATCTGCAACAAAAAAACAACTCCATTTGCACCATTGTTTCCCCCAAAAAATTCTGGAGATGCTTATAATAGATTTATAGATAGATAGATAGATAGATCGATAGATCGATAGATCGATAGATCGATAGATAGATAGATAGATCGATAGATCGATAGATAGATAGATAGATCGATAGATAGATAAATTAGATAGGTAGACAGACAAATAGACAGACAGACAGACAGACAAACAGACAGATAGATACATAGATAAATAGATTTCTCTGTGTGTGTGGTTTAATCCCCATAGCATATCTTCACTACTTGTGCTATATGATCTATTTGACCCTGAGTGCAGCAGCCACTGAGTTAGTGTAAGTGTATTTGATCATCAAGTCACCAGTGTTGATGATATTTCTGTGAAATCAGAATATGCATGTTGGTTAAATCCGTGTGCTTTCATATGCCCGAATGCATTATTTCATTCTGAAATTCTGATCACGTGAAATTTAGGGGATGTTGTGAAGTCTATATCCCCAATTATCCCTACAGTTAAGTCCATATTGTTGACTGTGTCTACCCATCAAAATACACATTGCCTGTCTATCAGGTCCCTATTGTTGATGAATGGATCGTGATAATCCCCATAATCATCGACCAACCATCATGTGTAAATTACATTAAATTACATAGATTGAGACTTCAACACCCATAAAAACTCGAGATATGGACGCTGAATTCCAAGAGTATACCCCCCTTTGGGATGATGTTTCAATAGATCCCCCAACCAGGACGGTTCTACTTAAAAATTAGCACATGATCAACTACCAGGGCTAGCCTCTGGAAAACGTTTACATAGCGAACTGGAAAATCACCGGGTTTCATATGTTTCATAGGTAAACCAACTATAAATGGCCATTTTCTATAGCTATGTTTGTTTACCACAGGGTATGTCATGGATAAGGTCTATTGGTATTCAACCTGGTATTCTCGGAAAAGACACCTGGTGGTGACAATTTCAGGTACCGATCGACTGGAGCGACTGTAGTGTTTCTGAAGCCAACTTGTGGAGATATCCCTGAAAAACGTAAACCAGGGGTATACCTGGTTGGTTCCGAATGGGGTTCCCCTAATGGATTATGTCCACAAAACTGGTCATATGTCCAACATATATTGATTTATTGAATTGACCTGGGACCCTATCGGTACCCCATAGCTGGCTTATGGCTCTTGATTCCCCCGAATTATGATAATAAAAAGCAAGGTTCTGACCCATCCCCACAAAGAAAATCATCAACATCATCAACCAACGAGGTCCCATAGTAAACCAAATATGGTTGGTCAATGGATGTGAATTGGTAATTATTGGCACTAGTATGATATGATTGGCACTAGAACCATTTATAAGCTAATGGATTCTTATTGGCTAGTCATGATATATCCCAATCATAATAAGCCATCCCAATGATAATATCCCAATGCAGCCATCCCAATGATAATGGTCAGTGAGTCAGTGCTAATAATTGATCTGGGTAAATTATAGTATTTCACTAACCTGAAATGTTGGGCCACTCATCTTCCATTCCCCCGGCCCATGCCCTGCGGCTGAAATGTTGGGCCATGAATGGGGATGATTTCCCTATATTTCCCACAATCTAACCATGATTCCAGGCTTCGGGAGAACAGGCTTCGGTCGTGATCAAATTTACCCAAATGTATGGTTATAAATACGGTTAATCTATGGTTGATATATGGTTAATGGTCATTTATAGTTGATTTACCCATTGAAAATGGTGACTTTCCATTGCTTTTGTATGTTTACCAGAGGGTACCCAAATTGATGGGATTATATTATATTATATTCATTATAACACTAAATACCCATTGGTGATATATCCCAAATACCGTAATAATTCAATATAATTCATATATTGATTGAACCTCTATAATCATCATCAAATCTCATTTAACCATATTAAACCATAGAAATCACCATGAAATCCCAAATTGATGGCTTCAAACAATGGCACATCTGCGACCCAGCTGCTGATCATCTGTCGCAGGATTTCCTCGGACCTGCGCGCATTGCCAGTGCGCGCGTAGGCATCGATCAGCGCCGTATAGGTCACCGCATTGGGGACTAAGTGACGACCTGGGTGGTCTCGGAGCGAAGGTCTCCTCCAAAAATTGGGTAGGTTATAGGTATTTATGGTGTTTCTTAATGATATTTTGTGGTATGTCATCGTATTTTAATGTATTTTATGTTTGATATAATTGGTATCTTCAAGTTTATAGCTCTTTTTCTTGGAGGGGGCAATGGAAATCCCGTGGCTTTACAACTTGAAAACCTGCTAGAACATTGGACAGATTTAAAAACTATAACTATAGGAAAAAGACTAATTATATTGTGTTTATAGGGATATCGTGGTATAACATAAACTAGGCACAAAAAGCGCGATCAGCAACAGGTGTTTCCAGGAGAAAGGATTTCAGGCAAAACGGACACCCCGTCACCTCGAAAAAATGTTTGATTGATAGAGGTTCCCTTTATAGGTCGTAATACATCCACTCATATACATAGATAAAGACATGCAAACCGCATAATATATATATATATATACATACATTACTGTAATATATATATATATATATCGAATTATCGCAAAATTTGGTGTTTTCACAGGATAGTGTTTTGGCTTCTGGGTACTGAACTCTGTGGCTTTCGAGTTGGGATCAAGGGCTTGAAGTTCTAGGATTCCAGGGTCCAGGGCTTGCCACATGCCGACATTGAAGCGCCCTGCAACGAAGAAGCCAGCCGCTGCACTTCCCAAAAAAAGACCAGCAGCAAGGACTGATTGTGCCAGGGCAGGGCCAAGAAGGGCAAAGGGGTTTGATAAGTTTCAGGACTTTGAGCATAACATGGCATTTTGACTCATTGGGTGCTAGTGAGATTTGCCGCCATTCCCCCCAAAAAGCGTGCTCCGACTTCTGGTGGCAATGCCAAGACCAGTATGCCAGCCCCGGAAACTATGGATGATGTGTGTGAAGCCCGGGTCCAATTGAAGAATTGGGTTGCGGAAGCCTACCTCGGGCGGCATGGGTTCTCAACAGAGAGGAAGATCCCCGTGAACTATGGCGGTTCTTTCTCGAGATTGTCCAGAAGTGCTGGGAATATGATGCTTTCATGGATGATAGCGCCGCTTTTCTCAAGAAGATTGGCCTCGTGGACAGCGCAACTGAAACAGATGCGTTTCTCGAGAAGACTTGCAAGATGAAGGTTACCCTGTGATTAAAAAACATGGGCGCAGTTATGGATCAAACCTAGTCAACATGGGTGCATTTAGATCACCAAAAGGAATGTGATCTGACCATATATTGGGCCCACCGGCACGAACCTCATTTTGATCCATACAGTTCATGACATGAGTAAAGTTTACACCACACTACAGTTCCGATGCTTGGTCCTGGCCCGGAGGTGTTTCCGCCTTTGCCGGGATCTTTTTTTGCGACCAGCATCCTGCAGTGGTCATTTGACGCAGACTCCTTTTGGAGAACCCCAGACATGGCCACGGTGTATGACATCAGCAAATCGATCGCAGTTGCTGGATGGAAGGATGCCACTGGTCACCAATGAGTGGGGGTGGTGTAGTATAGCCACAAGTCCTAAGGAATGTGATTCTGATATTGGAAGCTCTGCTTCTCTTACACTTGTTTTGGAAACTTGCAAATTATCTTTCCCAGTGGGACATATGGACATCATACCAACTTTAAACTTTTTGACTCACTTTACAGATCGCCACCCATAGAATCTGGACAGCTCGCCGCCCATGGAATCGAGATAGCTCGCCGCCCCCGGAATCGGGTTAGCTCGCCGCCCTCAGAAGCGGGGTAGCTCGCCGCCCATGGAATCGGGATAGCTCGCCGCCTTGAAATTTTCAACATTCTCTTTAGACATACTGCTGGTTAAGCTCCACTCACCATGTTTAGCAAAAAGCTCGCCACTTTGGGATCTCCATACCGGGGGCCTGGGTGGAGAGCTCTTCTGGGAAGAGCTCGCCGCCTCCAGACTCTAGGTGGCGAAGCCCCAGAGCAGTAGTGAAAACTTGCCACCATGTGAAGGGAAAAACATTTCAGGCATATACCTGTTAAACTAAGCAGCAAGACCTTGTATGAAAAAAAAGATGAATCCCAGACATCTACACGAGCCAGGGGTGGAGAGCTCTTCTGGGAAGAGCTCGCCGCCCAGGGGGTCCAACTTCCAACCTCAAAGTGGAGACCAAAAACCTCTCCGAGGAAGTGTGCCATCAAACTATAATGGGTTTCGGGCTTGAATTCTCTTAACGTCTCGCCTAATGCCGGGGGCCAGGGTGGAGAGCTCTTCTGAGAAGAGCTCGCCGCCTCCAGACTCTAGGTGGTGAAGCCACAAATTCTGTCAAACTTCCATCCATTGAAGGCAACCATTTCAGGCATACCCTTTTCAGTGGAAACAATACCTTCGGATGCAAATTTGAAGATGCATACCATATAGATCTACACTGGCCTTGGGGTGAATCATGGGGTTAGGCTGCAGAATGGTTATAATTACCTATGAAGATGAAACTGGTTAGCACGATACGGTTGGTTATTTTTGTGGTTCAAATGGGAGTGAATGTTGTTATCTTGTAATTTTCTTTGAAGGACCAACCTGGATAAGACTGGTCAACTACTTCGGGTAAATTCATCAGCCTTAAGTGTAAGAAGACGCAAGCACTGAATGCCAAGTAGAAATATGATTAACAAAGTCTCGCTCCACCAATGGATTTCCACTACCACCACAATAAGGTTGGACTGCCATTGTAATGTACTCACTTTTTGGGGCCAACCCCTGCCAAAACTAGAACATCTTGATTCCAGAAACCGCGTCTGACTCATTGCTGACAGGGTGAGAGCTTTGGCCTGCGACTTTCCGACGTGATCAGCCAATGGCTGATGGAGCCAACCTGGAGCCTCATGTCCAAGAGTTTCGGTTCGACGACGGGGGCATGAAGGGATTAGCGGCAGCCCTCTGTTGGTGTGGATTGGTCTACTTCGTGAGCAATTTGGATGACTCTGTAGTTTGTCATGGAGGGGCGCAGGAGCTGGCAATGTCTCTCCTTTCGATTCCAACCTGCTACAAGAGGCCCGGCCAAGACCCAGCTCATGCGATGATTGGTCGCATCATCCGTCAGAACGTCCAGGCCAAGAAGATGGCCGTAAGTTCGTTCGAGTGGTCCCAAATTCTTGGGAAAATGGCAAAGGAAGGTGAAAAAATCACGGTGCAGGAGGCCATCGAGATCTACAATGGGAACCCCGGAGTGGTCTCCCATGGAGGCAGTGGTGGGTCAAAGGACCATATTTTGCTCCGACAAGAGCTACTATTTTTCCGAGAAGCAGGCCAAAGAGGCCGGGTTTGTCCATGATCCTGACTGCAATAGCTCGGGAAATCTTGATGAGATTGAAGATGTGGACTAGAAATTTTGATATTTCAATCAAATTTTGATCCAGCAATTCCAGCAGAGCATCCGCCCGACAGCGGCAAGAACGCGAGAAAAAAGGTGGCCAAGAAGCAGCAGCAAAACGAAACCACCATGGCATGAAAACACTAAAAATCCTGCAAGCTCCATATATATATATATGTGTGTGTGTGCATGTATATATATATATATATGTGTGTTATATATTTATATAAGGAGAGAGATATTCTTGTGCATACATGTATATATATATATAGGAACATAAAAACCCCACTGGGCAAGTAGCACATGGTGGTACAACCGCCTATCATGACCAGTGCACAGCGAGCAACGTTGGAGCTCCAGTAGCCAATGTTCTGCGCGCTCGATGTCGCCACTCTTGGCACAACTATCGATCACCTCTTCTGGGCTCCCAGGGATTTCATGCGATTCGGCCAATGGTTTGGGCCTATGGGACTAATTGGAACTTCAATGGGACTTTTTTAGTGGATTTAATCACCAAACATGATCGTCAATGGATTGGTTTATGGATGTTTATGGGAACATGTACAGGAAAACCTCATGATTACTGTCCCTATCAATCCAAAGAGATGTGTGCGTGTGCCATGTGCCGTGGGGGCATCTCCAACTATCTGTGTGGACGGATTTGACTTTGAAAATGACAAATATGTTATAAAACAAAAAGCGCAGAAAATCACAAGGTGCAAAAGGTACGCACTACTATCTGAGTGAGCTCTCATGGTTTGGCGTCTCGGGTGGCTTTTTGATTGGAAGCACAATATCAAAACAATAGGGCTGAGACCTTGTGGTATGAAGTGGCTGGGGAAAACAAAGTACTGTAACACGAAAAGAAATATGTCAACCAATACTTAGGAAATGATCAACCAGACCTGCACAAGTGTACACTGGTTTAGACAAGCATAGTTTCATATGTTTTGGCACACACACAAATACACACGTATACAATATAAACATGTACACATCATAACATAATGTTACGTATAATCTCTATCAGTTCGCTCTGCCCCTGCAGCTACAGGAAGTATCCCTATCTAAATATCATTGCATGCCTAATTGATCAACAACCAGTGCATCATGATATATATATATATATATATTTACAATTATTTACGTATGTATATGCAAAATATTTAAACATAATTTACACAAAACTGAGGACATCAGTCAAAAGGTAGGAATCTACAGCTTCAATATGATGCATGAACGGAGAAACACCTTCTTCGCAGGGTTTTTCTATACAGTAGAATCTATATATATATATTAACATGGGTTTGAAGTTTCATCTATCATTTCATTTAAGGCGAACCAAACCTCCTTCCAAACTTCACCTAGTTTTGGAAGTTGTCGGTTTAGTTAGAGGGGCACTGTTTCTCCCAGAAATTCGATGATTTTAGCGATGATGAGCTGGGGCACTGTCCAGCTCACCCTTCTGAAGAAACTGATCCCTTCCAGAGCATCATCTTCCCAACGACAGGCCGGGGAGCGGAAGTAAAGCTGAACAAAGTCGGCTTCAGACTTTCTTCTTGCCTCGCGGGTCCCAGTGGCGGTTAATATTTTGGGTTGGTTCTCTAAAGCAAAACTTCCAATTTTCTCTAGGGTGAGCCATGGCTTTGATGAGAATGTGGGTTGCGTTCAACAAGTGCTTGAAGGATCTCGCAGGCGTCGGGTCTATGCTGGAAACTCCGGCAGAAAATAAGATGCATTTCTCATCTAAATATAGCAACTCCCAAGAAGATAGAAAAGTAGTTCGCCACTGCTTGGGAAGGATTTAACGTTTCTATCTTATTGGCTTATTGGTGGTTGCTCTACTCTATATAGCCAAACCTAGCCGCAAACAATGAATATACAAGGAATTTTATGCAACTTTCTCCTGACTCATGAACCAATTCTGGTACACCTAAGATGCGGGCAACAAAAGTCCCACAAATTCAATTTAAAGTCAAAAAGCCTTCTTATGGGGTGCACGGACTGGTTACTCTTCATTCCTGACTTCCAAGACATGTCCAATTCAACCCTCTGAGGGGCAAATTGGTCACTCATTTTGGGCAGTACAAGATGAAGGTAAGTAGCTCAATGTCACCTTTCTGGCTGAAGAGCACTGAATACTCAACATAGCTATCCATCCAAAAAGACAAGTCAACCGACGGCCAATTTCATTTGCAACTTCCCGGAAAGAGACGGACGGATTATAGTAACCCTTCAACGGCCCATTGATCTTGAGATACAATGAGTTATGTCATGTATTCCCGGGAGAAAACGTCGACCTGCCATACACCACTAGCCCAAACTTGAATAAGGGTAAAATCTGCAGGAAAACCCTTAATGTTGGCTATCGATTAGTGTGATGGACCACTATTGGGGATTTTTATCTCCAAAATAATTCAATATCCTGTGGATGGTGGGGGCGGGGCTCTATTGTGGAAAGTTTTTTCTCTGATCCATTTTTTTTCAGGAGGAGCTTTATCCACCTTTATACACCTTTCTTTGGGTAAAGCTGGTCCATTTACTTTAGAAAGCCATATCCATGTTAAAGCCTTGAAAATGCAAGGTTTTCCAAATAATTAGATGCCTTATTAAACCCTTATTAAAAAAAACAGCACCCAAACAATTTTTCAAGGGGGTACCCCATGAGTGACCCAGATCCTCAATAATGTAATTGTTTCAAAGGTACCCTATTGTGCACAACAACTTTTGGGGCCATGTTTTTTTTTGATTTAAAAGGAAAATCAATTGAAAGTAGGTTGATGTCAATTGAAATCCTTACTTAAGTTGACTATCCTAAAAATTGTTGAGAGGGGTCGTCTAAAATGATGGTTTATTGAGTACCCGCAAATTGTTGAGGGGGGGGCCACACTAATCAAAAGCCAGCACTATAGTTGATGGGGATGAAAAACTTTGGTTTCCTCTAGATTTTCCCGTGAACCTATCCATTGACTATCAAGTTTGGTAATGAGATCTCCACAAAATGCCATTAAATCCCTATTGTTGATGGTTAAATTGAGTTCATCCATAGTCAATCCATTGACGTTTCTTCCAAGTCGCATTTCCAGTAGATATCTTTCTGCCGCTGCGGAGGCTCCCACCTTCGCACAGGCATGGATCACCGTGTTGTAGCTGCGCACCGTGGGCGCCATGCGTCGCCGCCGCATGTCCTGCAAATGATCTTCCACCTTAACGCCTTCTCCGCCTAAGCGTTGAGATGCTGATCCATGCTGAAGTTTGAGAATTCACTCACCGGAAGCTGAAATAGGGCGACTGAGGGCTGATTCCCCTTACGAACCATCATTCCAGTGATTTCGGAGTAAAGTTTCCAGCATTCTTCCAAATCCATAGCATTTTTTAGGGTCTTAAAGGGATATAGTGCATGATGTGACCATCATCAATGGGGACTTAACTATCGAACATGAGTTCCGTCCCGAAAATAAAAACTAATCAATATTTCACCAGGGTTATGGATAGTATATAATTCGTAGTATTATAATGTATTATGTAACTATGATTGCATGACGTGAACATATGGTTATAAATCAACAAATATAATTTGGGGGCACCACCTTGTAAATATGCCCGACATATGTGGCCCTCCAGAACAAACAAATACAATACCAAACTAGGGTTTATATGGAGATGCTTCATCTTGAGGGGAGTGGATCACTTCATCCAAAGTTCCCAGCCTGCATGTCACTCGAGATCTGTGTAAACAAGATCTTGAAGGCCAAACTATAAATCACAGCTAGTGGTCATTGACCGTAGAATGCCAAATGATGCCATTGACATGTGGCATAAAAGGAATTCAGGGGGCCCACTCTCTGACCGCATCTGACAGCTAAAGGGCTCTTGGCGGCGGCGTCGATCAAGATGTTGATGGCAATGGGGGTGATCTCCAATTGCCTTTTTTCGCCTGGCGATTTGTGTGGGGACGCCTGTGCCACTTAGGGGGACCCAGCCAAACATCCGCTGTTCAACGAGATCATTCCTGGGCACCGCCGTACGTAAGCCCGCTTGAAAAAAAATCCGAATCCCAACGTATCCTAAACCTTTTTCCGAAGAAAAAACAACACATCCTAAATGAAAATCCAATCACCAATCACCGTTGGCCAACGAGAAAAACCTCCACAATCCTCCAGGGATACCCACAGAAAACCACCCAAAAGCATCCCAGACACGTTCCCAGAACCACTTCTGGGCTTTCTCTGCATGTCCGGCTTTGGCGGCCTCAGGGGGGATCCGAGGTGATCACTTGTCCGGCAAATCAACGTATGGAAAATTGCCATGTGTTTTTATAATATATATAATATTTAAAAACATAATATATATATATTATATTATATATATTATATATATATTATATTATATATTATATATATATTATTATATATATATTATATATATATGTTATAATATATATATATATTATATATATATGTTATATAATATATATAATATATATTATATAAATAAAAAATAATATAAAAATATTATATTATATATAAGTATTATATATATAATTGATTATAATATATTATAATTGTATAATTACTCGGCATAGGTAGATAGATGGGCCATTTTCCAAATCCATATGTTCGATGACCTTAGCGTTTTTTCTTGTTGCCACTTTGGGATCTCTATGGATCCCCAAGGGGGTCCTGGTACACCCTGCCAGGCGGCAGCTTCAGAGAGCTTTCCATAGGTCTCTTTGTTTGGGACCAAGCCCTTTGCCAGCAGAACTTCGTACCACTCCTCCGCTGCCACCAAATCCGCCGCGTTGGCACAGGCCTGTGGCTGCTGATGCTTTTAAAAGAGTTCATCTGAGACAAAATGATTGGACTACCTTGACAATCATTAATCAGAATCATTAATGAACCAACACATTATGATCATGATGTCCTTTGGAAAACAGATGGGTCGAGCAACTAAATTAAGCGGGAAAAAGGGAATTGATATACGTTTGTGGACCCAACATCATGTCATCCAAATTCCCTATTTGGTTTGGTGAAATTCCACCCTCCGTGAGCCAAATCCGTATGTCAGCTGAACCTCTTGGAACATCCCTTGCAATGGTGAAAATCTGGCTTCCCAGATTCCCAGCTCATGAATTATGATAATCCACAATCTATAATTGAATAATTGAATATGTATCAGATTGTATCAGCCACTGACACCAAACCACCAACATGTTTCAACTACATCCACATGTTTTATCCATATGTTATTTGCTCAAAAACCCTACACCTACAGTATCTTTTGTTGATTATACAAATACCCATAGCCATGCCAAAGAACTCCCACCTTCAGCACAGTGTTGTAGGCCAAGCGTTGTTCACTCTCTGGCAGCCAGGATTGCCTCAGTTGATCCCTGGTGACCTGCAGTTGAAGCGCAAGTGGGGAGTGTCGGTTGATTGTATGTGGTACCTACTTCAACCTAAGTGACTCATACAGAATACCTATTACTGTATCTTCTATGTTCGGATTCTGCACAGCATTTTCCAGCGTTGAGGATGTGAAATGATCGAGGACTCGAAAATCATCTCTGGAACATCGACTGCATCACATGATATCACCCCATTTCCTGGCCAACCAGGGCAGCTTCCGTGACCTTTTCGAAACTGCCCACCTTTTCGAACTGAAATCCACCTTTTCCCCTCTTCTGCCATGCCACATTTCCCAAAAGATTTCCTTGGTCCGCGCCACATCCCCCAGTTCAGCCGCATGATTCAGCTGATCCCAGCGTTGCCGTTGCGACACGCGGCTGCGGCGTTTCACCGACGCCAGCGCGGCCACCGGTGTCGCGCCCAGCGCCGTCCAGCTACGACGTCCCCTGGGGTCAGCCGCGGTGCCGCGGGTGCGGCGCTGCGAGAAGGCGCGAGAGGGGGAGGATGGGGAAACGGTGGCACCGGCACCCCATGGCAGCAGCATTGGGTCATAGGTCACAGCATGTCACAGCCACGCAACACATGCCATTCTTTGCAGGTTGAGCAGGTTGGAAATCTGCAGACAGTCTTGGATGGCCATGTTGCCAAACATCAAGCCAGAAGGGCTGTGATATAATGTGATTAGATCTATGTTTTGACACATGTTCTGATGCCAGTGCTTGATTTTGATATTGTGGAATGGTTGGGAGTGCTGGCTTCGTGGAGTGTTTTTAATGTCGTCCAACTTTGTTCAGTTCATGCTTCAGCTTCACCTGTGGATTTCATAGCTGTCATAGCTATGCATCTGCAAATGCTGTGGCGCCCCGGCACCATGCCCCAGTTTATTGGATTTCACCCCCACACCCTTGCAAGGTGATGTAGGATCGGGTGTTTTGGAGTACATCCTGATGCGATCTCATAAGTACGAGCTAAATGAATGGTTCGAACATGTTTGGGATTCCATCTCTCATGCATTTCCCGGGCTAAAAATGGCCCATGCTAGTTGGCATACCTGGGCTCTCTTCACATTCTGACAGGTGCGATTCCGATTCCGGGAAGCCACCCCGAAATAATTTTCGTTGGCCTGGAACATTGTGGGGATCACATCCTGGGAAGAATTTTCTATCTTTTTCTAAGATCCCTGGGATTCCAGTACCATGGTGTGCCCTGCAGAAAAGAAGGACTTCCAACCCCTCTGAAGCTCAGCCCATGGTTAGCCCGACGGTCATTTCTTGAGCAGTCAAGCTAGCCGTGCGGCTTTAAGCTGTTGCAATTTGCAGGGAGAAACTGCTGCAAAAATTCTTCGGGCTTGCCACCCAGACCAAATCTCACAAGATTCACGAAAGAAGATAAAGAAGGTAAAGAAATGGCCCGACTCAAATGATTCGGCGTTTGGGCCACCAAACAAAAGGTCTTCAACTTGCTTTCATACATGGTCAGAAAGTTAATAATATACTGTAGCTGATGCAGCAATGCATAGCATGGAATAGCTACAACAGGTGCAGCCCCTTCATGGACTCCAACGTCCTCAACTGCGGCATCAAATGATGGTAAAATATATGCAGCCCTGAAGTTTCACATTATCCTAACATCATGTTGCACTTCCAAGACCCAGCCAACAGAAAAACTTATGGCCCAAAAATGATCGCGTACGCTGATGTTATTTGTTGATATTTGTGCATGTTTGGTGGACCAGGTATGGACCAGGTATGGCTGGCTCTTTGCGAAACTTCAAGGCTGCTGGAAACTCCATCAGCAAGTCGCGACGGCTCAGCGGCGTGCTTCTTCCAGGGCCTTGCGGATACGATCCACGGAATCCTGCTCCTGCCGCGTTGGAAATGGTCGGAGACTCTGCCCAGCTTTCACCAAATATTATCTTCAGTGGGTCTTATAATTTAGCCAAAATGAAGTTGACTGGTTGACTCGGACTCAACTGAATGTGTCAAAAGTGACCTGCAAACACGGGCCTGATTCTTCAATCCCAAACAATTGGTTTCGGGGACCATGACATCTTCAAACACCCAAAAAATTGCTTGTCATCAGGGGTCATCATCCCAAATATGGTTCCTGGAGATTCTGAACGGAAAAAACACAAGAGTACCCTCGGAAAAAATAACATAATATGTATGTATACAGTATAAAGATGTATGACACTAGATTTTAGGAAATTATATACATGCCTATATCCTATCTCTTTTGTTTGGAAGGCTACAATCAGAAAACCAACGCGCCTCGGCCAGTTCGGCTTCCTGCTGCTTGGCCCAGTTCTTCAAGTTCTCCTTCACGTCCTTTCCAGCCTGGGCCCAACTGGCTCACCTTACAGAGCGCCCAATGTGGTAAACCCATGTAATCATCCCAGTAACCCCCTTGGAAAGGCGAATTGTTTGGATAATTTTTCGGAAGTCACTCACCGACTAAGTATGGAGCATCGATGTTTAAAGGAGCTTTCATAGTATTTTTGAGGTTTTAGTTCCACCACCAACCAGCTGAGGTTGATCAAACTCAGTCAAGGGACTAAGAATGAGTACATGGTATGGAGTTCATGTGGGCGACCCCAACCGGGGTTTGGGCTCGGGGCCAACGAACCTCCAATATGTTGGGAATCCCCATGTATTTGGCATCATCCACCAGTCGATCCCCACCTGCTCGTACTCCTTGTTCCAGACATCGAAGGCCTTCTCGGCATCGGCCTTGTTCTCGAAGACGCCCAGCAGGTAGCGGTTGCCAAAGGAATCAATGGCCTCTGGTAATGAAACACTATTTATGAAAATCACCAACAATCATTCGACAATTCGACACTCTGAAAACACTTCTGCCAGCAAGAATGAAACATTGCACCATTTAACTTGGAACATCTTAAAACCAACAACTGCCCACCATCATCATCCACAATGGTGATCCCCACACAGGTTGTAGTAACTATAGTTACGGACCAGTCACCAACATTTATACAATATCCTATCGTACCGGATGGCAGGTAGATTCCCCATAAATTTGGCTATCTCCCACAAACAAATGCATATATATATATATATATATGCATTATGTATATATGCATTTATTTATACATACTATGATATATGTAATCATATAATGTAGCAGTATATGTCATCACATGTATACCTATATGAATATGTTTATATTGTATTGTATATAAATAAATAAATAAACATAAATAAATAAATATATATATATATGTGCGTATATGTGTGTGTGTGTCTGACATGACTAGAGCATACTAGAGCTACTTGCCAGCTATCCCACTGGGTTTTTGGAAAACCAATCCAGTGGTTGACGAATGGGGTGCAGTTCCAATGAGTTCCAATGAGTTCCCATACGACCATACAACATCATACGACGTTATGGGGTTATGTCCCAACTTGTGCCAAAAAAAATCCTTGTGGCATTGCACTTAAAAAAGTTGAGAATAGGCATATTACATGATATTCCATTATAGTACCAGAAACTAGAGGGTAACTGTGGTTACCTGGTTAAACACCAGCTCACGGGGTTACTTAAATGATCATAGTTCTAGCCAGCAAAATCCGATAGCCTCGGACTTGTAGAGCTTCTCAGCAGTGCCCCAGCTGTGTTTGAACTCGCCTTGCCGCATCAAGGGATTGGCTTTGCAACCCAATAAGAAAACTATGCTTATGTAATGAATAATGATGAATTGTTTTTGCCTTTCTATGTTTGTTTTGTGGGCTGGGTATAATTTCTAAATATAGGTGGGATATGGTGGGATATGTTCAGGGTACATTTCTTTTGGGCAAAGCCGGCGCTGCAAACAACTATTAATATAGTGAACTTAGTGGCCACCCTGTGGTTCCAAACGAGTCTTGTAAAGGAAACCTCACATCGAACTCCAAAACAGCCAAGCCCAAGAGGAAATCATGTTTAAAGCCACCTAGTGGTGTTGCTGAGGTTCACCAACCACCAGCGCCGGTGATTGTTTTCTGTGCTGGAGGTCAAGTGACCTTCAATGACAGCAGGCTCCTTGGCCAAGTCCACCAACATCTCCTCATCCAAGGGAGCCACCGGGGTGTCCATGTGCTTGGGCAGCTCCTTCCAGATCTGCTTCACGATGTCCGCCTAGGGCAAGGAATGGCAGAGAAACTATCCCCAACTATCCACCGATGGAGGGGCTATCATAGATTCATAGATCACCAAGGTAGGACAGGAAAAAAAGAGAGTGGAGATGGCTTACTGGTGTGGATCCTGCATGGTTTCTTTCTCCTGTATTTAGTATATCTTGTATGTGGCAAAGTGAGTGAACTCCAACGTCAATTAGCTATGTGATGCTATGTGAAGGAACTTTCACGGCAAAGTGCTCAAGTGCTGCTACTTGCTGCCATGCAGTTCCTCCCTACTATTGTACGAAAATCTTGGTTTGGAAGCTGGATCGAAGTTGACGAATCCCAAGGTTTGCTTCCAACACCACCCTCCGCTATAGAGGCTAACGGAGATATAGAAAATGGCAATTTAAACACTATTTACCCATGAAGAATCCATTAAGAATGGTGATTTTCCACAGCGGCAAATGGCTCGAACTCTGTGGTTCCCATGCCATGGTTCCCATGGCCTTGGTCTTGCCTGGCATGTCCTTCTGCGATCGGAAGAACTTCTTCAAACCTCACCGAAACCGCCCAGCATCAACCCATGGTCCACAGAAATGAGTCTACCTCTGCTCATGTCGTCTCATATGGATCTATAAACATAATGTTGACCTAAATCGCTGATTCAATTGATGATCGGTTTCCCTATTGCATAGCTACTTGGGGGGTATAATTATCTGAATCTCATTAAGACACAGCCTATAATTATTCATGTCTCATTGCATTTCACGGTGGGGATTGCCAACGGCCGAACATGGCCCAGCCTTCCACATCCTTCTCCACCTCCTCGCGCTGCTTGTAGTAGCCGGCCACCAGCTCCCCAGCCTGCTTCCACCACATCTCATCCAACTCGCTGTCCGACTTGCCTTCCTTCTGAGCCTTGGTGCTCCGACAGAAGTTGACCTGGTAAGGAGAATGCTCAACCAGGCCGAAAATCACTTGCACCTCACTCAAATGCCAACCCCAAAAAACAGCTTCGTCCAAAAAAATGGAGAAGCCATGGATACCCATGATGTGCTTCCATCACTTTCCCATATCTTCCCGCGGCCGCCAGCATCCACCAAGTGGCCGCAATGCCGCCGGCGGTGTTCTTCAAGTCATCGATCAGCTTGCGGGGAAGCTTCACGGCAAAGTCCTGGCCGCACCGTGTCAATGTATGGTTGTTGTGGGAACTAGGATGAGCACCCCAGGCCAGAAAAAAATGGGGTTTGGGAGGTTTTCTGGTCCCATGATGTCCCAGGTGGCTTTCAAGGGAGGTAGCGGCTTCCAAACTGAGAATCTCCTCACCAGCCGCTGGGATCTTGAAACCATCCAACATCTTCTTGATCTTGGCCGCATCAGCTGGGGCAGAAGCATCCTGGCAGCTTAGCAGCTTGGACCTATTAATTCTCTGTTTCTCTCTCTGCCACCCTCTCGTTGGGACATATCGACATCTGATGTTACTGATGTTACTGTATTTGTCGGCTTTCTTCATATGGGAATATATATATAATGTTTCTTGGATTTTCTTGGGAGGTTATATTGCAGATCTTGATAAATCTGCAGATCCTGGATCCTCAGCATCACACCTAGGCCCTAGGCGCGGTGGTTGAAACTTCTCCTCCATGGCTTTCTTCATGTTCTCCAGCTGCTTCACGTTGTTGGTGTGGTTCTCACCATCATTGGCAAACAGGTACATCTCCTGCACATGTCACACTCAAGTCACACCTCCGGGCTGTACATGGCTGTACAATCTGTACTGCTGACGGCAGAACTAGAAACAGCAATAAGAACAGTGAAATGCCATGGAACCTCGCATCACATGTTCCCTACGATCGATTGCATTTTGTCTGTCATATCTGTCATGTCCCCTTCAAAGACGCTTTTGTATGCTTTGTTGCGTCCTCCAAAGGCGCGGAGTTGGGGGCGACCTCGTCCTTGTCTTCAGCCAGCTTCATCTTGTCCGTGGCGAAGGACCAGCGGCGGTCCGCATCGCGGTCCACTTCGATGACCGCGCGCTTGAGGCTGAAGTCGTAGGCCACCTGGCCAATAGTCAACCATCTGCAGGATTTGAGCATCAGTGGCTCGAGGCAAGAGAAACAACTATTAGCAAAATTAGGGCAAGTGGAGGAAACAGCCACAAATCATACATAGCAGCAACATGAAGAACCGCTAAGCGGATGCTTCGAATTGAACATGATGAACTTCTGATGGCGCATGGGTTTTCAAAACAGTCAAAACAGGCTTCAAAATTGCAAAGAGAGAGAGCTGCATATTGAGGGTCCATCAAAAAGTCTGAGAGCGAGTTTCTTCTTTCGGGACCTCAAGCTTTGGGCTCACTAATAAAGGCGTTCTATCCACATTGTCGGAGGACCCTGATGGGACATGATTGATGTCCGTTCTTGCTTCCCATGCCACATTCGGAAGAGTATGAGGAGCTTTGGGGAATGCGGGTGCCATCATGGGGGGGCCACATGGGGCCAAAAGATACGATAGGATAATTGCCCTCCTACAACCAAACCCGCCGACGGAAATCGCCCTGTGACAGACAGACAAACTGCTGATGCCCTTGAAAACTCCAAAAAGTTCTTGGATATTCTTGGATCATCATCCTTCAAAGAGTAATATACGCAAACACACCAGAGGATGTGGCCTCTGGATGAAATGGGAATTCTTGCCGATTGCCATACCCCAGCTGCCACCCGTTCCTACCTGGTTCGCCTTCTTCTGCAGGGCATCGTAGTCCGGGGTCTTCATTGCCACGTCCTGAGGGCAACCAGCGCCTCAAGGAGCCCGACAAGTTTGTTGAAAAGTCATCAGTCACTATAGGGTTCACGGATGTTTATGGTATATATATATATATATGTGGAACTAGTTCGTGGAGTTTGTCACCAACTTGTAACTTTGGAGGCACCATGTTGTATGATAAAATGTTCCGATCGAGATTGAATAACTAACCCATACTAACATATACTAACCCTATTCTATCAAACCCAAAATCTAAGGTTTGAAGCTCTTACCATGTAACATCAAGTGCGGTATTCCATCAATTCCAAGAAACCATTTACCAAAATTTTACCAAACATGCTGCTGCCTTGTTTTGACGCTGATATCTGCTATGTTTGACCGTCCCAGTCCTTCTTGTAGTCCTCGCGCTCGTTGTCGAAGAACTTCTGCAGGACCTTTCCGAAGGACTCGATCTTGTCCTCTGAGACGCTCTTCTTGAACTCATCCGAAGCGCGGAACTTCTTGTTGAATTCCTGAGGTTCACATCGAGTCGAAGGGGGATAGTGTACCCAGTTGGTGATCCAAAGGTCATGTTGCCATACCCAACAGTGTGAAAAAGCAGAATTTAAACAATTTTAGCATTCTTTGGAAAATATTACTATTATAGGCATAGGTGACAACAGTATTCTGGAAACGGATTGAAAGCAGCAGGGGCAGCTTGAAAAAGAAACAGCATTCTGCTGGAACCACCATGGATTTTTTTCGATGGGTGAAACTCCCGAGAAAACATGAACATGAGAAGTCCATAAACATGAGCTTGGAACACATGCAGGGTCTGCACAAGAGCAGAGTGCCCCTTTGGGCAGCCAAGGAAGGCAACAGCCCCAAGACTGAAAGCTGCCAAGATGCGTTCTGAGCCTGCTTCAGCAAGAGTGCCTGATCTTCGGAGCTCAAAGTCTCCTTCCAGGCATAGAAGTCGTCCTTGAAACCCCTCATGGCCACCTTGCTGCCCCTTGGGGTGGCGCTGTTCATGACGAAGCCGCTCTGGCTGGTCAAGGAGCTCAACATCCAGGCGCCCAGCGCCAACAGCACCATCGGGAGGAGGCTCATGGAGCGGGACATGGTGCAACAATCTCAAAACTGGCGCTCTGCCGATCAAACTGAAGAACTGAGCCGAAATGCATCGACCATCAACGAGCTGGGTTGCTGGGATGTGGGCAGGACCTACTGCAGCAGCCTCTGTGCAAAGCCGGTGGAAGAAACAGAACATGGATGCTGAAGGTGTGGGACATCGACAACCTTCAATGCCTGTGTAAATATGTAAATGTTCTGGCGGACGCACCTACCATGCACAAACCACACGCATCTACTACAAACGTTTTTTTTTTTCAAAGACAGAACCAACTCGATATGAATACACATATATTAGGTGATCACAGAATCACACATGAAACATGTCCTCCACCAAGACAGCACAACCATGACCCACCCAACTGCGAAAACTTTGTCTCCCCAAGCAGCTGAAAATCAAATGCCTAGTTATATAGGTACCCAGTAGATTCACATATGTATATGTATACACTGCCATGAAAATAATTATCTCCAAAAAGATACGATTTATAACCCGTTTTATTAGTGAAGATTCTATATATAATATACATACATATATATATATTCCATAAATATTATAAATGTTATAGATCCAAAAGTGCAACATCCAGGCATAAATATAGCTCCCCGGCTCTTGAGCATCCTCACATCTGGCCTCTTTTTGTGGCTGAACCAGGCCAGTCATTCTGTTGGAAGGGTTGGAATTGGAAAACTCCAACTTAAGAATCTGAATGGCTGAATTTGGTCAAGATTTGGCTAGGCAGAGTCTAATGGAAGAACAACTGCATGCATATGCTGCATAGGTAACAAGAAAGCAAACATAGGTGCACAATGTTGCATGTACGTTCACAACAAAAAAAATGTAATTACTACATCATGTGCTGAAAAACATTTCCCCAGGAAACAACATTTCTAAAAACATGGAAAAATGAGGCAATGTTTTTTTCAGCGTCAACGTCCAGCCCAACAGAATTCACCCTTCATTACAGCAGGTTCCCTTGCCCGTCGTGGAGTTGCTAAATGGGTCACCTGTGATGTGGCTTTCAGTTGAAAACTATAAAATGATATAAAATGGATAGCCGCAAAGTAAGTGATTTATAAACCCGATCCGTTTTGTAAGCCCCAGTTTTGTTGTACCCACTCACCAAAAAAAGGGGAATCCTTAAGAGTCCCTGTGGTGAACCAAATGATCTAAGCCCCAGCGAGGTTTGACTGAACATAGGGCACCCTCGGATCCCGTGCAAGGTGCTAGCTGTAAGCTGTAAGTTGATTTATAAACCACAATGGATTGGTTTTGTTGGGAAAATCTACAGGAAACCATGGTTTTTACCATCAAATATGACGGGCTTTCCAGTAAATTTTCCCATCATCCAATTCTATGAAAACCACATCAACTATTATCTACCGTAAACCATATGGCCTAGTTATAAACCAACTTAGCCATCTAGAGGGCACCACCTTGTGCTGAATCACCAGTTATCCCTGGACCAACCCAGCCGGACCCAGCCGTCTTCAAGCGGCTACTGTTTCGCGCTGGCCGCGCGATGCTAGACACGTAGTGTAGACGGTCTCCGACACTGTCGCGCTGGCCGCGCGACGCCGGGGGAAAAAGTCCTCCAAAAATCTCCAGCCGATTTCTGCTGCGCTTTAGATCCATGTTGTCCATGGCCAAGATGTCACACTTGAAGAATGCACATGGTATCATGGTATCATTGTTAATTGTTGAAACTCATTTTTGCGCAAGTGATTGTGTAACATCAAACATAATCAATCATAATCATGATAATAGCAATCTGAGTTTGAAAATGATCTCATGGATCTATCAAATCATCTTTTGTTCATTCCTGAACGCTCTTCGCTCGGCGCTCAGCGGCGTGCTTCTTCCAGGGCCTTGCGGATACGATCCACAGAGTCTTGCTCCTGCCGGCGGTATGTGTTGGGTCTGAACATGTCGGATTTACACCTCAAATAGCAGTTTTAGTAAGGATTAAGGATCATATCATACCTGCATACAGAATCTAAGATATCTAAGTTCAGTTCAGAACATTAAAAAGCCCACCAACCGGGTTGCTTTCCCCATTGGATCCCGATCAAAATCAGGTTCCAAAAATCACTACGATGTCCTCGGCAAGCTCGGCTTCCTGTTGCTTGGCCCAGTTCTTCAAGTTCTCCTTCACGTCCTTGCCAGCCTGCTGCTGAAACCAACGGTTTCATATCGAGGTCTACAGTTTCACCGTTGAACCACCTAATCAATAGGGGGAGTTTGACCACCAAAAGGATTATGGGGATTTCACAGGGATTTCATCAACGAATATATTATTATGATTATTATGAAAATATGGATTGGGATGTGAAAACTGGTAAGGTTTCACGAGGAAAGGTTCGTGGCATTATGTTTATATTCTGTGGCCTTGGAGACATGGACCTGGAGTTTGAGAATGGGGTAACCGACCTGAAGAGTTATTTTCTTCTATGATTTTCGTTTGATTTCAAGGTTTTTGTATGTTTTCGTGATGATTGCCAGCTTCCAAGGCAATCTTTTCGGTTTCTCCGAGGTACCAATTCCATTCCAAGATCTGTCACAATTGGGGAGGCTGCGAAGCTGCGGTGTCATCAAAAAATGGATAGACAGCGACAAAAAAAAAGGTGACCACCTCAAAAACACATCCCAACGACCATCAACGATCAACCCCCTGGACCTCCGGCCCGGGGAAAAAAGTGCCTGCTCGTACTCCTTGTTCCAGGCATCGAAGGCCTTCTCGGCATCGGCCTTGTTCTCAAAGACGCCCAGCAGGTAGCGGTTGCCGAAGGAATCGATGGCCTTGGCCAAGTTGCGATGCTAATCGAACTAAACCCTTGATATCACCTGATCACCTTTGATCAACATATTTTTATGACAATACTTTTGCAGCACGTGACACCACACAAGAAGTATATGTGGCTGCATCTACATGTGCACCTCTATAGAAGATGGTGCACATCGAGACGGAAGAACGCAATACCTGCCCCAAAACAAACTCCGCTTCCTGGTTTCAATTAAACATTTAACATAGATTGTTGGGGATCTTCATAGGCATATCAAATACTTGTCTCCAATAGCCCACCAACTGCATCAAACACTTATCAAACATCCCTTCAAACATCACCAGCACGGCTAGCTGGAAACTCCCCCATTGATTGTCCCACGATGTCCCACTTAAAAGCCCCATGTCTTGGAGGATTTTCAAGTGCCATTGGCCACACAAAAACCAACCGTGGCAACAAACAAATCTCCCTCTGCCCTTTTTTGAGACGAGTCACCTCGGACTTGTAGAGCTTCTCGGCAGTACCCCAGCTGTGCTTGAACTCACCTGGCGGGAAACTGGGCATTTTGGAAGACCGTGAATTGAAGGGAAACTGCGCACGATTCCTCCACCAATATTGAAAAAATGAACAAGTAATGAACTCTAAGGGTAGTAACTGGTTCACAGCGTCGACGCACGTTGAAACAGTTCCCAACAAATGGTTTGAGTCCACCGTTGGAAAACCCAGCGGTGCGCAACACAAACATGTCGACCATGTGTGCTGGTTGTTGAATGATTGGGGGGGTTGCACTGGGACCATGTCCACAATTTGGCACTCTACTCGCAGGAACAAGCGATAACAAACATCTGCTCACCCCATGTTTAATGATCCCAAGGTTCACCATTTGAAGATCTGTTTGAGCGGAGAAAATTTCCCTGTCCCGTGGACGGTCCCTACACGTCCCTACCGCAGCGCAAATCTTTTAGCCAGGCTTATCGCACTTACAACTGGAAGAGGTTTTTGCAATCCTGCCTTATTATTTTTTATTACCCAGGGGTTAAATAAAAAAACACATTATATAAGATTCGGAAAAAATCATGGGTGATTAAGCCGCTTACAGGTCATTACTCACAACTCAGAACTCCGTGCATTTCGCGGGAAACATACCCACCTTCAATGACAGCAGGCTCCTTGGCCAAGTCCACCAGCATCTCCTCATCCAAGGGAGCCACCGGGGTGTCCATGTGCTTCGGCAGCTCCTTCCAGATCTGCTTCACGATGTCTGCCTCGGGCGAACAGGGCCTGGTGACAGAGGCAGCAGGCAAACATCACAACTGGCATAATTCAGGGCATAATTATATATGAAAGAACATGAAAGACATATATCCACTTAAACTTAAACATATGTTCCTTTTGTTACTTCAAATTGGCCCGATTATCATAACAGTGTAACATGTTCATCTCTTTTTTGCTACTTTGGCCTTTCCCCCGTTCTATGGTTGAAACAACAAGTTATATCATGTTATATCTAACACCACCTACCAGTTATCATCATTGGTTATATTACCATTTCATATCCCCAAAGATATCTCCATGTTGGATGGTTACTCCTGGTAAACGTTTACGAAAAACTATGGAAAGATCCATTTTTCTCACTCTAAATGGGCCATTTTCCATATCTATGTTAAATTACCAGAGGGTAGTTCGATGATTTCCCATTAAAAACCTCCATGTACAGTGGATTTTACCATTGAAACCTTCATTTCAAACCCGGGATTACCCAGCCAGCTATGTTAGTTTATCAGAGGGTAAGCCACCACAGAATGGTCAGAACGGGACCGTCTCGGGACCTTGGTCTTTCCAGGCATGTCCTTCTGCGATCGGAAGAACTTCTTGAGGCCTCTCGCTGGGCATGTTCCAGTTTTGGAGATTTCGAGAAAGAAGAATGCGGCATACTCAATTACATATGGTATTTACCTCCATTTTAGGATCCTGAAATTCCCATTGACATACTGATTCATGGAATTTCATGGATATTCAAGATAACGGAACAAAACACGAGTGTTTTGTTTGCCCACCTGAAGTAGTTGCAAACAACATCTATCAACGTCCATTGCACCACGCTGATGCACTAAGGAGGTGACCCAATTGGTACATTCATTACAACATGATATGGGAAAAATCGCCACTTGTAATTCTTCTCCACCCTTCTCCATACATCAATAGCCCCTAAGTGGTAGCCTTCTTCAAACTCACATCCCCCAAGAATCTCCCCAGTGTTTCACACCACACCTTCCACGTCCTTCTCCACCTCCTCGCGCTGCTTGTAGTAGCCGGCCACCAGCTCCCCAGCCTGCTTCCACCACATCTCATCCAACTCGCTGTCCGACTTGCCTTCCTTCTGAGCCTCGGCTGGGTAGCATTTTTTCGTGGCCCCATGAGACAACAAACCAATTGCTTCCCCCGACATGGACGATATGTAGATAGATTAGATAGATTAGATAGATTAGATAGATTAGATAGATTAGATAGATTAGATAGATTAGATAGATTAGATAGATTAGATAGATTAGATAGATTAGATAGATTAGATAGATAGATAGATAGATAGATAGATAGATAGATTAGATAGATTAGATAGATTAGATAGATTAGATAGATTAGATAGATTAGATAGATAGATAGAGATAGATTAGAGATAGATTAGAGATAGAGATAGATTAGATAGATTAGATAGATTAGATAGATTAGATAGATTAGATAGATTAGATAGATTAGATAGATTAGATAGATTAGATAGATTAGATAGATTAGATAGATTAGATAGATTAGATAGATAGATTAGATAGATAGATAGATAGATAGATAGATAGATAGATAGATAGATAGATAGATAGATAGATAGATAGATAGATAGATAGATAGATAGATAGATAGATAGATAGATAGATAGATAGATAGATAGATAGATGTAGATAGATAGATAGATAGATAGATAGATAGATAGATAGATAGATAGATAGGATAGATAGAGATTAGAGATAGATTAGATAGATAGATAGATAGATAGATTAGATAGATAGATAGATAGATAGATAGATAGATAGATAGATAGATAGATAGATAGATAGATAGATAGATAGATAGATAGATAGAAAGATAGATAGATAGATAGATAGATAGATAGATAGATAGATAGATAGATAGATAGATAGATAGATAGATCGATTGATCGATCGATAGATAGATAGATAGGTAGATAGATAGATAGATAAGACAGATAAGATAGATAAGATAGATAAGATAGATAAGATAGATACGATAGATAAGATAGATAAGATAGATAATAATAGATAAGATAGATACGCTAGATAGATAGATAGATAGATAGATTAGATAAATAGATATATAGATAAATAGATAGATTAGATAAGATTAGAACGATAGATAGATAGATAGATAGATAGATAAGATAGATAAGATAAGATAAGATTGGATAAGCTTAGATACGACAAGATAAGATTAGATAAGATTAGATAAGATTAGATAAGACAAGATTAAATTAGATTAGATTACTGTAGATTAGATTAGATTAGATAGATAGATAGATAGATAAGATAGATAAGTTAGATAAGATAGATAAGATAAGATAGGATAAAATGAGATAAGATTAGAGAAGATTAGATCAAATTACTGTAGGTTAGATTAGATTAGATTAGATTAGACTAGATTAGATTAGATTGGATTAGATAGATTAGATAGATAGATAGATAGATAGATAGATAGATAGATAGATAGATAGATAGATAGATAGATAGATAGATAGATAGACTAGATAGACTAGATAGATAGATAGACTAGATAGATAGATAGATAGATAGATAGATAGATACATAGATAGATAGATAGATAGATAAGATAGATAAGTTAGATAAGATAAGATAAGATACGATAAGATTAGATAAGATTAGATAAGATGAGATAAGATTAGATAAGATTAGATTAGGTTAGATTAGGTTAGATTAGATTAGATTAGATAAATAGATAAGATAGATAAGTTAGATAAGATAAGATTAGATTAGATTAGATAAGATTAGATAAGATTAGATAAGAGTAGATAAAATTAGATAAGATTAGATCAGATAAGATTAGATAAGATAGATAAGATTAGAAAAGATTAGATAAGATTAGATAAGATTAGATTACTGTAGGTTAGATTAGATTAGATTAGATTATATTAGATTAGGTTAGATAGATAGATAGATAGGATAGATAAGTTAGATAAGATAGATAAGATTAGATAAGATTAGATAAGGTTAGATAAGATTAGATAAGATTAGATAAGATTAGATAAGATTAGAAAAGATTAGATTAGATTACTGTAGGTTAGATTAGATTAGATTAGATTATATTAGATTATATTAGATTAGATAGATAAATAGATTAGATTTGGGGGATGTGGGGTAGGGCTCCAAACAACCTGCACGCGGATTGAACAAAATGGGTGAAATCTTTCATGTGGCGCCTCAGTGATGTGGGTCGGTTTCTGCACCCCAGCAGTGCAGTGCAGTATTGGTTAAGTACTATATATAGACATATGTATATAAACCAACTAAATGAGTCTTAACTGTTTGATACCGTGGTCAAGACTACTGTAGTTTATGTGTGTATATATAATAAACAATATATATATATATATATATGTATATATATATGTATATTTCAAAAACTATATATATATATGATTATATATGTATGTATTATATAACAGGTTATAACATAGCAACCCCCCCAGAAAAAAAAAGAAAACCATGGAAACCTGGAAATACCAAGATTCAGCGATGCCACCAGCCGTGGCTTTCAGATCATCGATGAGCTTGCGAGGCAACTTGACAGTGAAATCCTGGCCACCGCTCCGCTCGGATCGTCGGACGGTGGCCATGTGATTGAATCATCAACAATAAGGGATTGAAAGAACACCATCCAGAAAATAGAGATTTAAGATGATTCAATGGTGATTTGATGTTCTTGTTTTTTTAATCAGCAAACTTGATAGTCAATGATAGTCATTGGACGAGTTGAAGTGACCTACAGGAAACTCCTGGGACATTGGCTAAGCTTGACGCGAAGGGTCAGTAGCTTGGAACAACCCTGCGATTTGTGGCACAAGAATGAAGGGGCTCAATAAACAAATACAAAGAAAATAAACATGACAAAAATTGATAAATGCATCAACATTGTACAGGTTCTTTTTGGAATGTTGAATTCCCCAGATTCTTGTGTGTGTGTCCCTGAACCCGCCACCATACACAATCCCATAATTGTCGCCAACCACTGGATTCAAGCCTCCCAAACAAAATCATCCCGCCACACAAAAAATGCTGCATCGCACCAGCAGCCCAAAGCTCCAAAATAAAAAAAAAAGCTCCTCGCCGGCAGCGGGGATCTTAAAGCCATCAAGCATCTTCTTCAGCTTGGCTGCATCTGCTGGTGCAGAAGAATCCTGGTGCACTGATGTTCATTCCGTGGAACCAGTCGAAACTGCAAAGAATGATAAAACATGGAGACTTGAACATGGATGAAACCAATGTTTTCAGATGCTTTCAGCACAAGCTGCTTCTCAAACTTGCTGATTCACATTGATTCAAACCCAAAAACAGGTTGGCCAATGTTATAGATTGGTGTCACTATAGCACACTATAGAAAATAGGATATCTTCATCCTTCTGGCGATGACGGCAGGACAGGTCCTCCAGGGCTTTCTTCATGTTCTCCAGCTGCTTCACGTTGTTGGTGTGGTTCTCACCATCATTGGCGAACAAATACACTTCCTGTGGCCGTCCAAGGCACCAAAGCGTTGTAAGAATTGAGGATCCACGGTATGGCTATCACGGTATGGCTATAGCAAAGCATTCCAGATTTCTAGCTGTTTGTGGCTCTTTGCGCTTAAACATGCTTTAAAACCATGCGCCGCAAAGCATCTGGTTGCTTTCGTCATTTGTCATAATGAGACATGTTTCTGCAGATGTTTCCTCGCAACCAATGCTGCAAGCGGCCCATATCTGTCCTCCAAAGGAGCCGAGTTGGGGGCGACCTCATCCTTGTCTTCGGCCAGCTTCATCTTGTCCGTGGCGAAGGACCAGCGGCGGTCCGCATCGCGGTCCACTTCGATGACGGCGCGCTTGAGGCTGAAGTCATAGGCCACCTTGTGGATGCAAAGGTCATGAAGGGTCAGGGAAGAAGGAACATGATTAATTATAGGATATTATGGATATTATTGGGAAACTTGGATGATGATGATGATGATGATGATGATGATGATGATGATTTTGATGATGATGATGATGATGATGACGACGAATACGACGATTTAATGATAATGGTGGGCTGCAAATTTTCAGAATCCATGTTGATAGCATGCTGATACAAACCCTTCCTTCCCCAAGAGGATGATTCCAAAACAACCAGCCTGATTAGCCTTCTTCTGCAGGGCATCATAGTCGGGGGTCTTCATGGCCACATCCTTCTTGTAGTCCTCTCGCTCGTTGTCGAAGAACTTCTGCAAGACCTTTCCGAAGGATTCGATCTTGTCTTCTGAGACGCTCTTCTTGAACTCATCCGAAGCGCGGAACTTCTTGTTGAACTCCTGGGACCGGGCGTGTCGTGTTGGCTGTAGAAAGACAATCCATGTTGGCTGCATCCAGTGGTCCAGTGGCCTTAATGAAGACATGCCAATGTGCATTTACTTCAATCATATGAAGAGTTTGATTTAGTTACTGTAGTCTGCGTCCAACATGCCCACTCCTTTCTGCCAAGATGCGTTCTGAGCCTGCTTCAGCAAGAGTGCCTGATCTTCCGAGCTCAAGGTCTCCTTCCAGGCATAGAAGTCATCCTTGAATCCCCTCATGGCCACCTTGCTGCCCCTTGGGGTGGCGCTGTTCATGACGAAGCCGCTCTGGCTGGTCAAGGAGCTCAACATCCAGGCGCCCAGCGCCAACAGCACCATGGGGAGGACGCTCATGGAGCGGGCCATGACTGAGATCCGGGGAAGTTGGGAAACTCGTGGGGCCTGCTCTGAGCCAATGGCACGACATGGTGCTCTGGGTGATTCTCGGCCCGCTCCGTCGTTTGGCTATCCCCCTAAGAGCTCGGAGATCGAAGTTTCATACAGAAAATGAAAGCAGTTTTACGCAGAGAGGGGGCTCATGGTTTCAACATGTTTCAACTCCCTGAACATATGTCCTTGGGAATCATCATCCCATTCTATGGTTGAAAATAGAAGTTCTATTTGAACGACCAACCAAAGACATCGTCATCCATCAACATCATCATCCTTCTCCCTCAAAATGTCCAAAAAAAATGCCTGCTTTTGCGCGCACGCGCTACCGTGCGGGGACACATGGCATCCGATTTCTGAGCCTTGACTGCGGCATACTTCTCCCCCTGAAGGTCGTACCCTTTTCCGCATCCCGTTTCGCCATCTTTCCAGTAAAATGTGGGCATCTCATGTGATCTGTAAGTTCTTGGGGATCTTTTAACATGATCTTTCATTTCAGGAACATGGGATTATTTCTAGGTCTGGGTACGGCATGGTACGGCTCAATTTCTCACCCAAAGTCTACTTGGGATGTGAAATATATACAATAATGTACTACATATAATACAACATGACATAATAACATAATATATAATATCATATATATATATCATAATATGTGTGTGATATATGATACAAAATAAATAAATAAATATAAAACATGATAAAAACAAAACAAAAAAAACACAAACTCATTTCAACGGCCTTTTGTTTTTCTATTCTTTTCCAACATGTGGGACCCCTGGCTGTGGCAAGACAGCATGATCCAGCCGGCAGCTGGACGCAGTGATTTTTTTTGGCGTCGCCCGGCACTCCGCGATGTTTGAATGCCTTCTGTGGAATGCATCCATCGATCTTCCCTTCGTTCTCCACATGTTTTTGTTGCATTGTTTCGCTATGTGTGGCGGACTGGCGGAAAGGGTGCTTTGTTTCGCAATGCCAGTGGGCGCTTTTTGAGGGGTTGGTTCCTGCAATATTCAATGGGCATCCGCTATGAGGGGTCACAAAAAATATTCCAAAATGCAATACCTTGGTGTCGCACTGGGGCTTTGAATCCTCTAAGGATGGTTTGGAAATCTGTGCCTCGAATGTTTTTTGTGCCGCTCACGTCATCTTCGACGCCTGGTGGAAATAGAGTTGGGCTACGGGATCATAGCAGCCCCACATTCAACGGATGGATTTTTGATGGGCAAGGTTAGAGGAAACCGTTGTGATTTTACACCAAAATCATCCTAAAGCTGGGGGGTTCAAGTAAGTTTTCCCAGCCATGGGAAACATTTTTTGGGTACAATATTGAACAGCAATATTCTGGGCCCATTCCCGATGGCGGTCAGTGGGTGAGTTACCCGCTGAAGCTCGATCAAACTGCCATGCAGTTGATAGTCAATAGATCCATGTTGAAAAAAAAGATATGTAGGATCATCTAGGATCAAAGTCTGTAGCTATTCTAATCGTATGTTTTCCCAAAGGTTGCAAGACTTTCTCAGCTAGGATATCAACTTCATCAATTTCCCTAAATTTAGATGATTACCATCTGGTCATTTAACATAGCCATGGAAAATCACCATTTTTAATAGGAAAATCATCCATAAATGGGCCATCTATACCATGGCGATGTTAAATGGCCAGAGGCTAATTGCTAAGAAATGCTTCGGGAAATGCCATGAAATGATAAGAACTAAGCAGCTCACGACCGTCTTTCTGAACGACTCCGCCGCGAACGACTGCGAGAACGGTCTTTCCGAGGTACCTGGGAAGGGCAAAGATCCTTCCTCTGTCAGCGTTTTCATGTGGCCGTGTCAATGGTGGATTTATCCTCCACTAAACTAAGAATGCTATGAAAATCCATGGGTTCCGGTTGATTTTCCAAATCTATGTCTGCATGTTTACTACTACACCAGTGCATTGAGGAGAAACCTATTCTCGGAGAAAACCATGTGCGTTTGGATGTGCATCTTTGGGAATCATGTCACCATCGTTGTTGGCTGAAATTCTAGTGGCGTTTGCTACATACAGGCTTGAGACATGATTCACATGATTCATCATTGACGAGCCACAAATAGTTACCACCTTTATTTCTTGGTTAAATCACTGTACCCATCCGTAAATCGCAGTTGTAAGGCGATTTAAGCATCGAACTTAGCTGAATCGTTCATCGGGAAAAGTTGCCTTGGGAAAATCGTGGGCTAAATGGCATCTTGATTGGAAAATTATCCCGAGACTCTGGGGAAAGCGTGGTTTTGCAAGTGCCAGGTGAGATTACCATGGAGTCAAGATCCGTTGGATTTAGCAAGAACCTGCCAAGGAAAAATATATCTTCTGAATCTGGGGGATGATTGTGAAATTTCTACAAATTGTAGAGACTTCCAGCCCCAAGTAGATCGAAAAGTTCACCTGGAAATGAGATATCATATATGTTCAATCCTGAAAAATGTTTTGTTGGTTCAACATGAAGTTAAACAGTCGAACAGGAAACAGATATCAGTTGTTTGAAGGCGAAGTCCGCCATTTTCTCCACGAGATGGGGCACCAGCTTGGCTTTGCTCTGGGACTCCTCGGCCTTTTTGCTTTTCAGCTCCTGCGGATTCCCCCATCTGAGACCCAAAGATCCGACAGGAATAGGAACATCATGTGGTTTCACCAATAAAAACCATGGCAAGTTTAAACACTTTTAAGCCAACAAACATAGGGATTGACGTATCAAAACCTTTGCCCAATGAAAAATACTGTTTTCATGGGAAAATGGTGATCGACAACCATCAGATTCATATTTGGGGCACCCTAGTTTCAAACAAACCCATTTGGTAAAATCAACTTCAACTATTTATCGGCAAAGCAAACCCTTTCCGCATCTCAAATTCTGGGGCTATTATAACAAGTGTGTAATTTACTTCTTAGCGGGATGAAATTGGTACACCAATCTAATTCCAAAAACTGACTATATAACGTGGGAAATTGTGGGGTCATGAGCATTCATGGGATTCATGGGCCAACAAGCAAAACCTGATTCAAGAAAGGAGTCTTGGCGAGTGATCTTCCACTCTTTTTCCTGAAACCATCTATATATATATAGTGTTTGTTTGGGTTGGGGCCAAAAAAAGTGTCTTCAAACACACAAGTGGACACTCTGATTCGGATTTAAGCAGTTGACGCCATCAGAAATGACGGCAGCTAGCCTTACAATAACAAGAAGCGACATTGGAGAACGGTTGGTTTACAATGTCTATGCTTTGATTCCTTAACCTAGCGGAGAAAGTACTGTGAATCGGACATATTGCCAAGGGATGCAGCATGTTCCTCTACGATGGCCGCTTCCGGTTGGGGGCTTTCCTATTGTTAAAGGGGGTCCCAGAGTTTGTATCATGGGCCCGAAAAGGGTAGACACGTGTTTCCTGGATGATATAAGCAATGTTTCCTCTAAAATTGCAGGGCTTCCGACTTTACTATGTTGGGGTTGCTCTAGTGGAAACATCTTGCAGCACATTCACATCCCCAGATCCCCAAAATGGAGTGTTCATGTTCTTGGCCAGATGCATCAGGTTGGTGTTATCAACTCCCAAATGTGAACAGCTTTAGTTAGGATCACAGTGGGCATAGAGTTGGAACAACATGTCGAGCACTTTCGAAAATCATAACATGGGCGAAACTTTAAACAGTGACTTTTATGACTTTTTTCTTTGTATGATGGTTTCCTAAAATGGAGGTATCCGCAAATCATCCAAAATTACTGTAGATTTCATTCATTTAAGTATCGAAACCTAGGGAGATGATCTCCCATTTAATGAACCCACCTAATATATATATATATATCCTAATATCATATATGTGGCTATAGTTACTATAGTTGGTTGGTCATCCAGTCATTTCGTTTCTTGGCACCTCGATGAAGGTCAGCAATTGCTCCTTGCCAGGAAACTTGGGTCCAGCCTTAGAAGCTTCAACGGATTGCAAGGTGATGCCATAGTCATCATGAAACCCTGGCTGCCAGAAACCATCAGAAACCTACCATGACTGGGGATGGTGGTTGGAATTGGGTTCATAGCTCCCATAAAAATGGTGATGGAATGGGGATGGTTTTTTAATGGATGCAAATGGCATTGGGTGAATCCATGTGAATCCCACATTCGTCATCTCAAGGTGTCGGCGTCGGTGAAACTTTTTGAAACCACCTTTAAGCAGTTCCAGATCTTCCACAATGCTGTCTTCTGAGGTTGCCACTCCACCAGGGAAAGCTGCATCAATGGAGGCAAAACCAGCTTCAGTCAAGCTGGATCCAGCCTTCAACCAGCTCATCTCCAGCCATTTTGTGGTGCAAATCGCTGGGTGCTGAGAAAAAAACACCGCGCCATACCGCGCCTCCTGTAGTCTCTGAGCAATCACATGAAACATGAGACCATTCTCAGGCGCCACCTTGGCGGCGAACATTCCATGGATGTTGTGCCCCCCAGTGATGTTTGCTAAGGCGCCAGTAACCCTGACTCGTTCGAGATCAAAACCCGAAAAAATTGTTTTGAAAACTGGTATGTTGGGAGAAGCTCTACAGGATTCCCATGAGAAGCACAAACTTGTAAATCAGCCTTTGGTGCGGATTGACTGGTGGCGGCTCTACCTTTCACGACTTTGCACGTTGAATCTGGAACAGCAAGGATCAATGAACCTTGAAGTGGACAAATCTTCAATTGACATCCAAACATCTCTAAATCTCGGTCTCGCACTTTTGATGACCTAGACCCTTCCGTGATTTCAAATTAGCTATTCCTTTTTTCTAGAAATGGAGATGTTCCACAGCAAACTGTTGGTTTATCAATCCCCCTGTTTGTTGGTTAAGTTAAATCCCATGTGTTCATAATATGTTGTCCATGTTGCGGGTAAAGTCTCAATATGTCTCAATGTTTTCCATTGTTTTCCCGTTTTCTATTGGTGAAATCCCACATTTTTGGTGGTTCAATCCCACTTTTTGACCACGACTTGGTCGGAGAAGAGTCACCATGGACGCCATCATCGCTAGCTGGGCAATATCATCGGCAGGAAGTACCGGAGCCTGAAAAAAAATGGCACGAAAAACGGGGGGTTCACCACTACACATCGGACAGTTCAACAGCAAGAGGAGATTGAGGTTGATTGATGCTGGCAAACTGTGGTTTTTGAACATTAATCATGTAAAATATTCGAATTTTCAATGGGGCTTATGGTCTTGAGAAGTAGTTCATGGGGTTTGCAAGCCAACTACAGTCACATAATGTATAGCTGCGGGGGCATTACATGGTGCAAATGGGGATTGCAGTCAATGTTTCAACATGTTTCTATGGGTAACACGCCAATAGATTCCTTTGGATACCAATGGGTGACATCTGGAACAATAGATTCAATGGATATATATATATATATAAATATAAAAATATTATATATATATATATGTGATATCATACATTTGGGGGATATACCGACACTGCATATAACAACTGCTGTGATATGATGCCAAACATTGTGGATAGGGGATGTGCACATCCACGCAGGCCACACCTCGAAGTACCAAGTAAACTTGGCAATCTGATGAGATGACATTTCTTGCGTTCAGATGCTTGTCTCTTAAGGACATATATATATATATATACACACTAATGTCAAAATCGAGGGGGGGACTTGGGCCTGGATGTTTCGAGTACAACATACTTTAATTGTATGTGCACATTGCAACCAAACAAAACATAGAAACAGAACTGTGCCATTATTTAAACAGACTTTTTAGCTTTCCACAAGGTGGTCCCACCAGTTATACGTTTGTTTACAAACCCCATTAACTGACTAGTTCCATACATCTACCATAAACCATATAGAGTTAATCTAGTTATTAATGGCAACATGGCAAAGTATGGGGCGCCACCTATCCTATCTCATTATACTAGTTCGTTGTCAGGTTTCTCTAATATGCTGGGTAAATTATAATATTTCACTAACCTGAAATAGGGCCCACAATGGGGATAGTTATCCTTACTATCATTCTGGTGAGGTTGCAAGGTGAGGTCGTTATAATTTACCCAGAATCTCAAAATATGGGTTAATCCAAAAAAAAATACTAGTAACCAGGTACCAGGTAGCATATTTTTGGAGTTTGCTATAAGTAATTACTATAACTCGTCTGAGTCAGGGCCATCCCCCACACCTTCTCTGCGCCAGCGAGCAACTGAGCCTCGAAACGCCACACCACTTGTTTCGGGCAGGTGGGGTCACCGTTGTTATCATCATCATCATCATCATCATCACCAGGAATACAGGGTCCAGAAAGCTTTCTGGACCTTCTTGATCTTTCCTGTTTTTGTCCTGATGTTTGGCAGCGGTGACACCGCCACGTTTACCAACATCCACGTTAGTTGTTTTATGAAGTATTGACACCTGTAGATTACTACCATTATACTACTATCATCAGTAGTTACTAATTACCACCAACGTCATCATAATCATCTTCATCACCATCATCATCACCCCAACATGATAACATGGTTGTTGGCAGTTGTTGGTACTGATTCTCTAAATGAGCTTCAAAACGGCTGTGAAAAAACAAAAAAACACCTTTTTGGGGGACCTTTTCAGCCTGGTGATGAAACCGCTGAAACGACACCGCTGAGATGCCAAACCCAGAAATTCAGAAGTCGGGTGACCACCTGGCTGGGTGCCCGACAGAGAAAACCGGTGGGTAACACATGGGGAAAAACAACAAGGAAGTCGAACCGTTTTATGCAACTTCATGGTGATATATTGACTTGGATAGTTGTTGTTTTATATTTGCGTTTGTCTGAGAATTGATGAAAGTGGTGGATTTGAAGTGGATTTACACCCCAAAGTCACAATGTCAAATGGATAAATATGATAAAAACAGGATAAAATATGACAATGAACATTGATGAACATTGATGAACCATCCTTTTTTTGGGGTAGCCTATTGCTCAATTCGAAACCGGGTGAAGTCCGACTTCCCGACTTAGCGAATCCTGGATCCCCCCCGAAGGGCATCCCCACAGGATGCGAACCGCCCAAAGGCAGGACCTAGGTGCAGCCAACGAGGCCTGATGGAGAAACATCTGGGTAAATTATCATATTTCAATATATTTCACTAATCTGAATTGTTGGGCCACTCATAAAACCCTTTCCCGGCCCATGCCCTGCCCGAATGGATAGACATGAACCGGTCTCTGAATTGTTGGGCCATTTGGGGATGATTTCCATTGATTTCCCTTACTAACAATGATTCCAGGGTTTGGGAGAACAGTGAGGTCGTTATAATTTACCCTTTTGCTCGTGCCAAAGAACCCACCGCCAGTTTTGGACCGTGGGGGTCTCGTTATAATTTACCCAGAAACATGGATAAACAACAAAACAATGGAGATATAAACAATCATGGCATGCCTCGAAGAAATGGGCATCGAACGGATTTGTCCATATTCGATATCGGGCCCACTTTTGGGTCCTAATAGCCGAGATCAAACATCAATTCAACCGGCAGGCAACTCTTGTTTTTTACTGGCAAGCTGTTTCTTTGGGTACTTCTCCACAAGTCCCCGAAGTTGACGGCATATTCTTGCGTTATGACTGTGACTTCTCAGGTGGTCAGCAGCTTGCCAATTTTGACAGTTTGATAGTATGATTTATTAAATTAATGGACGTTTCCCAAAACCTCCAAATCATCCATTCACAGATGAATTCACAATAAACCATCCAGCTATATCCAGCCTATTGGGGTAGCCCCAGCCATTGGGATTTCTAGGTCGTCGCACCCCTTGGGTCAGCAACATCATCTGCTCGGGCTTCATGTCTGCGCCTTTTAAAGCCTCAAAGAAGTCATGAGTCAGAATCAAGTTGAATCATGATGGAAAATGGATGAACATCTAGATGAACATGGTGAGAGAATACCATCTCTAATTCCAAGCAGGAAAAAGTGCTGGGCAATGGTGGTCAACCCCAAAGTCGATAGGAATAGCTGGCTTTGAAGAGTCAATGTGCGGTGACTTCGTTTCGGGTGTTTCTGGTTGGTGCTTTCAACCGATCCAAACAATAATGATCTTTGGCCCTTCATCATCTCAAAGAAAACTGAAATAAACCCACTATAACAATATGAAACGTATCTTCAAACAACCAGCTTACTTCGATCTCATTCTTTTCGAGCGTTGCAAGGGCACATGGCTTTGCCACTGCACCGCACTTGGCTCTCTCCGGCGTTAACTCTGTTCGCGACCGTCGCGCAACATAGGCTGCAAAGGTCTCAACTGTTCCAAGAGCAGCTTGTGTTCGCCTGCCAACGGCGACCCAACAGCCCAACAGCCTTTTCTGAAAGGGAAGACAACAATGATTTTACACTTAATGTTGCACAGTGAGGCGTTGTTCTTTTTCGTTTGATGTTGTGCATATGGCATGTTGTTCTTCTCGAACAAAAAACGACTTTGAGGGAGTCCAAATCTGACCCCGCAAAATCCCATCAGGTCCCAACGGTCCCACCCTAAAGAGGCACGCTCAATCAATGGGAGTAAACAGATTATGTTTCCCAACTCTACATGCAGCACAACAGCATTTTGACAAATTTTATCAATGATGGCATATCTCATATATCTCAGATACTCAAAACAGTTTAGCTTCAGCTGGGCAAACCCTATTTCCCCCATGGCTAAAACGTAAAATCCGTGCCTGCAAGGTGCCCCATATAGTTCGCGAAGTTGGTTTATAACTAGTACAACTAAGTTTGCAACTATAGTTATTCATGGAACTAGGGATTTGTGGTAGATATTGATAACGGGGGTTCTCAACCAACTTAGCTAACGAACATGGACACCACCTTGTACCCTTCAAATTGTTCCAAGGCTTTCCCCGGTTCCGCATCGCCAGCCTTCGGCATCCTTCAGCTTGCCATGTACATGTCGGCTCATGGCAAGGTGGGAAGATAGGTCCTGAGCGGTTGCGGCACCGGATACCAGGCTTCAAAGTGGTTGCTGAGAATTTGGAAGCTGGAAGATGATGGAAATTGATGGAAGATCATGGATGATGGAAAATCATGGCAAATTAATTAAGAATTGAAGGATCATATTTCCATGTTCGGATGGAAGATGAACCAATATCTCTAACCACCAGCCAATCCAACAGGTGATATCCCCGTTGCATGGCAGTTCAATCACATGTTGTATATTTTTGGTTGGCAAAAGTAAATCCCAAGCACTGGCATGTTTTTGGCTGGTAAAACCCATCATAACCCATCAATTCACCGTATGTTTGGGTGCAAAACCATGAATCAAAGCACCACCGGACCATCCAGACGTCCTTCTTCAAGGTCTTCCGTCGTTGCTGGAGCAGGGCCAGGGTGCGCAGGGTCTCCTGGGAAAATCATCGAAGCAACTGGGAGGTTTTCCATAGCTATGTTTTCCATAGCAATGTTTGATTACCAGAGGATAACTATGGATTACTATTTTATCTATTTTGTTATCATTCTTACACCGTTGTCTCAAGGAAAACGGGCCATTAAACAATGACTTGGGCGACATGGGACATCGCATTTACAACATGAAATTCTGAAGATGCCATCAAGTTAACGAAAATTCATTGGGAAGAAGCCTTCTCATAATACCTTCTGAAATGTCGAAGATTCTTCTCATCAAGGTACCATCCTTTCAACATAGATGTAGAAAACACACCTTCCATTTTTCGACATCATTTTCCGAAACGGGGGGTTCCCCATGGCTTTTCCACCAGGGAAATTCTGTCCTCCTGCCCCTGGTTGGGGCTGTTCTGAGGTTGTGCCTGGCGTTCCAGCACCGCAAGCTCGTCGACCTAGGTAGGAAATCAGATGTTTGTAGGGAACTGCAATCAGATGAAACGCCGGGGAGCCTATGGAGGATATAGTCCCGTTAGATTTTGGAGGTTTCCTAAAATGGAGGTACCCCCAAATCATCCAAAATTAGACAATTTTAGTACTGAAATCTATGGTTTTGGGGATCCACCATTTTATGAAACCTCCATATAGCCAAGTTATGAATGATGGATGATAGAACCTGATGGATCATATCAAAACATATCAAAACCAGCAGGATATCATAGCATATCATAGCCTAGTATAGCCCAGTTAGATCATGCAATGGTGATTGATGGATATTCATGCGCTAAGAAGACCACATATACCATCCTTTACATCATATTCACCTTCTATCCCCGCAAACGTGCGAGGGTGACAATCCACTACCAACCAGGTGACGGTTTCCGATCCGAACAATATGCCCGTGGGATCATTCACAGGTTGGTGTTTGAGCCACCCGTCCAGCAAAAACATCTATACAAGACACCGTCATTTATTTTTAGGATTAAACTTTAATGATTATAATTATAATTATAATGATTAAACATTGAAACACCACCCTAGAAATGGTTATGTCTTAAATGGGGTTTGGTCAGCGGGATTCTTCTTGTTTCTAGTGAAATATTTGTTCACCGTTTTGGTTGTCCACCTTTTGCATTCTGATTTTGGCTGGATCATCATCTCCCGTATGGTTGAACAAGATGGAAGAGAGCCGAGGAGCGGCAAAGAAGCATCCCCATCATTCAGACTGATTCTATAACTTTATTCAGCTACCTATTAAAAACAGTATTATACAGTGTGTATATTATATATATAATATTATATATATATATATATTAAAATTTACATACTGTGTATATATATATATATATATATATGTGTGTGTGTGTGTACCGTATATAGACGGTACATGCATGGCGATCCCCAAACAAATAGAACAGCTTAAAATGTTGCCATGCTGGGGACATTTAGGGCCACCAAGTCACCAGCGCTTCAGTTCGCTCCTGCAAGCGACTCGCCTGGGACGGAGTCACCAGCAGCAAATTCGGGGCGTACCCTCTGGCAAACTAACATAACTATGGAAAATCACCCTTTTTAATGGGAAAACTCACTATAAATGGCCATTTTCAATAGCTATGTTAAATTACCAGAGGGTACCATATATGTTCAAACAAAACGGTTGAAACTATTCAACGTTATTGCGGCAACCCACCAAAATGTCCACTTTTCCATGACTCAGAGGGTTGTGACTTGAAACAACTCGTGTTGGGCCCGCTCCGACTTGACACCAAGTGACCCACTGATCTTCCTCTTTGACCCTGCGATGCAGCAGCAACTGCTCACGCCTGGCGCGAAATCCAGGAGATTGTGGAAGACTTTTGCAAAGTGACATGGTTAAATATTCTATAGATTAAAATATTAAAATAGTCCCCAAGGGTTATTTTTGAATCATATTAAAATATAGATTAACATATTCTATATATCCTTCAAATAGTCCCCAATGGTTTCCTTAAACATCCTGAAATCAATTCTGGACAAGTCTGGAACTGCCTGATTGATATAGTTAATTCCTCCAGAAACAATACTTGTCCTTTCGGGTTGTGATCCCTATCAAACGAACAACTGCCTGTTACTAGGCAGGATGATGGCCACTGAATCTCAATAGCATGCGATGTCTTGATGAAGTTTGACCCACAGTTTTTGGTGTGAACAGTTTCAAGCTATTCATCTTAGAAGGCAAAGGTACATGTAGCATGTAGCCGGCAAAGTTATGAAAAACATGTACTGTAACAACAAACCCGGCAAGGCATAAACGACAAGACTCCTCAAGCAGCACAAAGGTGGGAGCTACCTGGAGATCAAACACACCCACTGGTTTGTTCACTGTGGAAAATCACCCTGTAAATCATACGGAAATCATAGAACCAAGTGTGCCACGGTTTCCATAGCAAACTCTTCAATTACCAGTGGCTATTCCGTTTGCCCATCCAAAGATTCCAGCGGCCTCTGCTGATTTAATGCGGCCCAAACGGCGCCAAGCCAATCTTCTGCCTGGTCCTGTCATCGCTCGGCAAACTCCGTTGAACCCACATGATTTCCATGTCAGGTCCTTTCAGCCGCCATACTTTCCCCGACAATTTCATACAACCCTAAGTTAAACATAGTTACCCTCTAGTAAACTAACATAGCTATGGAAAATCAACATGTCTAATGGGAATTCAGCTATAAATGGCAAATTTCAATAGCTATGTAAAATTACCAGAGGGTAAACATAGTTACCCGATCTGGTAATCAAACGTGGGAAAACCCACCATTTAGTTCGACGATTCTCCATGCTATTTTTTACCTCCATTTAGCTCGGGCATTTTCCAGATAGCGACCTTTGATTACCAAGGTGGCGATATCCTATTTTGTCATCCCATTAAAAATTCCCATGAATATTCTATGAACATATCCCATTCATTGTTATAACTATATTTATATCACCAAGAATATCCCTAGAGTAGGGGAATCATGATCGCATAAATCCTCATAATGGCCGATAATATTCCCCAGATTTCGACAGTAATGTGGTAAACGGTAAACCCAATGCCATACGCAATCTTGAAAATCACCATTTCAATGGTTAAATTGGTGGTATAAACCATCTCCATACGGTAGGTTTTATGGCATTGACTTTTCCAAATTAATCACTATGATGAAACATTATTAATATATTCACATATTCCATTTATGATGTTTTCACATCAGTGATAATATGCTTGATAAGATCATATCCAATCACTATACATGTATATATATATATATATATTCCATGTTATATTACTATAATTTGTATTGCTATATCCTTATATCACCAAGAATATGACATAATATCCCTATAATTATAAACCACATAACTACCATATATCCCAGAGGATCCATGTATGGAATATTTACCTACATTGACCCCTAAAGTAATTTAAAATAATCCCAATGTAGGTACCCTCCGGTAATTTAACGTAACTCTGCGTTTTCGAATTTTACAGCACTAACGTGACTATCACTTGGGTCTCCCAGACCAGCATGTTCCCCAGAGACCCTGGCCAAGGAAAACCAACTAACGTGGCTATCATTTTACAGCTCAAAGGTTACAACATGGAAGGAAGCCCACTAACGTGGCTATCATTTTACACCATTCAAGGTTTCCAACATGGCAGGAAGCCCACTAACGTGGCTATCATTTTACAGCACTCAGGGTTTTCAGCATGGAAGGAAGCCCACTAACGTGGCTATCATTTTACACCATTCAAGGTTTCCAACAAGGAAGGAAGCCCACTAACGTGGCTATCATTTTACACCATTAAAGGTTTCCAACATGGAAGGAAGCCCACTAACGTGGCTATCATTTTACAGCACTCAAGGTTTTCAACTTTAAAAAACAACTAACGTGGCTATTGGCAAAATTAGTTATACCTAACATAGCTAGTGTAAAGTGTTCCACATTGTTTCAGCTCAACCCATAAAGTGACTTGTTTTTTCCCTTTTGTTCTCTCTTGAATCTTAGGTAGCTAACGTGGCCCTTGCAGCCAGCATGGCACCAATGTGTGCCAATGCCTTAAGGTTTTAATCAAACAAGTAAGCTTAAATATGACATAGCTAGGGTCCCTGAAAAAACGGGGTACGGGCTGCATCCCCATAGCTAGGTTAGCCAGTGGCGTATCCAATGGTGGCTGCAGGCCGTAAGCCCCTGCCCCCAGGGACCAGAGTGGAGCATTTTACCAGGAACCTAACCTAGCAATTTTTGGGTGCCTGGTGGCTGCAGGCCGTAATCCCTTCCCCTAGGGACCACAGTGGAGCATTTTAACAGGCACCCAAAAATTGATTTTCATAGCTTTTTTTCCGATCAATTTCAATAGCACAGCTCTATTCAAAAATACATTTTTGGGGCTGGATCTGGCCGGGAAGCCATTTGGTGGTGATTTTGAGCAACTGAGTCTCTGTAAAATGAAAAAAATGTTCCCCATAGCTAGGTTAGCCAGTGGCGTATCCACTGGTGGCTGCAGGCCGTAACCCCCTGCCCCCAGGGACCAGAGTGGAGCATTTTACCACGAACCTAACCTAGCAATTTTTGGGTGCCTGGCGGCTGCAGGTAATCCCTTCCCCTAGGGACCACAGTGGAGCATTTTACCAGGCACCCAAAAAGTTATTTTCTTAGCTTTTTTTCCGATCAATTTCAATAGCACAGCTCTATTCAAAAATGCATTTTTGGGGCTCGATCTGGCCGGGAAGCCATTTGGTGGTGATTTTGAACAACTTAGTCCCTGTAAAATGAAAAAATGTTCCCCATAGCTAGGTTAGCCAGTGGCGTATCCACTGGTGGCTGCAGGCCGCAACCCCCTGCCCCCAGGGACCACAGTGGAGCATTTTACCAGGAACCTAACCTAGCAATTTTTGGGTGCCTGGTGGCTGCAAGCCGTACAGTGGAGCATTTTACAAAGCACCCAACAATTGATTTTCATTAGCTTTTTTTTCCGGACAATTTCAATAGCACAGATCTATGCAAAAATGCATTTTTGGGGCTCGATTTGGCCGGGAGGCCATTTGGTAGTGATTTTGAGCAACTTAGTCCCTGCAAAATGAAAAAAATGTTCCCCATAGCTAGGTTAGCCAGTGGCGTATCCACTGCAGAGCATTTTACCAGGAACCTAACCTAGCAATTTTTGGGTGCCTGGCGGCTGCAGGCGGTAAATCCCTCCCCCGAGGTATCACAGTGGAGCATTTTACCAGGAACCTAACCTAGCTATGAAAATCGATTCATGGGTGCCTTGTAAAATGCTCCATTGTGGTCTCTGGGGGAAGGGGGATACGGCCTGTAGCCACGACTGGGTAGGCCACTGGCTAACCTAGCCATGGGGAACATGCAGCCCGTACCCCCTTTTTTCAGGGGCCAGTCACATGTGTTTGGTGGCCCCCCCCAAAGTTGTACTTGACTCTGCCTGGGTTCTCCCAAGGACGATGTATCATACAAAAGTCATATGTTGAGAACCCCCACTAACGTAGCTATCATTTTACACCATTCAAGGTTTCCAACATGGAAGGAAGCCCACGAACGTGGCTATCATTTTACAGCACTCAAGGTTTTCAACTTTAAAAAACAACTAACGTGGCTATTGGCAAAATTAGCTATACCTAACATAGCCATTGTAAAGTGTTCCACATTGTTTCAGCTCAACCCATAAAGTGACTTGTTTTTTCCCTTTTGTTCTCTCTTGAATCTTAGGTAGCTAACGTGGCCCTTGCAGCCTGCATGGCACACATTGGTGCCAATGCCTTAAGGTTTTAATCAAACAAGTAAGCTTAAATATGACATAGCTAGGATCCCTAAAAAACGGGGTACGGGCTGCATGTTCCCCATAGCTAGGTTAGCCAGTGGCGTATCCACTGGTGGCTGCAGGCCGTAATCCCCTGCCCCCAGGGACCAGAGTGGAGCATTTTACCACGAACCTAACCTAGCAATTTTTGGGTGCCTGGTGGCTGCAGGCCGTAATCCCTTCCCCTAGGGACCACAGTGGAGCATTTTACCAGGCACCCAAAAATTGATTTTCTTCTTTTCCGATCAATTTCAATAGCACAGCTCTATTCAAAAATGCATTTTTGGGGCTCGATCTGGGTGGGAGGCCATTTGGTGGTGATTTTGAGCAACTTAGTCCCTGTAAAATGAAAAAAATGTTCCCCATAGCTAGGTTAGCCAGTGGCGTATCCACTGCAGAGCATTTTACCAGGAACCTAACCTAGCAATTTTTGGGTGCTTGGTGGCTGCAGGTAATCCCTTCCCCTAGGGACCACAGTGGAGCATTTTACCAGGCACCCAAAAATTGATTTTCTTAGCTTTTTTTCCGATCGATTTCAATAGCACAGCTCTATTCAAAAATGCATTTTTGGGGCTCGATCTGGCCGGGAAGCCATTTGGTGGTGATTTTGAGCAACTTAGTCCCTGTAAAATGAAAAAATGTTCCCCATAGCTAGGTTAGCCAATGGCGTATCCACTGCAGAACATTTTACCAGGAACCTAACCTAGCAATTTTTGGGTGCCTGGCGGCTGCAGGTAATCCCTTCCCCGAGGCATCACAATGGAGCATTTTACCAGGAACCTAATCTAGCTATGAAAATCGATTCATGGGTGCCTGGTAAAATGCTCCATTGTGGTCTCTGGGGGAAGGGGGATACGGCCTGTAGCCACCACTGGGTAGGCCACTGGCTGACCTGGCTATGGGGAACATGCAGCCCGTACCCCCTTTTTTCAGGGACCAGTCACATGTGTTTGGTGGGCCCCCCCCAGGGTTGTACTTGACTCTGCCTGGGTTCTCCCAGGGACGATGTATCACACAAAAGTCATATGTTGAGAACCCCCACTAACGTGGCTATCATTTTACACCATTCAAGGTTTCCAACATGGAAGGAAGCCCACTAACGTGGCTATCATTTTACAGCACTCAAGGTTTTCAACTTTAAAAAACAACTAACGTGGCTATTGGCAAAATTAGCTATACCTAACATAGCTATTGTAAAGTGTTCCACATTGTTTCAGCTCAACCCATGAAGTGACTTGTTTTTTCCCTTTTGTTCTCTCTTGAATCTTAGGTAGCTAACGTGGCCCTTGCAGCCTGCATGGCACCAATGTGTGCCAATGCCTTAAGGTTTTAATCAAACAAGTAAGCTTAAATATGACATAGCTAGGGTCCCTAAAAAACGGGGTACGGGCTGCATCCCCATAGCTAGGTTAGCCAGTGGCGTATCCACTAGTGGCTGCAGGCCGTAACCCCTTGCCCCCAGGGACTTTTACCACGAACCTAACCTAGCAATTTTTGGGCGCCTGGTGGCTGCAGGCCGTAATCCCTTCCCCTAGGGACCACAGTGGAGCATTTTACCAGGCACCCAAAAATTGATTTTCATTGGTTTTTTCCCGATCAATTTCAATAGCACAGCTCTATTCAAAAATGCATTTTTGGGGCTCGATTTGGGTGGGAGGCCATTTGGTGGTGATTTTGAGTAACTTAGTCCTTGTAAAATGAAAAAAATGTTCCTCATAGCTAGGTTAGCCAGTGGCGTATCCACTGCAGAGCATTTTACCAGGAACCTGACCTAGCAATTTTTGGGTGCCTGGCGGCTGCAGGTAATCCCTTCCCCTAGGGACCACAGTGGAGCATTTTACCAAGCACTCAAAAATTGATTTTCATAGCTTTTTTTCCGATCAATTTCAATAGCACAGCTCTATTCAAAAATGCATTTTTGGGGCTCGATCTGGGTGGGAGGCCATTTGGTGGTGATTTTGAGCAACTTAGTCCCTGGAAAATGAAAAAAATGTTCCCCATAGCTAGGTTAGCCAGTGGCGTATCCACTGCAGAGCATTTTACCAGGAACCTAACCTAGCAATTTTTGGGTGCCTGGCGGCTGCAGGTAATCCCTCCCCCAAGGTATCACAATGGAGGATTTTACCAGGAACCTAACCTAGCTATGAAAATCGATTCATGGGTGCCTGGTAAAATGCTCCATTGTGGTCTCTGGGGGAAGGGGGATACGGCCTGTAGCCACCACTGGGTAGGCCACTGGCTAACCTAGCTATGGGGAACATGCAGCCCGTACCCCCTTTTTTCAGGGACCAGTCGCATGTGTTTGGTGGGCCCCCCCCAGGGTTGTACTTGACTCTGCCTGGGTTCTCCCAAGGACGATGTATCATACAAAAGTCATATGTTGAAAACCCCCACTAACGTGGCTATCATTTTGCACCATTCAAGGTTTCCAACAAGGAAGGAAGCCCACTAACGTGGCTATCATTTTACAGCACTCAGGGTTTTCAACATGGAAGGAAGCCCACTAACGTGGCTATCATTTTACACCATTCAAACTTTCCAACAAGGAAGGAAGCCCACTAACGTGGCTATCATTTTACACCATTCAAAGTTTCCAACATGGAAGGAATCCCACTAACGTGGCTATCATCCTGTTCTCCACCGCACGTATAACATAGATTTATCAAAAGGAGGACGCAACTAACGTGGCTATCATCGGGATATGGCCATTTTACACATACCTAACGTGGAAAAACCTATCGTTATACGCGGAAAAAGTACATCACGTTAGTTTACCAGAGTGTAAATATTCCATACATGGATCCTTAGGGTATACTACCTATACTACCTCTAAATCACCAGCCGATTTTCAGCTCGAAATCCCCAGCCGGCCGCTCTCCTTGGCCTTTCTCAGATCCTCACTCCGCTGCGCAAGGCGTTCCAGGCTGCTGCGCATCTCGGCCACCACGCGCTGCCCGTTGCGTTCCACGTCGTCCGCCTCGGCCGAGGCAGGCACGGCATGGTGTGGTTCAGGTGGGAATCTCGGGGAAGTCCTGAATTTCATGATGAAAGTGAGGAAATGAACTCTTTTTCCAAGGGAAATGAACAGAAATACATCACTTATGATTGGATCATCAACCAAGCAGGAAAAATAAGTTGAACAACAGGAGAATACCACTTAAAACTTAGAACTATATTATATATATATATATTTATACATTGACTTCAATCCTACATTTGCAATTTTGAACATGGCGCATCTTCCACTTCCAAAGAGATCCAAGAGATCCAGAAATGCGATTCGTGCGCCTGCTCTTCCAGTGCGGCGATCTCCCTCAACATTTCCCCAGAGGTCATCTTGCCTGCGGTTCACAGGGACCGGGTCATGGTGCCGCTCCCCCTGCTCTAACGCGTGTGCAACAAGGGAGTTCAGCGTATTTTTAAGGGAACCTACCTATATAAAGGAAACTTTTGGGAGAAACTAGGTTCAGAAATGTTCAAGACATCAAGAAGTTAATGTGTGACTTACATAGATCACTAGATCAAAACTTGAAACACCATGGAACGGCGGCATGACGTGCGACACTACCTTGCACTCATCTTGTGAGTGCACTAGCACTTAGTCACTTTTGGCCCATGATTTTCGAGTTGGAAGAGTTGGACTGGAGTTGGTTGGTCCTAGGCTCAAAAGTTTCACTAGAGTTTCAATATTGGGCAACCACTTGCGCCCCAGAGGCACCCCATTGGTGAACTAACCTGGCACTAAAAAAAACCATCATCTGGAAACCTATGACAGTTTAGATAGAGATCAGGAGATTCATGAAATTCCAGTGTTAATTAATCTTTGATTACCAAGCAATAAGACAATTCACAGACGTGAATGGTCCATGGAGGCCCCTCCGGCTCCACTCTTGATCCCATCGTCCCATCCTAATTTTACTGAGTAGCTGCTACTGTAAACCTTGGATGTCTGAGGCCGGGGGTAGTGTAGTTTATTGTTCCAAACACCCAGTCTGTTGTTTAATTGCGATCATTGATGCTTAGATTATGTCAGCGACATGTACGTCCCCATTTTTAGCCGGCTAATCGCCTCATAATTGTTCAGCAAGTTTTAGTCCATCACCGCACTTTCTCTGTTAACATGCTATAACCAACTGCCATTCTACATAGACGCGTGTGCAATATATTTGTATACACCTACATCCTACATATCACATCACTGCCTGCCCCCATACAGTTCCAAGGTATATCGATAGCAACAGCAGCAGCAACAGCAGCAACAACAACAACAGCAACAGCAACAACACGAACATCAACACCAGCAACAGCAACAAGAACAAGAACACAAACAAGAACCAGAAGAAGAACAAAAACACGAACACAACCATCAAGAACAAGAACAAAAACATGAAGAACAACAGCAACAACAACAACACCAACAAAAAGAAGAATAACAGCACAAGCAGCAACAACAACAGCAACAGCAACACAACTTCAACACAACAGGACAACAATACAGCAATAGAACAATAATGCAACAACAATGACACCAACAATGCCAATAACAACAATAGACAAACAACAATAAACAACAACCAAAAACACATACACTAATAACCGCACCAATAACAATAATTGGTTTTCAACCACGGCTATGTGTGTATATATATATATATATGTATGTGAGTCATAAAGGTCATAAAATCATATAAGTTATCGCCATTTCCTATACCTAAACCCACAAATGATAGGACGTTTCCACCCTTGCGCCCTGAGTCCCAGGGACGTTTCTCCAGCAGCATCCGTTCGTCGGTCAGCAACTGACTGAGTTCCACCATCTCCTGCTTTGCGAAGCTGGGCTAACTGTTTCATTCGTTAGTCATTGGTTAAAAAAATATACTATATTAATATTAACATATGATAACATATTTATATCATGTTATATTATATCATATTATCTTGTGTTATATTATATTAAATTATATTATACTATACTATAAAATACTTTATTATATTATACATTATATATTACATAATATATATATATATATCACCAGTGTGTGTGTGTGTTGTCGTTATATCCATGTGAAATCCCAACTTTTCCATTGACATCTCCATTTTGGGCACGGCTGCGCGGTCCCGCGTCTTGCGCAGCTGCTGCTGCAGCTGGGTGCGCTCCGCCAGCAGCTGCGCTGCCTCGCCATCGGCGGCTTGGCTGGAGGCAGCCTGGCGGATTCACCATGGATTTCACCGGTGCAGTCAGATGTAAGCAGCAAAAACCATGGAGTTAACAAAGGATTTTTACCAATGAACCTCGGAAAAACATATATAAGAGGATTAGATTTTGGATGTATAAGTGGGGCTAGTTTCCCTGATTCTCCATGACACTTTGAAGACTTCAACCATGATTTCACCAGTGAAAATGATGATTTGAGCAGCCAAACATTGTGATTTAACCATGTTTCAGCAGCAAGAATCAGCACACATGTGGATTGAAGCAGCAAAAATCAAAACATATTGGGATTTATCCACTGACAATAGTGATTTAGTCAGGAATTGATAAGCAAGAATGGAATTTACCAGCAAACAGTTGGACTTTATCATGTTTTAAGGGATTTGTCATGATTTCTCGAATACATTGACATTTCAGCACCCCTTTGCTTGCATGAAACTTGCACTGATGGCATGGCCAGCCACTGGGGCGTGATTTTCTCAAAATGGGGTACAGTACCCATTGTCCCCATTGGTTTCCCATGGTTTCCCTGTTAGAAATGACCAAAAATTCGGAATTCGGATGATTTCGTGGTCCCACGTCACAAGTTTACTACCCTCTGGTAAACTAACATAGCAATGGAAAATCACCATTTTTAATGGGAAAACTCACTATAAATGGCAATTTTCCATAGCTATGTTAAATTACCAGAGGGTAACATTGGATTTGCCATTGTCCCCCGGTGAAATGAAAAAAAGTGCAGAAACCTCGGCAGATCTGGGAAAAAACAACCATCATTTCGGGTTGAAAAAGTTTTCCCCTTCAAACCGTGGCCAGTTGACTACTGTTCGTTGATGGTTGCTTCGCATGTTGCTTTACCATTGGATTTGCACCGGGAACATGTGAGATCCTCATTTAGTTGCTGGCGAAATCTTGACCAAATCACATTTCATGACATGAATCACCATGTTTGGCCGGTGAAATGCATATTTGAGGGTTTCCTGAAATGGGGTTACCCCCAAATCATCTATATACAGTATTTCAAGATGGCTTTTTCCATTATAAAACAGCCAGCTCTTGGGATACCCTACAAGGTGGTGCCCCATAGTTAGCTAAGTTGGTTTATAACTCCCATTTCACTATGGTTTATGGTAGATATAACATGATATAACTATAGTATTCATGGGCTTTATAAACCAACTAACATCACTGGGGGGCACCATCCTGTATGGCTTATGGATTGGAAAACCCCCCATTTTTCAGTGGACAATTTGTCCAACCCCCGACCTGCTGCCGGATGGAGGACCGGGCCAGGACGGATTTGGCCTTCTGCTGCTCCAAGGAGGCCAGCTGATCGGCCAAATGGGCGGCTTCTTGCTCGGCCTCCTGCAATCGGAAGTAGGGTGGGTTAGGGCAGATTTCACTGCGAAGAATTGAGAAGATAGATATATGATGATATATGTAGATGATTTAGTATGACTAAATAATACTAAAGATGTATAAATATGCAATACTCAGGTATAGCTACAATCCTACTATTTCCTGAATCACATGTATACCCAACAATAGCTAGCGCAGCTTATGAAGCAACATAACTTGGAATATGTCCACATTGTGGGGCTCGGGCATGGCAGGTATATAAAGCCCACAAAGTGGGGAGTGAAAGAATCCAAATCAGGGGAAGGTGACTATCCCAAACATTATATCAGGGACAATGAAGGATGTTAAGTGTAATCAATCAGTAGTTCAGTAGTTCATGATGGCTAGAACAACCTGAGTAACTCTCCCTCCAGTCTGTTTCAGATGATTCAGTTTAAAGCAAATTCTAATGACCTCTGGCCACTAGTTTCAGCGAAGTTGAAGGAAACCTCACAGCAGTTGCTAACATGGTTTTGTAAGTAGCCTGCAGTACCCTACACAAGTTCATTGTGCTTGCTGATCAATGTGGGCTTCAATTGCATCTCCTAACTTGCTATCTATACACCTGGTAATACCTCTTACCCTCTGGTAATTCAACATAGCTATTGAAAATCACCATTTTTAATGGGAAAATCCACTATTAATGGTCATTTTCAATAGCTACGTTAAATTACCAGAGGGTACCTTTCTTAGTAAAAACTTCAATGTTGTACCGAATTATATCCCCAATCTTGCCGTGCAGGAGGTCACCCATCATCACCCCATCTATCCGCTGCTTAATCTGCCGTCTCTTGATAGTTACCCTCTGGCAAACTAACATAGCTATTTTAAAAGGGCCATTTATAGTGGATTTACCCATTAAAAATGGTGATTTTTTAGAGTTATGTTAGTTTACCGGAGGGTATTCAATGTTCTTGAACATGGAAATCATCAATGACCAATGCCAAATCCAAAACGTCATTTTTTCAAATCTAAATTTCTTACATGGGACGTTCCATAAATGGGGCACCCCAAAATGGATGATTGATAATTTATCATCTGGTTATTTAACATAGCCATGCAAAATCCCTTATAAATGGAGGTTTCTAGCTGGGAAAATCATCTATTTCTATGGGCCATGGCTTCCATGGCTATGTTAAATAACCAAAGGGTATAATGGATTGATTGAGGGGTACCCCCATTTCAGGAAACCTGCACATTTCGCCGCGGCTGCCAGGCTCCTGCCATGCCTTCTTCTTCATGGCGGCCTCCTTTTGGAGCGCCTCCCGTTCCAAGTCAAACAACCTTGCGTTATGGGCGTGAAAAACCCTGGACATCCCTGGACCCAACACGTGATTTTTGATGAAGTGACATATGGCCCATTCCTGTCGCTCCCAGTTGGATTAATTACGTGTTTTTTTGATGATTCCGACCCGTTTGTTGCTGGTCTTGAATTATCAACATACCAAATCAAAATTAACGACGCTACTATACCCATGTTCAAATCCCAACGTTATCTCTATGCTCATTTCCAGATTTCGATGAAAGGATTTGCAAATGATTTTCAGAATGATCTTTCCCCTTATCTTCGCCTATCTTCCAGTCCAGCACTTCCCACCCTTTGGCTACGGAAAAATTGACGATGATTTACTGGTTGGTGGTTTCAACCCCTCTGAAAAAATATTAGTCAGTTGGGATGATTATTCCCAACATATGGAAACATAAAACATGTTCCAAACCACCAACTAGTTTATGATGATTTACCTCTGAAACTTAAAAGTGGTGATTATTCATAGCCTATTCTTAAATTGCCACAGGGTACCCCCACTCACTTCGTGGCCGGGATGTCCCCCTTCCCGCGGTCCCTGCGTCTGAGAAGCTCCGCCTTCCGCTGACAGTCACGACAGCGCTGGGCCAAGCCGCTCGCTGCGCTGGTGCCGCGCTTCAGGGACTGCAGCTGACGCTTCACCAAACCCAGCTGGAACTCGCTCCTGACGCCCTTCCCCCCGTCAAGCCCAAACAGTCATGAGTCTACAGTTATGGCCATGGCCATGAGTTATTTCTATGGGATTATAATGGATTATACATTCCATAAATGGAGTGACTTAGTAATCCCTTCCCCTTAATATTGAACATCCCCCATCAACCATGGTTTAATAGGGGATTTCCACATCATTGGGACCATTTGGAAGGTGTTTAATATTAGGGAATGGGATTATATGGCCATTTATTAGTTGTTATAACTGGTTACCAACTGGATTTCAATGGAATTATACATTCCATAAATATCCAGGTTATTAAACTTATAACAATGGAATTATGTATACATTCCATAAATATCCATAAATCTCCAATATCCATATATAAATAGGGTTTTGTTAGTACTTATGACTGCTATTTCGGGCCATAACGAAGCACGTCAGCAGACGATTGCCCGTTTCAGCACGTCGCGGGCCTCCGCTGCGCCTCCACCTGCGATGCCTGAGCCTCTAAGGCGCGGCTCTGCGCTGCGCTGCAGCGGTGCTGAAGGGTTTCGACCTCCTGCGTGAGGGAACAGCCATGGTCATTACCCTCTGGTAAACCAACATAACTATGGAAAATCACCTTTTTTAATGGGAAAACTCACTATAAATGGCCATTTTCAATAGCTATGTTAAATTACCAGAGGGTATTTGAAAAAAAAACTATGATGATTATTACACCCTAATCCATATCATATTCATGATTGTCATATTCCTATTATCATATTCCATATCCATATTCCTATATATGATGAATGGTGGTTATCAATGGCCATTTCAGGATCCTAAATTGGAGGTACCTACCATATATAAGGTAAAATCAAAGGCCTATGTAAGGGAATATCCCCAGAAAATATGGCCTTATATGGTACAGTACCTCCATTTTAGAATCCTGAAATTCCCATTGATAAAATTGCCTACTTGATATGTTGTGGGTAAAACAATGTCATAAACCACCCATGACTGGGACTATTTATGGTGATTTGGGGGATGGTTTATCATTGTTTTACCCATTATATATATATATATATATATTTGTTACTATTGTCTGTATATCATAGAATAATAATGATATGATAGTAAATGGTGAATTTTGTGGTATACCATAGCATATGGATATCTCATACGGTATATAATCATCTGGGCAAATTATCATATTTCACTCATCTGAAATAAGGCCCACAATGGGGATAGTTATCCTTACTATCATTCCTGTGAGGTCCCAGCAAGGTCGTTGTAATTTACAGTACCCTACACGTATAGTGGATTATAATGGTGAAGGCGAAGGCCTTACGATTTGCATCAAAAACTCAACATGCCCCAAAACATATGACTAATCTGGGATGAGGTGTCTAACAGCGCTTCCCATAATGCCATAGGCACGACGGTTGCGAGACGACTTCTCGTAAAATGAGACGAGTAAGGTCTACTACCCAGTACTTTACATATTACAGTAAATGGTAAAATAAAACCATATAAAACCAGCAAAACAACTCAGGTTGTTAAATATATTTACAATGCGAATCCATATGGTGATTTCTTAAAAATGAGGGATCCCAAAAAACCATGAGGTTCAATACTGACATATACAATAAATTATCTAAAAATTGTCTGTTTTGTGGTTGAACATGCATATCCGGTTTATAATCCATATATAAGTTATATAACCCATATGTGTGTGTGATCCAAATGATAAACACTTATACTGAACAGATTTAATTTAGTGGCAGGTGAGCCACCCAATCTAGACAGATTCCTTGGATGTGTACGAGATAAGTGGTCCCAACTCTTCTATTCCAAAGAACAACTAGTACTTAAACACGGTGGGAACTTAAAACACCTTAAAATAACACATCCATTACCTCACCATGGTTCGAAGATCGTCTTTGATGAATTTGATGGATTGATCGACCACAATCATTGGTCAGCAACAACTGTTTAACAACCTTTTTCATGATAAGTTGCTGGTTGATAATACAAGTACTACTTGGTGGTTTCAACCCCTCTGAAAAATATGAGTTCGTCAGATTGCATCATCATCCCAACTATTGGGGAAAAAAAATATAAAAATGTTCCAAACCACCAACCAGACCCTATGGATCCAAACACTGTCTGAGAAGGTACTTAACCCTCCAAATTATAGTAAATTATACCACAAACACTTCCTAAGAAGATACTTGGATCCATAGGGAGAGTATATATTCTTCATCGAATTTCCCATGATTTTCCGGGTGGACTCCAAAGAAAAATGGCACCTCGCCGAGCTTTTCCACCTCCTGCCGGAGCTGCCCTTCCGTCTGCTGGCGGCGCCGGAGTTTCTCCGGGTCCTCCTTGAGGCGGTGGGGAAAATTTCCCAACGGCCCCGTTGAACGGGGTGAGTTAACGGCGGTGGAAAATCTACAGGAAACCGAGGTTTCTACCCTCTGGTAATTTAACATAGCTATTGAAAATGATGATTTATAGTGGATTTTCCCATTAAAAATTGTGATTTTCCATAGTTATGTTAGTTTACCAGAGGGTATACCTTGTTCATATGTTAATGGAGTGTCCTGTGGATTTCCCCTTCAACTCTATAACATGATTTTTCAGCCACCAAAAAGTTGAAAGTCCATTGGGACTGGGAGCAACTTATTTGTTTTGCTCCTGGTTACCATGGGTTCTTTGCAAGAGCTGTGCTATATGTGTGTTTTGACTCTGGCTATAACCAAGCTCCTCCCAGCCGCTCAACTCATTGTAGAGCTCTTCTTCAGTGAGTCCGCGTAGCTGTTCTGGAAGTATTTTGCGGGACCTGCTGCTAACTGGTGTGACTGCTTAGGTTGTTGTCCCAAATCGACACTTGATTTTCACGTCATGCTACAGAGGGATATGCCAGAATATGTTCCTTTTCGAATCTGGAGGCACGAAGGACATTCCACAGCAAGGATATCGTTCCTACATGTTCCATGTACGGTTGATTTACTTACCAACAAAACTTGGTCATTGTTTGAGTCAATGTTAGAAAATTGACTTCATAATATCCATCAGTAGATGGTAGACATTGGTAGACCTACTAAACATATCTAAACACCGCCATGTTCCATCATTTTCCATGAGGACACTGATCAAAAAGGACCTCCGGCCATTGAAACCTGAGGCCTGCAGAAACTACCTGCCGTTCCGGCCTCAACAAAAATAATATCAATACATATTACCTATTGTGTTTTCTTTTTAACAAAAACGTCCGTCCTTCCTTCCTTCCTTCCTTCGTTCCTTCCCTCCCTCCCTCCTTCCTTCCTTCCTTCATTTTGTTGATGCATACATCTTTATCTTCATACATTGATGTTTTTGATGTTTCTCCCTTTTCCATGTCTCTGTTAGATGGATATATTTGGATAGAGCGACTCCAGCATGGCAACCAGCTGGCAACCAGCGAGCAAGCGAGCCTCTTGCAGGGTGGATTCCAACATGTCCTTATCCACTGGGAATTTCTTCTCCTCGCGGGTTGCAGCCATTTTATGATACTAAAGTCCCTGTTGATGGTGATATCCTAATATTCACATTGTTCTGTAATACATCTCTATAAATAGTAATGAGGGCAGCTAAGCCAAATACAAGATCCTAATATGTGGGTTGATTATAAGGTATACCCACTGTACTTGGAATGACTAAATTTTCATCATACCTTTAAACTATATTTCAGCAACTTATCTTGTAATTGATTTATATTCTCTTTTATTAAATGATTATCATAGTCGCAACAATTGATATTTGAATTTGGGGAAGCCATCTAATTATGGATCACACACCGATGCACTTCTGATATCTTCTCATCTCACCATGGACTGGAAACCCATTATATCAATTATATCTTATATCCCCACTAGATAAATATATTTATCCAAAAGCACCCAGAAGTGCCCAGAGGCACAAGTCTGTAAATGTTATCCCAGATTTATCCATAATTGTTGCTTATTGGCCATAAATATTCATAATTGTATCTCCTTGAAACTAGACCTGAAGGATTGAAATGTGTGGGGTACAGTGAAGCCATTGTTTAAGAACCCATTGCATTAAGAATTTCAGGGGCTTGAAATAAGAACCCTATAGGGTACGCTGGATTTGCGGCCATTAGTTCTTATTTGCCTTTCCTAGGGGTGTTTATTAGTTATGGTTACGCCGGGCTAGGTCAACATAGAACATGCTTTGACCAAATATTCAACATGGAAGTCATGTCTTTGTGAAGCCCGGAAGTCTGGAAGGACTCACTCATCATTTTTCATGTCCCCTGTGGGAGACAACGAGACTCAGGCTGAGGCGCCAGGGGCAGGAGACAACGGGGAGGAAACAACAAGGACATGAGAAGTTCATGGGATTTCACAGGTAAAAGGTGCTTTAATTAAATTTCTTTCTTCGAGTTATCCACACCAGTGACATTTTATCTGATATATGATATATATATATATATATATTCTGACAATCTATTTGGCATCCTTTCTGGCATTCTATCTGACATATATTCTGAGATCTGGAGCTCGCGGTTGAGGTCCGGCAGTGCCCACTAAGATCCGGCACACGCAGTTGAAATCCGAGGCTGCCGGAGGAGAAGGAGCGGGAGAAAGCAACTATGCTAAAATCTAGAGACCCTCACCTGGCAGGTGGGGAAAATCATGGAAGTGCATGTTTATTTTGCGCCCAGCCATTTTTTAAAACGATATGCCCAAATGAAAATGGAACTGCAGCGCAAAGTGAAGATTAAGAACTAGCCCCTTAAGAACTCGAGGGTAGCCTCGTTCACAATTTCGCTACTTTTCCACAGATAGGACTTAAGAACATTTAAGAACCCAAGGGTAGGCTGGTTCCGCTGTACTCCATCTTCAGTGATCCACAAGTATCATGACTAAAAATCATCAATTACCCTCTGGTAATTTAACATAGCTATCGAACATCACAATTTCTAATGGGAAAAATTCACTATAAATGGTGATTTTCCATAGTTATATGTTAAATCGGTATATCCTCATCATCTCATCCCTACAATACTTATCTGGTTGGTGGTATACCTACCCCTCTGAAAAATCATGGAGTTCGTCACTTGGGAAGGATTATTCCCACATATTATGAAAAAAATAAACATCATGTTTGAAAAATATAAAAGTCACTTGGGATGATTCTTCCCAATATATGGAAAAATAAAATTCATGTCTGAAACCAACCAGTTGTCTTTACCAACCAATATATGGGATGATGACATTCCCAACTGAATGGAAAGTCATAAAATTCCATGGTTCCAAATCACCAACCAGTCATGTTCCCATCTTTTCAGCACCCCATCGCACCTTGCAGCCGCCGTTCCCAAAGAGAGCATGCTGCGGCAAGGGCGAAGAGGCCGCCGGGGCCCAGCGTTCTGCGCTGCTGTTAGCGCCATTAGGGGATGCCTGGCGGAGGGGGCGATGGGCCCTGGGATCGGTTCAGTGGTTGGTAACTGGCGGAAATAAGTGGCTAAATAATGGATGATCACATATTGTCACATATTGTCACTCAGGTACACAGTGAATTATCATCAGAAAAACAATAATAATGGATGATCAGCCGGTTGCTAGCTACTTAACTAATCCCATGGCCGGTGGAAGTAGACGTCTATTATCATCTGTTCATGGTGATTATAACTATAGTAACTCTAGTTTACCTGGGCAATAAAACGACTTACAACACCTGACAACTAGCGGGCAGTAAAAATCTTACCTGGCAGCTGGAAATCTGATCATCCATGCCTTCTTTGTGCCCCAAATGCACTCTGAGCAGGTGCTCGGACCACAGAAACGCCAAAATACCGTCTGAAGTGTTTTGACCAGTACGGATCGGAATCCAAGACAGTCACCCTATAGTCACCCTTAAACCTCCATTAAAGTCACCATTAAATCACCATTTGTTGATGGAAAAACCCTCCGAAGTCGAGCAGGCACCTGTCCGGTCGTTCGGGGCCGTGGCCGAGCCAGCATCCCGCCAGGTCGCAACGGTCATGGGTTCCGTCGCAACGGGGATGTGGAGACTCAGGGGGTGCCAAACATGTACATCAAATATACCGTATAACCCCCCAAAAAAACAGATAGAACCATCTAAATTTGTCTTGTTGTATCACTATTTTAGTCGGAGTTTACGAACTTCAATCTTTGCTGCTTATACTGCACTATTTAAGCAACATTCTACAACACTGGTTGATGATTAGGGTCGGGTAGTGATTTGAGCGATTACACAGAAAAATGAAGGGCATGGTGGCCTTACTGGACGGTCCACATTTTGCCACGTGGGAAAGTCTGGCTCTGTAAATCGAAATGATGCAAGATCTGCTTGAATGCAGCTGCCTAACTAACTGTACCCGAAAACGAGGCGAAACATGCACTGCAATGAAGAGGGATTGTGATTTCCTGTCCGGCATCTACCCCCGACCACCATATTCACTCAGCATACACAAACAATTCTTGCTCCTCTGCGTATATGGGCATGGTATGGTTCAAACTTGGATGCCATCCAAACATGAGATGCTTTAGATGCTTTACTAGATTTATCAATTACTTCTTCAGATGCATCCCCCCGCAAAAAAAATTAAAACATTCCAACCAGATCAGTGGTTGTCTGGGCCCCAAATTTTGGCCCACCCAGCCAGGTGGTCAGATCCACTCTGGGGGTTCCCAACCGCTCGGTTGGCGGCTGCTTCTAGCAGCGGCCGGCCTAGATGTTGGACAGGGGACAGGGGCTGAAATTCGGACCTGGTTTTTCAGCTTCTCTTGCAGGATTCCTGATGGGCATGAATATTCTTCAATGTTCTTCAATCGAAAAACTCAAAACCGCTGACTGCACCTCACCCTGGGTTCAAAACCTGCTACTTGCAGAGTTGTTCATATGATTCATGGGTCAAAACCTCTTTCCCCTAGTGACCTTGGGGAACAAACGACAACCACCAACTCCTTCTGATGGGCTCATGATATCTATGCATTTGATCAGTGTTGAAGCCTGTCAAACTTGGGGGTTTGTTATGGTTTGTTGAACCTCGGGATGTGTGCATAAACACATCTAGTCCCTACCCTCCTGTAAACATCTACAGACTAACATAGATGTGGAAAATCCCACCATGATCATTTTCCTCGGGTCTTCCGATGGGCCGCTAGGGCCGCTAGGGGCCAGGCAATGTGCTGCCACAGCCCCTGCTGCAACCACAACCTGGGTAGAAACCCATGTGGTGGATGTTGGGGATGAAATCACACATTTGAAAAGAGCATAACCTTATATAATGCCAATGGATTGTGAATAGATCGAAATACATTGGTAATTATACATAACATTTCAAAATATGTCATATAATATTTATTGATCATGTTCCATAAAAATTGATGTTTCACATTCAAAGCCTCCATGAATAGTTCGCTGATCTCTCAGCTTTAACGCGGCGGCGCCTTCAAGAGGACGGTAGCGCTCAGAGCGGATAGCCGAGGGGTTAGCACCTGGCCCAAAAATCGCTGAGGCCTATCAGTGGGCGTTTTTAGTGGCAGATATGATAGATATGGGCTGTTTTCCAGAAGTTGAGCACACACACATATATATATATATAAAGAGATATATATATATATATATTGCCAAAATGTCTTTTCCTGGTTTTGTTGATAAAGCGTAATTCCTTGCGTGCCGCTTCTTATTGTGCCTTTAAAACCATGACTGATCTAAATAGTCTGAAACCCTGCATTTTATCTTTCATGTTTGAAGCCGTAGCTAAAACCTTCAGTAAATGCTAACGCGCGTCTATGTGAAGTGGGTGCCGCTGCTAGTTGTTAGTGGTGGAACTGGAATATCTGCAGAGCTGGTCGTTGCCTTTGCTGTCACTGTTGCTTTGTCAAACAGACAGGATAAACTACAAGTTCTCTGGTGGCGACTGGGTCACGGGTCAACCAAAGCCGTTTTTTGAAACTTTTGCTAGCGCATTGCTAGCGGGGATCTAGCGGGTAAAATTACGTACAAATTCGCAAAGTTGAGCCGCAACCTCAAAAATATAGGAAAATTGTTGAGTAGCACAGAAATTCACTAAGACATCCTTAGGTTTAAGGAGCTAAGTGTTACATCTTGACTTTTCTTCATGTTGAAATAACAAGCAAACAGGAACACACAAAAATATCCTTGAACATGGGTGTGAGAAAAAAAAACTAGCGCAAACCTAGCGCGTTTGCTAGCGCTGCCTTGCAGAATTGGTGAATTTAGTTGCGTGCCGCCTCGTAACGAAGAGGAAAAACAACTAGGCCCACAATGGTGGGCTCCTAGGATACCCCTAACCGTTCATACCCCCCATTGGAATATTTTTTAAATATTCCGCCATAGTCGAAGGTTGTTCTGGAAGAATATTCTCAACTAGTTGTCAACAATAGTAAAAAACTTATGTCAACTAACTTTGGCAAATGGTCATATATATATATAAGTTGGATAGATCATGATAGATCTAGTTGGATATGTGTATATATGTATAAATCTATTACCCTCTGGTAATTTAACATAGCTATTGAAAATGGTCCATTTATTGTTGATTTACCTCTTCAAAATGGTGATGTTCTATAGTTATGTTAGTTTACCGGAGGGTAATACCTATTATAACCCATAGGATCCATGTATGGTATATATGCTAACATTTGGGGTATATTGATGGTAAATGTTACCATATATAGCATACATGGATCCTATGGGTAATTTATAAATATCCCACGGAGTCTCAACGGACTCCCAGTTCCTCCGATGTTCCTCCGCTCCGCCTCGGTGACGCGACTGAAGAGTCGCTTCGCACCAGGGCCTCGGAGATGGGTTTGGCGAAAGGAGCCCGTGGCGAAGTGGCTTTACGATAGGTATCACTATGGTTAATGATTGTATATTTATAACTATGGTTAATGGTAGATATCTATCTATCTATCTATCGATCGATCGATCTATCCATCCATCCATCCATATATATATATATATTGATTTACAGTCATGGGGGTTAAAAGCCAACTTTGTAAAAAGGGGATGACAGCACCTTGTGTTGATCTTCTTGGCGAAATGATGGGAATCGGCTCATGGGCTTCAAAGCAATCCAGGCGATACTGCCAGGCACATATAAACACAAAGAAAACAAAGACATATATCCATACATATCATTGTTTCCATTTTATATATATATATATACCGTACATATATATATATCCTTATATGTGTATATATAATACACAAACATGTAACATGTTCACAACTTTCGACTCTGCCATGTTATGCCATGCATCATGTTACCGCTGTCCATTTCCCAAGCCTGACTTCCCAATGACTTGACCATACTTGACCCATGTCCGCTGGCTGAGTCGTGAAAAAAAAACGTTTATCTGCAAGGCAGACTTAAAACCATTACCCATAGGATCCATGTATGGTATATATGCTAACATTGGGGGTATATTGATGGTGAATGTTACCATATATAGCATACATAGATCCTATGGGTTATTGATTTAGATAGTTAAAGATAGAAAAGTAAATCAGATCTAGTTTGGTAGGATGCAATGTGTCTATCTTTTTTGCGGAGTTACTGTAAACATCACCGGAAAAATCGTAGATAATTGATGTCACTTTATGGGTTGCTTCCATGATCTTTCATGCGGTTTTCTGTTCACCCATCCCCACGGTGTGTTTTATTCCCATTGCTACAGGTGGCATAGATGGTCTCATCTAATGAAACTAACCATTCTTTCTCCATGTGCTTTAAACATTTCCCCGCAGCAAATAATATAATATAGATATGGGAAATCCAGCATTGAACAGGAAACCCATGCATTTCCGTATCTGTTATCTTGATTGACGACTATTTAGGTTCCGGAAAATGAAGCTGGGTTTCTCCAGGCTCCATGCCTTAAAACAATGACTCTATCCTCTATATATATATCTATATATACTACCTTTATCTATCCATGTCCATCCAGTTGGTTCATCCATTTTCATCCATTTGACTTTGGTTTTTGATTGTGGTATCAGTGGTATCCCATTGTCCCATTATCCTTCCCATAAAATCCCATTCAAAAATCGCTGAATCTCCAGAAATGTCTGATCTCCATGGAATTTTCCATGGTTTTCCATGGTTTTCCATGGGTTTCCATGGGTTTTCCCCATGTTTTTATAGCTCCCAGTCCAGCCCTGTTGGTCCATCCCCGTACCGCGAGGGCCCCCAGCTGTTCTCCGCGAAACCGGAGGTGGCTACGAGCAGCATCAGCTCTGACACATCCTCTGCGGTCCTGGAAGGACAGGGCTGGATATGGTCCAAATTCGGATGATATGGTATATGGGATATATATGGGATATATCCCTGGATACATATAGGTCATATATATGGGATATATATTATATATATATTTACCATACTCGGATACAGGTCATCATATATCCCACAGGATCTCCCTAATCACGAATTATTTGATGGCTAATTAATTACTGTTATTGAGTATCACCAATCACTACTGATATCTAGTCCCATAGGATCCATGTATGCTATATATATGGTAACATGGATCCCATCAATATACACCCTTTATGTTAGCATATATGCCACACATGGATCCTATGGGTATAGGAATATGGATGATCTTAGGAATATCATGATAGGGTGTAATATAACAAATGGGGTGTAATCATCATCCAACATTCTATTTTTGATATGGAATCTTAACCACCATTCATCATATATAGGAACATGGATATGGAATATGATAATAGGAATATGATAATCATAGGAATATGATATGGAATAGGGTGTAATAATCATCATAGTTTTTTGTTTTTAATAATAACCTGGTGATCATAGAATCATCGATTGCCCTCTGGTCAACTAGCTGTGGCAAATCATCATGTTAATAGCAAAATCAACGAACTACTCATGGGCCATGTTTATTACCATCCTTGGTAATTTAACATAGCGATTGAAAACAGCCCATTTATACAGTTGATTTACCTATTAAAGATGGTGATTCTCCATAGCTATGTTAGTATACCGGAAGGTATCCACACTATAAGATGTTTGTCGGGACAAAATAAGATTATTATTAAACACATTATACCACGGGTCTCATACATTACATCTTAACCACATTATCTTATAACTGGGATGATTATCATGATTTGGCCATTTATAAAATGAGTTCCCATTATATAAGATTATATCCTATTGATAACATGATTTAAGAATGCAAATGGTGATTTGCACAAAGTAGGGACTGACACAGCACATATCAATATGTGGATGCTGCACCAGCAAATGCGGGCGAAAATGCAAATGTTGATGTTTGACTTAATATAAACTTGGAAATGTTGCTCACATTTTTTAGAACTGGGCACATGTCAAGTTTTTAAGATCAGCTTTTTTTTCCATGTTGTCGTAATGTTGACCTGTACCCATATTGACCAGGAAAAGGGTGGATGAAGCAGCAAAATGTGGATTAGACCAGCAACAAATAAGCGAAATAAGCGGCATTTTACTTGCACAAATGATGAGAATATGACTCGCAACATCTCGCAACATTCTTTTGTTTTGATTTGGGTAGGGACCTAGACCTCTCAAAACCCAAAGTCCAGACTCGTGTTTTTTCTTGGGGGGTAGGATTGGCAAACTTGTTTCTTTGCGTCTTATGTTCTTGTGATGATATAATGATGTCCGGTCTTAATGAAGACCTATAGCCGCAGCGGTCAAGAAGTTAATCGAGTTGTACAAATGGTCAACCCCCCAGCCCAAAGAGCCACGTGCCGAGGTTGACTGTGACCGGGCTGCCCCGCCAGCTCTCTAAACCTCGCAGGTTTAGAGATCCAAATGGGGATTTGGAGGTCTCTACCAACACGATCAGCCGTCTGAAATGGTCAGAGTCTGTGAACGTGCGAATCAATCCGCACAAACCAGAAAACTATGAATCTGGCTCGACATGGGAAAACGAAGTGTGGATCACATGCTGCTCAGTTCCATGACCTCTTGGGGGAGGAAGTCAAACAAAGCAAAATAGAAAAGAGTGTAGAAACAGAGTGTCCTCTAAATGTTGGAGACATCCATGGTATGCCTGATTCTTTTCGTCCAAGAATCGGATGAAGTACCTAATGATACATCTCTCTCTATATAATTACTCAGTTTTCAACTGATACAACTCATGCCCTTGGTTTCCAACTTTGAGCTGCAGCACCAGCTACCTGCAGTTCAGCATCAGCTAGGACAAGGGAGGATGAAGTCCAAGGTTCATTGCGGCAATGGTATGAAGTTTAGTTTCATGTTTTTTGGACAACATTTGACGAATTGACTTAAGGATACTTAAGGGAAAATCCACAGGAAACCATGGTGTTCACCAGTAAATCAATGGCTCAATGGGGGGTCCTAGGCCAAAATTTTCCGATTCCAACTCTGAGGCGGACAATGGGGTGTAATAATGGGGTGGGCCCAATGGCGACTGCGGGCCAAATCAGATACATAACCAGGTATATGCCACCAAAACACAATGAAAAACTAACATCCAGAAATGCACAGTCGGATTAAGTAGTGCCCAAAATGTTGTGTTTTCCCAAGCCGGTTCGTTGATAGGTGTCTCCCTAGTGATGATAGTACCTTCCTTAACCAGGAAGTTGGGTATTTAAATAGCATGATAAAACTGTAACCATCAACCAACAGGGTTTTGGGGCATTGCTGGGAGAGTCAACACCTGGTTTGTTCACCACCTCAACTGGTTACTCTCCGGATACCCTCTGGCAATTTCACAGGTTGCTATGGAAAGTTGCCATTGTTAGTAGAGATATATAGGGATAAATCATCGAACTAAATGGGTCATTTTCCATAGCAAACTGTTAAATTACTGAGAAGTTGGCTTAATGCTGAACATGACCAACGGCAAACGATTGAATGAATAATCGGATTGGTCCAAGGGAAATGTTACAGGAAACCATTGTTGTCCTGGTTTCCTAAGGATATGGTAAACCAATGTAAACCAATGTAAACCAATGTAAACCAGGTACCCTCTGGTAATTTAACGATCCGCCATGGAAAATGACCCATTTAGTTCGATGTTTTCTCTGATTTGTCTCTATTAACAAAATGGCGATGTTCCACGGCAAACAGTTAGTTCATGTTGATTCACTGGAATTCTTGGATTCTCCTGGTAGTACTGGAAAAAACACAATAGCGGACATTAGAATGATACCTGTAGGCACAATTAGGGAACTATTATCTAATGTCAACCCGGATGAATAAACCATGGTTTGCAAACTATGGGGGTACCCGACAAAATAGTGATAGTATGATACTTAACTGGCAACCTCCTCAATTAAACGGCCATTTGGGGTTTATTAATCCAGGGTTGACATTAGTATATAATAGTATACATGCAGCTATGGTTTAATCCCATCCCCCTAATATTAAACACGTCCTATGTGGAAATTTCTATTCTGGTTGGTGGTTTCAACCCCTCTGAAAAATATGAGTTCGTCAGTTGGGCTTGTGACATTCCCATCTGAAAAAAATCACACAATTCCATGGTTCCAAACCACCAACCAGATACATTGTTATTCCAATTACTAACCATTACTAACCATTATTAACCATAGATTAACCATTGTTTGAGATGTGGGGCCCAGGGTTTACTCCGTCGATCTCCGTCTCCAGAGCTTCCCGGCTGGTCCCAGGGCAGTTTGGGCGATGCAACTCGACTGCTGGGAGGCCGTGGCCAAGCCTCGGCCAAGGCGCCGCGGCCCCGCCGTTGCGGTGTCATCAAAACATAGGTCAAAAAAAACCCGGAACTGGCCGTTTTATAGGTATTAAATGTGAAAGTTGTATAGAGTTTTCCAAGTATGAGATATTAAACATATCATGGGATGATGGGATGCAGCATTGATTAATCTACTATATCTTCTATCTTATTGGTATGGATGGATGATAAGCGTCCTCATGAAGTGTCATGAATCTCTCCGACTATACTTGCTGGCTCATCCCACTTGGTAAGCAGGTTGTATCCCTGGTTATAGTTCTAAGTGGGATATGTTGGCTTAATCCACTTACTGGGGTTACAACCTACTTACCAATAAAAAAACAATGGGGAACATCACATGACTAGAACTAAAGGATATTAATGACTATAGGGGACATTTAGTCTTTTGATATTCTCCATTTGCTATTTTTCTTTAGACATGTGATAACTAAGAAATCAACTTCTATGGGAAAGTCATTTCTAAACTTCCAAAGGGATATTTTTACAGCTAAGCCATCATCCCCTATGGGATCATATGGGATCGTATGGGATATTTACACTTAAGAATAGGACATTGGTTACACCTCTGACTAAATCTCCCCGGAAAACAGTTATGTCCTAACCATCCCCTATGATAAGCCCCCCGCGCAGGAGGCGCGAGGGCGGCACCAATGCGAGACCTGGCCCCGCCACCGCCACCTGGCCATCAAACGTGGCGGAAATCTTGAACAAACATGAGGAAAATGTGGGAAACATAGGAAAACGTAGGAAGTTTTATGGGGGTTGATGCAAAAAATGTCTATAAATGGGGTTTCGAATGGGAAATTTTCGAATGAAATGAGGGATTTTCCAGTATGTTATGTTGGAAAACTCGTGGAAATCTATTTGGTTACTGTTCCGAATTTGATCTACACATGATATGGTTGGTGTTCCAACTTGGAAATATTTAACCCTCCAACATATGAGAATTAAGCCGAACAAATGGGGGTATAACCAATGAAAATGTGGATTTACCCTGAAGCAACGTGGAAATCAATGGTGTTTCCATGTGTTTCCCGTGTGTCCTCCAACCTCCATGAAAAAAAGAGAGAGAAGGGTCACCCAAATTCTCGGAGCAGTTAGCCAATTGCAATGACCAACAAATCATTCGTAAGGATCTCAAATACTTCATCAAATGGCCTAGATTTAACATTTGGTGGAGAGAGAGAGATATATATATAATTTACCCTCCGGTAAATTAACATAGACCCTGGCATTCATCGGGGTTGGAAGACTGGTTTTCACTAAAAATTGCTTATTTTCAGGGCCCAACTGTTAATTTACCAAAGGGTAATCCCATTAAATCCCATTAAATCCAATTAAATCCCATTAAATCCCATGAATCTGTGACCATTTGGCCCCATTCGAATCCCCCAAAAAATCATAGATCTTCCCATCAAAAAGGGCGAAAAGAGGGCCATCACTGCCGGAGGGAGTTTCAACCGCCTTGGCTTGCAGCGGCGGTCTCAAGAGATCGTCTTTCAGACCTGCTCTGAAAGTCTTCGGAGAAAAATATCCAAAGGATTTACCACCCATCTAAAATTCTATCTAAAAATCTATCTATCTATCTATCTATCTATCTGTATATATATATATATTAACAAACAAATGTACCATATTATTGACCAATAAATAACATTTCGCGAAATTTACGACCGGCTATATGTTAAGTAATATGTTATCATAGTATATTGATCTATGTTGTAAATTAATGCTTATCAATATAACTACCTAGAATTAGTGTCGGTATATATCTATAATATCTATATCTGAAATTATCTTAATAACATTTAATAACTATATCGATGGTTGTTAATTATATATACACCGTATATATATATATAGTGACGGACATATACTTAGAACATCAATTTTTCCAAAATTTCGGAACCTTTTCTTAGAACAAAACAACTACACTTAGAACATCAGAAATGTTCTAAGTACGCACTTAGAACATCAGAAAAACAGATACTTAGAACATCTCCTTTGATTTTTTGCATACTTAGAACATTAAACACACATATACTTAGAACATGTCCTGTTACTTTGGTAAATCTGCATATATACACACAAATACCTTGGTGAACACCATACTTAGAACACTTTCTCCCCTCACTGCTGCAGCATTCTATACCTTTTCTTCGGGAACAATATCCCAAGCAGTCTTCGCTGCAATGGGAAGGTCTCTAGTATATAATTTGTGGGTTTCCTACAGCGGGTAGTCAAAAAACATAGGTTTCAATACTAAAATGAGCTAAAATGAATTATGTATAATTTTGAATGTTTTGGAGATGCCTCATTATTGGTTCCCCACTGGGATGTTCTAAGTATAGCTTGGAAATGTTCTAAGTATATGTTTTGGGTATGTTCTAACGACTTAATACTTTAGAACATCCCCGCTGTGACGATTTTCAGTTTTTTTCCAAATGATGTTCTAAGTATTTGTCCGTCGCTATATATATATATATACATAACTTTATGGCACTATATATTACTCATAGCCACTATGGCCATATAGTACTATATAATCAACTGTATGCCATGATGCTTCTATATATTATTCAAACATAGATAATTCTATATTTTCTGCATGAAATCATGAAGCAACTATCTGGTGATGCCTGAAGATGAGGCTTTTGATGATGGGAAGTTGGGACGAAAACTCCAGGCTCGGCTGAGTCCAAAGCAGCAGGCCAGGTGGCTTGGTGGCTTGGTGTTGAAAGCATTGCCCCCATGAACTATACTGGTTGGTGGTATACCTACCCCTCTGAAAAATATGAAAGTCAATTGGGATGATGACATTCCCAAGATATGGAAACATAAAAATCATGTTCCAAACCACCAACCAGATATATCATGCAACTCGCTCAGCAGCCAGCCAAAATTATTTTGAGAGACAGGCATCTGCAGGCATGTCAGCTTCGGAAGAGTTGCATCGAAAAGGCAACCCAAAGAGCAAATCCAAATTGGATCAAAACAAGATGCCTTCTCCACCAACTATTGCCATAAGGGAAAACTGGTAACACCGCAAAACAAAAGAAGACACCAAAACAAAAGAAACAAAAAACAGCTAATTACCAAAACGGCAACGAAAAACATAGTCTTCCCGGGCAACAGCCGAATCAATCATGGCTGATGCAACTGCATGTGAAAAACGTGCAGGATAAGGCTGAGCTAAATGAGTCCACAGCTGTTTGGACACAGGATCAGAACCACTCAAGATGATATGATGTTTATGGGTCAAGGAACAAACACCGTTACGGCCACAACATTTGACTTCAAGTTGTGGTGATGGCTGTGAGTGCCAGCTGAGCACTTTGGTGCGTTTTCTCCACCTTGCTCCGTGCTGACAAAAGTCAGTGACAAAGCATCGACAAGAACGGAGCTTTGAAAGGCGATTGATTGGAGGGGAATTCCAAAGCATAGAGGAAACAGGATTTTCAAGAAAAACAGGAACACCACAAGAAACAGCACAATGAATGATCCTAGCAGTAGCTTTCATGGTGGAATTCCCAACTCGCACTTTAGCACGTTGAGGCTCGGGCAAATCAGGAAAACCATAGATATGCTCACTACTACGAAGGGGGCCCCAACCAGAGTTTTTAGGGCCTCTACGCGCACGGCTCCAAGTGGCATATGGTGTTCCAAGCCAGATGCTACTAATGCACCCTCCGCGAATCCAGCCTTCAATTAATTTCAAAATGGAATTGTCAGTCAGGTCATATCTAGGGTCCGTGTCAGAATCAACAGCAACACAACCAAAACCATGGCTGAAGATACTCTTGGTGATACCCTGATGACCTGCAAACAAATTAAGGAAGACCTTGCGGCTGTGAGACTTTGAATTCTTAAGGGCTAGTCTAAAGTCCCTCATGAGAAGCTCTCTACCACTAAGGCTACTAATCCTACCATGCTTGCATTGCTTGATGAAATTTTCAAAAGACCTCTGCAAGCGACGCGTCACTTGGGAATTCCACTTGGTGGGGCTTTGGCAAACTTCTCCATCATTAGCAAGCTTGGTAGATCTGTGAGCACTTCTTGGCCGTATTGAACCACGACGGGATTCACTTTGCTGAGTTCGTGTTGCAACCTGGCTTCCTTGACATACCTCTTCAGAGATGAATCTGTTGACCACCTCCCTCTCTTTTTGACCTCCAAGAGAGGTCGCCGTGATGCCAGAATGTCGTGGCTGGCTCCTCCGTGGCGCAGAGCATAGAGTGACAGGCCTAGCTCTTCCAAGCCCAACTCTTTGGTTATCTGGCTGAATTGTTGCACCAAAAGTTGATGAGGATCTGCCCAAAGTGGTTCGGCAGGATTTCTCCCCAATGTGATTTTGGCCAACAAAGGTCCCATCCACAGGTCTGAGTCCAAGAGGATGGATCCGTCGAACAAGGCTGTCTTCCCAGGAATTTTCAGCTCTTGCGGGTGAAGGAGAATGGCCCAAAACTGACATGCATTGGTCATTGAAGGTTGTGGTGGTATCAGCTGCCCAACCGTCAAATTGCTGATCTCGCCAGGGCGCATGTAAGTCACAAATTGAATGAACATACGCAGGGCTAGTTGAGGATAACCTCTGTAGAGTAGGCAACCCATCATCGCCCCCAGCACCTCGAGTGGCATAGGCAATCTCTGGCGCTGCGGCATAGCGAGGTTCCAGCCTTTCAAGGATCGGACAGCACGTGGAAGCCCCCTTTCCCCCAGTCGTGAAACCTCTGGAATGAAAAACTTGATGGCAGCTACTACTCTGATGCCCTCGTCTTGGCCCCTCCCAGCTTCGAACAGACTTTGAAGGTAAAGAGCTAACACTTGATCCAACTCTGATGCCGACTTCCAATCCTTCCGGTGCTGCTGACACCAAACTGAAAACCGGTCTATTCTGAGTTGATAGTCCTTCAAAGTTGGAGTCTTCACGCTCCTGGATTCGAGATATGTCATCCCTTCCGGAACCATCATGGACTTATGAGTCCTCATCCTTCGATTGTGACGTTGGGCGCCTTTTGGATCTACTGACTTTCCCATTGTTGTCAAAAGGAAGGGAACCCAGAGTGCTATCCCACCAGCGCTGCAAGCCCTGCGCCTCCCACTGCTTCTGAGCTCGAGAGGGCCGATCGGCAATGTTCAGCTCGGATGGAATCCAACGCACATGCAAACGAGAACCGCTGGCGAGTAACAAACTGGTAATTTTTCTAAGAGGACCTTTCAAAAGTTGAGATTTGCCCCTACCTTTAGTGGCAGCAAGTGCAACAGGAAGGTTGTCAACCAAACAGACAAGGTGCTTGCCAATATTGCGGTTTGCTCTGAGAAGGTGCTCAACACTCCAGTTCAAAGCCCTAGCTTCGGTCTCAAGAATGTTAGCCTGAAATTTCCAAGGAGCAGACCAAACAACTGACCAGTCACTAGCATGAAGAATGTCAGGATTGACAGAATCAAATTGAATCGCATTGCCAACCTCGACAGGTATCTCATGACTCACAGCGGTCTCAAAGGAATTACCAGACACGCTATCAACCACACCAGCGTCATGTCCACGTTGAAGAGAAAAATTGAGAACATTACCACTGAGCTTGCTATCGGTATCACATGGCTCACCAGATTTTTCACTCATGACATGATTGTCGCAGTTTGACTCATCATAGAGTCTGCCGCGAGCCCCCACTGAACCGAGAGCAAAACTACGTGCTTTGATGGCATCCTCAATGCGATATCTCCAGCGCTCTGAGCACTGACCAATGTGTCTAACTTTGTCAACATCCAACTGCCGTTTGCAAACACCAATTCCCCAAGGAGAAGAATCAGAAGCAGTAATTTCGCTAGACCATCCAATGTTGATTTGAACCCTGAACAGAGGAAGTAAATTAGAGATAATAATGAGCTCCTTCCGCACTGAGGGCCAAAGTCTATGGGGTCTATTACCAGCTGAATGAACAAAGGCATATGAAGCACTCAAAATGGCCAGCCCTTCGCGTCGGCACATAAGAGCCCAGGTGATGTGTCCAAGAATGTGCTGCATAGTTTTCCCATTGCAGACTTGCATGTCTAAAAGCTGAGGAATAGCCGCGCGGAGCTTGAGGATCCTAGAAGGCTTGATACTAATGTGACCAGTCTGTCCATTGAAATGCAACCCAACAAAATCACATGTCTTGACGGCAGCCTCCTCTTCATGGACTGTCAGCCCCAATGATCTAAGCCTCTCAGAAATCAGGCTCAGCTTTCGATCGACCTCAACACGGTCGAGGCCAATGACAGCAAAGTTGTCAACATATCCAGCTGCAGCACAGCTGTGGGAAACATGACCATGAGGATGTCCATCTTTTGGTCCAGCTTTAAGATTGACCCCTGCACCCTTGTCTGAAACAATGAAGTGATCACTGAAACCCGCATGCTTGATAGCCCGATCCAGAACTAATTGGCAGAGATGAAGTGCCCAACTCCAACCCATTGGCAAAACAGTGAGATACGGAATGACCTGAGAGCCGGGCTGGACAGGGAAACCATCAATGGATTCAACACCAATCGCAGAGGCCTGCACCGGAGGAAGTGTAAACATCCGACCCAGTGAATCAGGAACTGCTAGTGTGTAAAACGCATTGGCCAAATCCCCAGAAGCCACAAAAAACTCTGCCCCATCTGGAATACCAATTCGCCCAAAAGCATCAGCTGAAGGAAGATCGGTGTGAGGGGGTTCATGAAATTTTAGGTTCAATTTTCGGGTGTCAAAAATCAGTCTGAGCTGTCCGGATTTCTTCTTGACGAAAAAGATGCCCAACTGTGACCCATATGTATCCACTCGTTTGAATTTGACCATGTTCCGCATGCGAAGGTCACTAATGAAACCAGCATACTCCTTCTTGTTGTGCTTCAAAACAGGATCAACATAAGGGATGGGCTCCTCAACACTAGCCGCAACCTCCGACTGCTGTTTCAGCATATGCGTATGCCACGCCTGTAGCCATTCACTGTCGGCCCCAGGCAAACACGTAGCCAACTCCACCGGCTGTGAGTCAACCTGAGGCCAGGAGACACGCTCCCTGGCATAAGGCTCCACCACGCTTGCACTGTCACCGTACACATGCGAAGAACCGCAGAGTTCAGTGAGGGCATTTGTGGGATCGAAATCTACCTCACCCAAGACTAAGTCTCTATAAGATGAAGCAATATTTGAAAGGCACCGGCGTTGAGCACGTGTGCACTTACGTTTCTTTCCAAAATCTGAATTAGTGCACCCAGCAAGTTCATTGAGTGCCTTTATCCCCGAGTTAGCCATTTGGACCCACGCCTCATCAGCAGAGCCACCACAACCACCATGGGATAGATCCGGTAAGGGGAAGATGTTACGCTGATGACCGAAGTCTTCGGCTACTCCACCGACCAGAGAAGAAAAAATGCATAGGATGAAAATCCACCAGCCGCCAATGCCAGAATGGGACACGGTTCCACGCCTCCCCAAGACACCAGCTACTTGTCCTCCTTCTTGTCTCCTTTCCTCGCCAGAGTGCGTTCCTCTCTGGCTTTTCTCCTCTCCTTTGCAACGGCCGCCTCCTTGTGCATCTCGCTTCCCACACATTCGGTGAGCTTTGGGCTCACCACAGAGCCGACACGGGATCCACCTGCCGCACCCATGAAAAAGGCCGACTCCCCCGCGTCGTCCACTGCAGCAAGCTTCATTTTGTGCTTCTCTTCGATTCTCTGGATTGCCCTGGCTATGAGTTCTGCTGAAGCTAGATTGGTTGTATCTAGCTGGTCGTAGGTGGCCATCACATGCAGGACACGACACCAACTCTCGTGTTCCATGGCTGGGCCGTCGGTTGGTTGAAATCGACAGGCCGTACGCCATGCCTGGTGATGAGCCAGAGCTGATCCGCCTGAATCCAGCATGGCTGACAGAACATGCTTCACAGTCCTGGGCCCGGCAATGGGCCAATCTTCGAAAGGAACTGGCTGTGAGATGGTTGCTGCCTCCCTGAACTCTTTGAATCGCATGCCCTCTACATCTCGCGAAATTGGTAACGTCCTTGCATCTGAACCACCGTTCTGACCCTGATTTGGACCCAAAGCTTGCACAAGCCCTGCCAACCCACCGGCGGCGGGAACACCACCCTGAGGTGCTGGGTTTCCAGCGACGTTTGGGACTGCGACTGCCGCCCCTGGCTGCGCCGCACCTGCTGGTTGGCCGCCCGCAAGTGGAGCAATCTGCCCTGCAGGGCCACCTCCGCCCCCTTGAACACCTCCAGCTAGGCCTCGCCGAACACGTTCCTGAGCGGCGTGGCGTTGACCTTCGGCTGTCAGCCGAGCCAAAGCAGCTGGATCTGGGAAAACTCGAAATCCATAAACTTGGGCACGATTGATGCCAACAGGGATAACATTGTTGGGATCCATGGGGCGCCATGCTAAAAAGTCTGGGTTTCCTGAACTGATTTGCTCTCCGTAGATGTCCCCATCCGGAGTCAAGATGATCCATTCGTCCCCAGTGATGCATGACAGAAGAAGTCTTGCATGCCATTGTTGCTCTGTGGGGTCGTCGTAAAAGACCAACACTTGATCACCCGGTGAGAGGCCTCCAGGAGGTTGCTGGCCCAAAGGAGGTCCGCCGGCCATCCACTGGGGATGATTTATCGACGGGCTTCACCGATCCAGACCCTTTCCAAAGGAGGGAACCACCAAGTATCACAGCAATGATCAATGAACCCAGACCAAGAATGATCAACAGCCCGCTGAAGTCAAAACTAGATGGACCACAGTGAACCGTGGGGCAAGTCAATGAGCCACAGATGGTTGAACAAGCAGGGCAAGGAGGATAACTCGAATCACCCGATGAAAGCAATGAACGAGTTGACCAACCAGCGATGAAAGATATGGCTGAAGCCCCCGCCAGAAGACTATTCATCCTTTTAGGCTTGAGCGGAAACACGAGATGAACGGCTGTGTCCGCTTCAGCATGAAACCTGTTCAGAGAACTTCAATGGGGGTCTCCAAAAATGGAGATACCCCAAGCTCGCTGGATGGTTTATTTCATGGAAAATCGCATCTATAAATGGATGATAACTAGGGGTATTCCGGTATTCCTATTTTAGGAAACCCCCATATATCATCATAAATCTAACCATTTCCAACTCACCACTTCTGCGAATCAAAACACAATTTCAGTGGTTGATTGCAGCAGCTTCCATTCGAAACATCGATCTCGATCCCAATCTACGGCACACGGCGAACCTTGCTCCCCAAGGGCGGCCACGATGCTAACCTCGATAGGAGGATTACAACAATGATAAAAGTGGTGGTGGTGATGGCCATGATGATGGTCATGATGACTAGTGACTAGGAGGATGATCATGATAATTAGGTGATGATTGATGGTGATGATCAGTAATATTGGTGCTGGTGATGATGGCGAGGACGACCAAAGCTATCGCTTCCTATTTTCATCAGGCTGAAAAAAGCTACGAGCATACCATCCAAGGTGAAAATCCAAGCCTTGCCACCGACCATTCCCATGGCTAATCTGACTAATCTTAGATACCTTGTGAAAACATATACTATCAGCTGGTCAGTGAGTGCCTCTCCTGATTCAAATCGCTCCAATCGCGTGCTCACGCGCGGAAAAAAACCATCAAAAAAATATCAAAAAATATGCCTTTTTGTGTTGGCAAAATGTTCACCATTTACAGCCCATTTGTATCCATTTGTTGCAAAAACTCAAAGTTTTAGCATTCCTCAATTTGCAGGTCTCTCGGATTCCTGGGCCATGACTTCTCCAAGCAACTAGATCTGGCAGTGGTAGTCGCTGCAACAAAGGCGGGCGCAATTTGGATGCCACTGTGGAGATCTGGCACCGTGGCAGGCATTTTTGATAGGTAACTAACTCATCCCAGATCATCTATGTTCATGGGCAATTTTCCATTGTCATGATATAACATCAAAACTTGGGAGGTTCACTACTCAACCATGCAAACCAATAATGTCCCTTCTATGAAGTAACATCAGTCTTGCATTTCTTTCAAAGTGATAGCGGTGTGGTATACCATCTGCATCTGCTCGCCTAGTGGCTGTTTGCTTCGGAAGTACTCCTCTGTCACACTACCAACTACTAACTAGTGGAGTGGAAACAGTACATCTATGATCCAAACTAGGCCTGCGAAGCAGCAATGGTGATGTTCAACAATGGGCTTGGCCGCCGCGAATGGGATGCAAAAGGGGAAACACTGTGTTCAAAGCAGTTTCAAAGCCAGTCAGATGATGCTCACGGAGGTTGTTGTACTACCCTTTAATCACCTCCGTGTTTGGGGGATTGTCGCAGTCATAGAGTGGGGCATCCCCATGAAAACCCGCCATCTGGTGGATTTCACCATAATCCTGGATGGACGAAATGATGTGCCTTATGTGCCATGGTCGAAACCCAAAGCATGGCAGATGGCTTTCCGGAATCATCTCACTATATGAATTTAGGTTTCCTTATATGGGGTATGTTAATATGCATTAATTACAGATATATAATTCCTACTAAAGGGGGGATGAGCATTTCCGTTTATGGCCATTGTGTTTGATAAGGGCCGAAACTCACTTCCATAACCACCTGGGAAGCACATCCAAGTCCCCCATTATTAAACACTATAGCCTCCGGTAATTGAACATAGCTATTGAACATGGCCCATTGAAATAGTTCATCTACCTATGAAAAAGATGGTGAGTTTCGAAATGATGTTTTTTGTAGGTCTACCACGGTGTACCAGAGGGGACCCACCTCGACGTCCGCTCCGCACCTGGCAGTTGTTTTCCGCCAGCGCCAGCAGAATCTCCGCCGCCACACTGCCCTCCGCATAGGTGATGCCTCTGAGCTCCACACCTGCGGAAGAAGCCGTGGGAAGGTGCTTATGACCCCCTCCGATTTTTTCAAACGTGGCAAGCTGCGAAATCCACGTTTGAAATGGGGAGTTCAATAGGAAAATCACCGATTTTTTTTCTATCGGAGAGGGTAAATCATCCAATGATCACTTAATTATTAAGAAATGATCCCATGATGATTAAGAACATGAATGAAACTCATTTAACATATGAGCAATTTCGAAAACCCTGGGTTCATGGAAAGGACATCCACAAATTTGGGAAGGTCCCATCGCATACCACACGTTTGTACAATAATGATATAGGGGTATCGCTTGCAGGAAACTGCTACATTTATATATATATATATAATTCACAAAATCAACGTCCAATTTGGGTATCGCTAATGTGGATATTAGAGAAATACAATGACATAACCTTGAAAAGGGGCATCGCTAATTTGGGAAGGTCCCATCGCTTACCGTGTGTTTTTAACAATTTCCATCAATTTCCATAAACCAATGTCCGTCCAATACATATTTAGTATCGGGTTTTTTGCGGTGGCTCATATAATTCTCCTTGAAAGTGATGTTCAATCCCAGAATGGATGGTTAGATTGAGGGATTCCCATGAATGGATGATGAGTCCCATCATGAATGGTGATAGTAATAGAATCAGAAGGGAAACATCATGTTCTTTAAGGGCAGTTCTTTGTGGTTTTATGTGATTCTTTTATATGATACGAAAAACTATGATTCGTGCTTCAATCATTGTCTGTTAAGATTTTTTTTGGGGGGATTCCCACCAATCCTCAATGAACAATGACTTAAGAATTCAACTGGTTGGTGGTTGAGCCACCCCTCTGAAAAATATGAAAGTCAGTTGGGATTATTCTTCCCAATATATTAGGAAACAATTACATTCATGTTCCAAACCACCAACCAGTTAATTAATGTATTTTAATTTAATGTACTTCACATGATCTCTTTGTTCGTAATCTTTTTATCATGAGTGGCTGCGATTCTGGGAAAAGAAACCGCCAGGGAAAACAAAAAAGGACCGATCTGTCAAAACCGAATCCGTAACGATAATGAGATGCATCTGTTGTTTTTTTTGGTTGGGAAGTCCTAGAATTCAAGGGAAACGGTTTCTAGCGATGATTATTAAATCCAAAATTTAAGGATAACTGTGATTGTAGTACAGTAATTATGCTATAAATTATGGTACGACGGTAAAGAATATACTGTACATTTAATTATTACAATTATATAAATATGCCAATGTGTTTTGTGGAAGTAAATATACATATTACATATATATATAACTTAGAAACATTGCCCACCTGAATTTGGATGGTTATAGAATACATCTGAATTAGTACTAGAAAACATTTCAGTAGCAAGTTGACTGGTGAACACATGCCAATCCTCAAAGACCACAAGAGAAAAAGTTTTGGACAGCTGATCAAGAAAGCCGAAAAATGGATGGATTTTCGGGAGAAACGACGATGATCAACATTCGAGCAGTGTTCAAAACCCTGCGCCGCTCCTTTATACTGGTTGAGAAACGGGATACTCATGATACTCCCTTAAGGATTGTGATAATCCAAAAGTATTGGTTAGTACCCATAGGATCCATGTATGGTATATATGCTAACATTTGGGGTATATTGATGGGATCCATGTTACCATATATAGCAGCACCATGGATCCTATGGGGTATAATTCCATATAATTCCCGGTTTTGAACACTGCTCAGTTGTGCTTTGCTGGCTCGGAATCGTGTTGACTCATGTTGGCCTCACGTATGGAGACCCTTGACCGCGCCTGCCAAGGCTTCTGCGATCGGTCTCGCAGACTTGGGAAGCCTGGGCATGCTGCTCCATGTGCTGCAAGGTTGTAACCCCCCCAGACCCATAGTTTTCTGGATTGGTGGTTTATAACTTATGACCCCAATTATATAACTGGTTGGTGGTATACCTACCCCTCTGAAAAATATGAAATTCAGTTGGGATTATTCTTCCCAATAGATGGAAACAATAACATTCATGTTCCAAACCACCAACCAGTATAACATCATATAACTATATATCGAATACCTGTAGCTAACTAGGCGGCATCACCTTGTATCACCTTGCATGTTTCAGCGTCCCGTATGGTACACGACTGCAGCAAACAAATCTATAGACTCAACACCAAGTGCCCCCACCTGAATTGCGGAACCATAAGCATCAACAAACATGTCAGGTTTCGCATGGTTTCGTGACATGTTTACAATTGCCTACAGATCCCGTAGAAACTGATGACATCTGATGACTTCCAACTGCTCTTCAGCAGTGAATCGGCGCTGAGCTTCCCCGCTTGCAAGCAGTTCTCAGGGGTTGCAAGAGCACGCCAGGTTTCTGGTTCCTTGGGACCCTTGGGATGCTGGAAATGGTGGGTTCCCCATGGTGGCCAACTCCTGTAGGGTGTTTACTACATGTCATCGCCCCAAAGGGGGGGAATCATGTGCAATGGGCCCCGTGACTTGCAGTCAAAAAGTGATCACATCCATAGCCAAATGAATTCAGTACACAAAGAATAGCCGAATAGCCAAAGAATGGGGCAACTGTGGGTTCTTCCGTACTCAGCATCATGTTCTCCCCTCACAGTTTTTGCAACATCACATGGGATAGTTCTTGAGCTCAAGTTGGTGCTGCTGGAGCCAAGGAACTCCTGGAAAGTCAAAACTTCGGGGGGGGGCAACGTTTTTTATGGACAAACAGCATGCAGATTTGGCAATTTGTCGCAGTTGGATAACCCTGATTTTCTTGGGCCAAACTTGGAGCCACACACTTTTTTGGACCTCTAGTCTGGCCGTTTGAAATGCCCGGGAGAACCGCAAAAAATCAGCGACGGTGTCGACGCCATGTTCCTGTGAGAGAAACTCTCATACTGGCATACCCTCTCGTCATCTAGCCTAGCAATAGAAAGTCCACCATTTCTACCAACTTTTATCAATTCATCGATGGCTAGTCGAACAAAGAATGAGGATTTCCTAGTGCCATGTGTGATTACTGGAGGCTACTGGGGAGTCCCCGCACCTCAGACTGGTTTGATGCCACCCACCTTTCAGGTGGCCACCACTTACTGACTCGGTCGGTGGCCCTTTCTTCGCCACTCAGCGGCGCGCTTCTTCCAAGGCCTTGCGGATACGATCCACGGAATCCTGCTCCTGCAAGGCACCGACCATGGCAGATTCTTGGTTGAGACCCTTGGGAGAGGGGTGCACAACCTTCCGACCTGCAGTTGCAGTGATGTGTCAAATTGAACTTAAGCAGGTCATCTCAAGGCCGTACCGAGTCATCTCAAGGTTCTTAGGGGTGCCTGAGAGCCGCAACATGCTGAGTCTTGTTCCAGAAACAGGCTTTGGCGAGGTGAAACCACCATCAATCATCATCAATCATCATCATCATCATCATCATCATCCTCCTTGATTCATTGATCGGGGGAGATAGGAAAACAAAGGAACAGCGAAGAAACAAAATCACATCGGCAGGTATGGGTCAAAATTATTAACCCACCACCATAGTTTTCCACTATTTTCCCCAAGAAAAACAAGCAGCCTGACCAGCGGCCTGGTATCCCCTTTGGTACCCCATGGTACTCCGATCTGTACCCCGCAGGCTCCTCGGCAAGTTCCGCTTCCTGTTGCTTGGCCCAGTTCTTCAAGTTCTCCTTCACGTCCTTGCCGGCCTGGCTGTTACACTGTTGGCTCATGTTGGCTCCATGGTGAACTTTGGATGTGCATTGGCCAAACAAGAAAAGACACTGACCTCTGAAACGAGGGGAGTATAGCCCAGATATAAACTGGATTACTGTACCGGAGATATAATGAAACGCGTTCCCTTGCTGGCAAATGATGGCGGGAAACGCGATGGGAAACGCGCAAGGTAACGACTGATTCTCTCCTTGAAATTCCTTGAACACAATGATTTCATACTGCCCCATACTGGATTCCTGAAAGGCCATTTTGTTTAGTATGGGCAGAACTCACAATGAATTCCTCATTTGATTTGCGTGTCTCATTACAGTTAAGTCTATGTAGGTCTTAAGCATCACTATAATCATCCGATGATCATCGTCATTGCTCGTGGACATCATCCCATGATCTCCTTGAAAACCTCGGAGAAACCGAATCCCAAGCACGATCATCCACCAGCAGGGCCGATCCCTGCCTGTTCATACTCCTTGTTCCAGGAATCGAAGGCCTTCTCAGCGTCCGCCTTGTTCTCGAAGACGCCCAGCAAGTAGCGGTTGCCGAAGGAATCGATGGCCTACAAAGGAGCTGCGACGGAGGGATTCTGAGGTATACGCTGATACACATTGATACACCAAAAATTTAAAAATCAGACATCTAACATGGAATCGAACTATAATTGACTACAATATGGGTCATTTCATGGTCATTTCCAGTGGTGGAAATTCATCTTCCAAAGCCACTCTTGCAATCTCTCGCAGTTCTATGCTGCATTTTGAGCCGGGAACCACAGCTCAATGTTGTGAGAACATTTTTGTTGCCAGAAAAACGCGAAACGAATGGCGAGGCCCACATGCCATGACATGACCATCCTACTAAGTGACAGGATAGCAACTCTGATTTAGTAAAATCTAGTCACTCAGAGTGGCTATCACTGAATACCAACCAGGGATCAACCAGGGATCTGTTCCATTCAATGGATTACAATCACACCTCCGACCCACTTCCTAGTTCGCACCTCGGACTTGTAGAGCTTCTCGGCCGTGCCCCAGCTGTGCTTGAACTCACCTAGGTCCAACGGTTTCTGCCACGTTTTCGGGAAATTTGCTGTTCCTAGCCGCAATGGGAATATCATCGAAAACCATGGAAATGAATACAGTACAAATCCATGATTCAATCTATTGGTATGTCCTGAAACTGAAATTGGCGGCCTCAAAAATTCAAGCAAATTCTTGTCCTGCACACTTGGTGCAAACATGTGCAAACGCTGTCACATTGGTGCAGTTCTCTTGCAGTTCTCCGATATATTGGGGCCAACTGCAAATCGTCACCCCCAGGTCCAAGCTGTCAAGTGACCTTCAATGACAGCAGGCTCCTTGGCCAAGTCTACCAGCATCTCCTCATCCAAGGGAGCCACCGGGGTGTCCATGTGCTTCGGCAGCTCCTTCCAGATCTGCTTCACAATGTCAGCCTGGACCCACATCCATGACTGGACTGACTTGATTTTGCAGGGGAGGGGGATGCACCAAACATTTACATACGTTTCCCAGATCTGCATCTGCCTCCAGCACAGCACCTGCAAAATGATCAACATGATTCAGCATGTCACATGTTATACTTTCTGAATCATTTGATGTCCTGGATTTGGCCACTCGGGACTGGAATGTCAATCACAGCAGCGGCCCTCACAACCGGGGCCTTGGTCTTGCCAGGCATGTCCTTCTGAGATCGGAAGAACTTCTTCAAGCCTGAGCTTTTTGGTCTGGAAGGTCAAATGCCTCAAATGACCCTTTTGTAGACAGCGGGGCTACGTACCTCAATCCACCAACATTCATGTAGAAACAAGTATAGAGTAAGAAGCCGGTAAATGCGCGTTTTGTTTGGAATACCCTTTGGTAATTTAACATAACTATGGAACATCACCATTTATAGTGAGTTTTCCCATGAAAAATTGTGATTTTCCATAGTTATGTTAGTTTACCAGAGGGTATGAGGGACAATAACCTGTCGTCCAATGTTGTTCAATGTAGTGTTTTGCACGCTGAAGCTGGGATGGTCCAACTGCAGTTTCAACAAGGGAGATGGCTCGAGGAATCATTGAACCCCACACCTCCCAACCAACTACCCTCTGGTAAACTAACATAGCTATTGAAAATGGCCATAGAAATAGTGGATTTTCCCATTAAAATGTTGATTTTCCATAGTTATGTTAGTTTACCAGAGGGTAATCAACTGGAAAATCAGGAACTCAAAACATGAAGACCCAAAACACCAAGGGACCTTCCACATCCTTCTCCACCTCCTCGCGCTGCTTGTAGTAGCCGGCCACCAGCTCCCCAGCCTGCTTCCACCACATCTCATCCAACTCGCTGTCCGACTTGCCCTCCTTCTGGGCCTGGCATGAGATCGAGGTCGGTTCATTCGTGTCGCCTAACCAGAAACTCTGCAAGTTCAAGCTCTGTCAGCTGGACATGAAATTATATCAATAGGGAACAGAAAGAGCTATAAATCAAGCCATCTTCAATTACCCTTCACCAAGATTTTCCCATATTTTTCACCTAAAAGTTCATGAAGTTCCCATGTTCCCAATGCTTTCTGCCCTTCTCAGAGGCTCCAAGATGCTGCAAGGCACTGCGATGCCACCGGCAGTGGCCTTCAGATCATCGATGAGCTTGCGAGGCAGCTGCACAGAAAAGTCCTGGGCCGGGGTCAGGTGAGCGTGACCAAATCACAGTTGGATTTCGCCAGCAAAAAAGTAGCGTCTAAAGCTTGGGATTTACAATAATAAGCTTATATGTATATATATATATATATTTATACATATATATATGTAATTAAATTATAATATAAATATATATATATAATATATATAGATAAATATATTATAAATAAAATTATAATATTAATATATATATATATATACGAAGGTATGTAGGTATGTAGGTATGTAGGTATGGAGGTATGCAGGTATGCAGGTATGCAGGTATGCAGGTATGTATGTGTGTATGTGTGTATGTGTGTATGTATGTATGTATGTATGCATGCATGTATGGATGGATGGATGGATGGATGGATGCATGTATGCATGTATGCATGTATGCATGTATGCATGTATGCATGTATGCATGTATGCATGTATGCATGTATGCATGTATGCATGTATGCATGTATGTATGTATGTATGTATGTATGTATGTGTATATATATATATACACGAAGGTATAAAGGTATGAAGGTATGAAGGTATGAAGGTATGTAGGTATGTAGGTATGTAGGTACGTAGGTATGTAGGTATGTAGGTATGTAGGTATGTAGGTATGTATGTATGTATGTAGGTATGTAGGTATGTAGGTATGTAGGTATGTAGGTATGTAGGTATGTAGGTATGTAGGTATGTAGGTATGTAGGTATGCAGGTATGCAGGTATGCAGGTATGCAGGTATGTATGTATGTATGTATGTATGTATGTAGGTATGTAGGTATGTAGGTAGGTATGTAGGTATGTAGGTATGTAGCTAGGTAGCTAGGTAGCTAGGTAGCTAGGTAGCTAGGTAGCTAGGTAGCTAGGTAGCTAGGTAGGTATGTAGGTATGTAGGTATGTAGTCATGTATGTATTTATGTATGTGTGTATGTGTGTATGTGTGTATGTGTGTATGTGTGTATGTGTGTATGTGTGTATGTGTTTATGTGTGTATGTGTTTATGTGTGTATGTGTGTATGTGTGTATGTGTGTATGTGTGTATGTGTGTATGTGACTGTATGTGTGTATGTGTGTCTGTGTGTCTGTGTGTCTGCGTGTGCGCGCGCATCTAATTTATGATGTTGGGATGTTGGTCTAGGCTAATGATTCAACCAGGCTTTCAGCAAAAACATTGGGAAGCTGGTGAAGAAGGACGCCTTGTGAGGCAAGGACCAGCACCCCTGGGCCCCTCACCGAATTCCGCATGCCCCAATTCTCAGGACCACTGGGAAAATACCTACCCTCTCTCTGACAATTGGGGCTGGCTAATGGCAAAAATCCGACATTATCTTCCAGACCTCCTATTTTTGGACATTCCCCTAAAATGGTTAGCTATGGCTGGTTATGGTGGGCTTCAAGTTAAAACCCCTATTTTTTGTGGGTTAACTCAGTTAACTCACTGCTTTCCACCATCTTTCGACCTTTTTGTGGACTCCGGCTCCTCACCGGCCGCAGGAATCTTGAAGCCCTCCAGCATCTTCTTGATCTTGGCCGCCTCTGCTGGGGCCGAGGCATCCTGGCAAATGGCCCGGATATGGAAGTCACACAGCAGCTACGACGCTACGCTCAGCTGCCCCGTCCTCCATAGCTTTCTTCATGGCCTCCAACTGCTTGACGTTGTTGGTGTGGTTCTCACCCTCATTGGCGAACAAATACACTTCCTGTGGCCGTCCAAGGCACCAAAGCGTTGTAAGAATCGAGGATCCACCTCGAGACTAGACTAATCCCTTTCCCGTTCATATGGACCAGCACCCCGCATAAACCATGGTTCAGTAGGGGATGAAATCACATATGTGGGACCATGCGATGAGGGTGTTTCATATTAGGGGGATTGGATGATTAGTTCCATGCACATCAATAAGCAGGCACCTTACTGGCCCTATTTTGCTTCAAACCATCCAGTTTGGAAGTTCACAATTTGGAGCAAAGTTCGTACCTAATATTCTGTTGAGAGGTTCAATGCTGGGACAAACACACCTGATCAGAGTTGCTCGGATATAAATAAAGGAGAAATAGTCGCAGTGATTTACACATGCTCACAATTATACGCACATAAATAATATAATTATATATATATGTGTGTGTGCATACATTATCCTCAGTTTAAATTATAAGTTCATATCATATTCTAAAGGGGAAGCTACTGATTCACCACTTCTTCGACAATTCGCAGCCCAGTTGAAGTCCTCCAAAGGAGCAGAGTTGGGGGCGACCTCGTCCTTGTCTTCGGCCAGCTTCATCTTGTCCGTGGCGAAGGACCAGCGGCGGTCCGCATCACGGTCCACTTCGATGACGGCGCGCTTGAGGCTGAAGTCATAGGCCACCTACAAGCTGAGAGGGGCCTAATTGATTACTGGGATTCCTTTGAATTTCACAAAATAGGGGTCCTCATCATCCAAATCATGGATTGCCATGACTTAGTATTGAAACACATGCTCAATGGTGACTTGGGGATTCATCATTTCAAGAAAAAAACATCATGTGGTTAGCACCAATTATACTCAAAGCGATTGTATAGTTGATACGAGGTAGATCCCACACGATCTTTAAACATCTATAGATTCCAATCCCATATGATCTTTTATGATCTTGAAATATCAATCTTAGAATCTATAAATCTGCTCCAAGAAAATGAACAAAGCAACGTATCATCACCGTGTCATCCATCATCCCACCCCTTACGATACCCCGAGATAAAGCATTCTGATACAGACCCTTCCCCTGAGAGGATGATTCCAAAACAACCAGCCTGATTAGCCTTCTTCTGCAGGGCATCATAGTCTGGCGTCTTCATGGCCACATCCTGCGGACTTCGAGAACTAAAACCAGGGATGCGTGCGTTTAAAGACCAGGGGGTAACAAGCATCAGAAAACAAGTATTTAAAGAATCCCAACAAATCTCACAAAACTAGGATAAATAGTTTGCTTTTTTCGAACGTCATCTTATAGTTTGGATATAACATGATATAACTTGATAGGGATTTTTGATAGTTAAACCCTATCATGATATCATCTATCATGGATATCCATATGATTTTAACAATACCATTTACAATATGATAGGGATTTACCTGACTCAACGATCAAAACCATGTGATGCTGAATCCAATCCCTCGATGGTCATCACTTGATGGAGACCCAAGCACTGAACACCTAGAAGTCAAGTGACTGGTTAAACCATGTTAAACCATATGTTTAAACCCACAAATTGCCTCCTTTGAAGTCTGACTGAAAGTGGTGAAGTAACCTAAACGTGATCACCGAAAATTGTCTTACTGACTGTCACAATGAATGTTGTGCCAACAGCGGTATCTGTGTGTGTGTGTGCAAATGTGGTTGCAAAGGCTACGGCATGTGCAATTGTCACCCGCTGCATCAGCACAATATTAATATAATACTGCATTTATGTTATGTTGAACGTTGTTGATTGAGCAAAATTATGCCAAATGAAACACCGATGTATATGTAAACCAAATGCGATGCCAATGTATACTGCATATGTACATTGTGAATGAGCGCGGAAGTTGTTCATTATCCGAGCAACCCAGTCCTTCTTGTAGTCCTCACGTTCATTGTCGAAGAATTTCTGCAAGACCTTTCCGAAGGACTCAATCTTGTCCTCAGAGACGCTCTTCTTGAACTCATCAGAAGCGCGGAACTTCTTGTTGAACTCCTGAGGTGATATGCAATTCCAAAGCGAGAAGAACAATAATTACGGCTAACAAGCAGCTGCCAAGGGGAACAACTATAGATACTATAGGTATGTCTTTGGAAAAAAAATACCGCATTGAAGAGTAAAATGCTTCTGAATTTCTGCCAGGTTGCATTCTGGGCCTGCTTCAGCAAGAGTGCCTGATCTTCCGAGCTCAAAGTCTCCTTCCAGGCATAGAAGTCATCCTTGAATCCCCTCATGGCCACCTTGCTGCCCCTTGGGGTGGCGCTGTTCATGACGAAGCCGCTCTGGGTCAAGGAGCTCAACATCCAGGCGCCCAGCGCCAACAGCGCCATGGGGAGGAGGCTCACGGAGCGAGCCATGGTGAGTGCAGGGTGCTGCAGTAAGAGGAACAGGCACCGTTGCTCTGTGCTGAAGCCAAAATAGGTCCATGCATCAAATTGGATATCATCCCGATATATCCCGACCATTTTGGTGGCGCTTGCCGGGACCTTGGCTTTAGTAGGTTCCAATAGATAATTGATGATCATTGAGATTAATGAGCTATTGGATCATAATGATCATATAATGATCATATCATCCTACCTTGATTCATTTTTCACAAATATCATCCTCACCACCATCTCCAAAGATATGAATTCCTCTCCTGTTTTCCCGGAGGGACTCAGACGTAGAGAGTCGATATACCCGGCATACCCCAGAATGGACATTAATAGGGGTAGTGACATTAACGGTTCACCCATGGATCTGGGAAATTCATGGCGTTTCCCCTATATTTTTTTTGGATCCATCTTACGACCCAAATCTGGGCTCCGAGTTGGGATGCCGGGGAATCACACTTGAGGAGTGGAGACAAAGCATCAGCCAAAGGTTCCGCCACTGCCTAGGCGCTTTCGCTTCACAGTCCATCAGTATATGGAGGTGTCCTCCTAACATCGGGGTACCCCCCGGGTACCCCTCAAATGATTCATTTTTGTTAAGGGATTTGCCATGTCAATGACATAAACCATCCAGCTGTTGGGGTACTCCCCATGGAACCCATGTGGAGGATACTCATCCTGCCATTGGGAAGCAATGGGTGCGCGATCCTGCGGGCTGCGCGAAGGACTCGTCGTGAGATTTGGTACATTTATTACTTCCGCGATGTAGGCAGGCACCAAGAAGGTTTGACTATTTGGTCCTTGTAGTCTACATTTGCGCTATTTCGATCCTGCGATTAGCTTGCGCGAACCTAAGCTTGTGCGGAGCTTGCAAAAAGCCTGCACGCGAATGGTTCCGCTCAATCTTTCAGAACATCAACTCCGTCGTAGAGTGGTCTACCGGCAGTTTTGAACGTGGCTCAGGTGGGGCTGAGGGACAAAACAATGAAATGCATTCAACAACCTTTCTGTCATCAAACCTGCTAAGAGAAGATCACATAGATCATGTTGTTTGCGGGATTTAATGACTCTGTCAAGTCTCAGTAAAAAAAACACAGTTGGGGCAGCACCTTCAATGACATTCAATGACCACAATCCATCCATCGATCCATCTATCCATACACCAGAAATATCTCATGTGTGTTGGCAAAACCCTTCAGCTGTAAATGTGGATGCTGGTTTTTCTTGGATGATTTCACCCACTATTAGTGCACTATGCTTCGTTGTGACATGGTGAAACAATGTCACCCAACGGTGCCAAAAAACAAACCAAGGATGCGGTGCTCTGTGGGAAAAGAACTGAATTGCCACTGCCAGCTTGGGAAAGAATTTGGTTTGAAACACGGTTTGTTCTTTTGTAATATATCAATATCAATATATATATATATATATCATCTGAATGCCATTGAATGCCTGCTTGTTGTTCAATGGTGGGTACCTTGCTATTGACCCCCTCCAGTGGGAGAAGGGATTTGCAGCTGTTCCACATCGGCAATGGCATCTTTCTTCCATGTGTTTCCATTTGCGCATGATGGCAACTATCTCATATCTAGAATGATGATCACTGAATTTCACGGGTGGTACTTACGAAGTTCCTCCTGATGATCCAGCTGATGATGATAAATCATTATCATAATGGTCATCATGACGATATCTGCTGTGCTTCTCTTTAAAGATCATTGTCACTCTTGTTTATACTGATGCTACCATCATCACAGACTCTTCGCTGGTTTCAGTCAACTTAGAAACACACTCTAATTCACTGTAATTATTATTCATATATATATAATGTGTATATATATATATGCATATCATCATATATCTCGGTATGGTGCTTGGTGCCCGAAACGCATTGGCTTTACACTGAAAAATGACCGTTACCGGATATGGCCATGTGGCCATGGCCTGCGGGAGTTTCTCCCAGGGCTCCCCACTCGCCAGTTCAAGGGTAGGGAGAGCAGCTCAGGAAGCATCTCTAGCCTTGATGGGGTGATTAACCAGCAAACATGGGCTGATCTTACAGGGATATAATTGATTTAACATGATCGATATAACCATCAACAATAGGGAGTTGATTGTTAAAGACGGTGCCCCAGTCCCTTAGTTAAGTTAGTCTACAAGTAGGTTGACTGTTGGGTTTATGGCAGATTTATCGAACACATTAGATGGGTTGAAAAACCGACTTATAACCTGGGGAGGGCACCTAATTGTTTGATAGGATAAGCCAATAAATATACAGACGATTAATGATAGTTATATCCATGCCAAAGGGTCAGCTGACCGGATTGATAGGTGTATGGCAAGCAGCGGACAAAATTACTTCGTACCCGCAATGGACATGGCCAAAGTGGCCAAAGTGGGTGGTCCCCTATCGGTTGTGAATGTTTTCGTACAAATTTGAACATCCCAAGTCCACTCCCCACTACTTTAGTCTTCTGCTTAATTTGTCGGTTACTCACATGATGATGCTATTTGTTCAGTGGTTTTCCACTCTATATACAGTAATATGACTGGGCGGGAAATCTCCGATTCTCTTTGCTTGGCATATCATCCATAGGGGAATTGGACAGCAAGGCAGGTTAGAAAACTGCTGGACGAACCTCAAGCCAGGACAAAGGTCTCATTTCAGTTGAATTTTGGGGCTTGCCCAAGATAGTTCTACTAGATACTAGCATATTCACCATATTCCATGGGTGATTCATATGGGGATGGGTCAAAACCTTGTACCCCTGTAGTTCACATCAAAATAGCTGGTAAATGGATGTTCATCCCACTAAAAAAGTATCTATAGGTATTGACCCATAGCCATATTGAAATTCAAACTTCTTGGGCCATGAGCATGTCAATACCGGAGATCCCAGTCAATCTGAGACCCTGAGGATTGGACGACACTTCTTCTGGCACATGTCGCACTCCTTAGCCATGGCCATGGATCGGACCAACTGGACACTGGCCACAAATCGGCTGTGGCAAAAGGCAACCGCACATGCTGGATTTTTGGGCTGGATTTGGCTGGTCAATTTTTAAAGATGCCTATCATTGATATATCTTCAAAGATACTCAATTTTTAAAAACACAGCCATGTATTTATTGTGTATCCCAAAGAGCTTCATGATGGTAGAGAGTGGCGCGTCATTAAATGGACAAAAACATAGCATACCATTTCGGCTATACACTGGCAATGCGCCGGCAGATGCAACATAATTAATTGAAATCAGTTGCCGGCGTAAACAATAGCAACGACAAATGATGGTACGACAAATGGTGGGCGGGTCAGATTCTCAAACTCTCCGTAGTGAGTTGCCAACGGCTATAATCATACGTTTGATGAAACCATCACTGGTTGGTGGTTTCAACCCCTCTGAAAAATACTAGTCAGTTGGGATGATTATTCCATATATTATGGAAAATAAAACATGTTCCAAACCATCAACCAGATCAAGAAGTGGAAATTCGGCATTCTTTCGGACGTTTAGGGAGGGAAGAAAACTTCCCCGCTTGGAATCTTTTCCGAGGTACCAAATATCAGGGAGGGTTGTTGCAGTATATGATGTGTGTGTCAACCGTCGGGATTCAAAGTGGCAAAGGTTGTATGACGATTGAACGACACATCACACCGGAGCTGAATCTGACAACTTGGATTTCTAAGTTTTGCTGGTTGATGGGTTCAATCCATCTAAATTCATTTGGGTGCGGACCAAAATGAAGTATAAATATATACGTATATATATATATATAATATATATAATAATTATATAATATATATAATTAATTATATAGTTATTAAATAATTATATATATATAGTTCACCAAAGAATGCCCAATGCCCTGATTTACCGGACATGACCAGTCACAGGCCATCCCAGATCCGGCCAAGGCTCGGGTGCCAATCAGCTCTGAAATGCTTTCAACGGCTCCCTCACAGGCCTGGTGACGGGCTAAGCACCATCATTACCCGCAGATTTTCCTTACAATTCATTGACAAATGGATACACATGGAATTGTTGGTTTCCGTAAACACATGTGTCAGTAAATAGAAAATACAACAAGGTAAGTCCCTTCACAAAAGTACTTTCATGCAGCTCCAACGACAGCATTGTTCCCATTTGTGTCAAAAAAATCAGACATCGACCAATGATTCACCAGTATTCACCCAGCGACTTTATAACATGCTATAATTGTGATTCAAATATACCCTCCGGAAAATTAACATAGACTCTGAAAATCAGCAGTTTTTAGTGGAAACTAATCTTCCAAACCCTATCTGGCAGAATCTATGTTAATTTGCTGGAGGGTACGTATGTCTTACATATCTTTCACACCACTGATTTCTCTCCTGCTTATAGTAAGTGGTGCCCCCCCCCCAAAAAAATGTAATGATCACTGTCCCCTCATCTTGGCCCATGTTCAATCCCAAATGCTAAGATTAAAAATCATGTAAATCATTATATAGTTCTAAAAAACATAAAGATATCCAGATGTTTCGAAACCTATCTCCTCATGTTAAGTCCCTATTGTTATCTTATTATCATTGCTGAAATTCCTACGCTTCCATGGCTATCCAGCGAGCGTTTGGGCCGCCCCGGCGTCCGAAAGCTCCTTCTCGAAGGACTTGATGGCAATCACGTCCTGCTGAAAAACATGTTAAACACATCTATATTTCTATACATGTATCGGCAGAATATGAAAACACATGAAAACACCACATAACACACCCACAAACACACTGTATGTATGTATGTATGTATGTATGCATGCATGCATGCATGCGCATGCATGTGTGTCTACAATGATTAATAATATGTGATATAATATTATATATATATATACAATACAGCAACGTATGTGACATCTATGTAGATTATGTAGATGCATATCTGTAGCAACCCTCAAAAAGAAATGATGTTTCCGCCAGCCTTGTGCATGCTGAAGAGGGTGGTCAA